AGATTGTGGGTACCGGTCATTTAGACGGCAATTTCTGGTGATTTTGAGGACAATTTAAAGGACAAATTTAGTTTCCGTTTTGCACATTTCTTGCTATTGTCACCATGGCAGAGCTCAGTCCACATGTCTGTGGCAGTTATGCACAAAGATATATAGACAAGATTCATGCAGTGGCTTATAGGGAGGTCAGGAACCATGGGACCACCTTTATCACTAAAATTTGGTAGCAGACACAGTGAACAGATCACCGGACTGGCATAAAAATCCTTACAAAACTGCTTATAAATGACCCCCTACCCACATATTTTGTTGGATTGTATCTTTTTTCAGGGACACCTCTTTATTCTGAAACTTTCCAGTCACATGTAACTTTTCATAAGGAACAAAATGATATATAACATGATAGGGTGGCAAAGCTACATGTATGAGTTAAATGTATGAGGTGCATACATATGAGACACCATTTATATGGTAAACCAACTTTTTCTACTTTACTGGTTGTTTCGTCATTTATGTCTGCTGAGAGTCCTAGTTCTTTGAATGTGTCTGTATGGTTCTCCCTTTTTGCCATTGTTTTGAAAGGTGTTACTTTGCCCCTCCGAACCATGGCACTTACAGTGCTACACCCAGTGAAAGCGTGAAGTGCTGGGAGGGCTTCACATATTTTGGTATGAAAGGATGAGAAGAGGCTTGGCAGCAACTTAACCAAAGAGAGAAATATAAGAGTCCCAAAAGATTGGAATGAGTTCTTGAAGAATGTTGCAAACAAGAAACAACTATGCCAGTTAATGTTAAATTATTGGAAAAGACCACAATATGCTAAGAAAATGCAAGGCCAAGAAATGTACTGACTATGAGACACAAAATTATGTTGATGAGATTTATACCTAGGGCTAACTACGTAGCATAGCCCACCCCCCCCCCCACCCATTCTATCCCCCCACTTCAAGACTTATATGTGTTTTCCAGAAATGCTAATATGAATTATGGTAATATAACAGAAATACAGTATAATTGTATCTTATAAGTTATACTCCATATTTAGAATTTAGAATAGAAAGACATCATTTCTCATGATGAGGAATGACAGGGAAATTGATTTAATTTCCAGGTGCTGGAAATGTCAGGGAATGTTAAAATTGGGTCAAAAAGAGACAAAAATGTCCGGGAATTTTGAAACAGTAGATATGTCAGGGTATTTTGTATCAATGTTGAAAATATAATGTTCCAGCAAAATGCATTTTAGGCTATGACAGGATATCAATGAAATTCAAATTCTAACATTCAGTTGTTTCCACTAATTGGAAATATTTTCATTAGGGTTGATTGGATGACAATCTATCTGGTATTGTCTATTTGTAAGAACATTGTGAACATTATACTGAAACCGAACAATAAAGAATATACATGTACAGTATGTATAGATGGTTCAATACAATTAGGCTTTACCTTGTAGTAAGTTAGTCTTAGGCCATTCATAGTTAATTATTGGTATATGTTTCATGTTTTGTTGAGGGTTTAATCTGAGGAGGGTGGGTGGTGAAAAACAATAACGAATCTGTGTAAAACTGTATTTATATGAGAAGCTGTCTTACGTCAGTCTATTCACCTGCCCATCTGTCAAGGCAATAACTCAAATATCAGACTTTATATACTGATGCTTTGATTATATGGGGCCTCTGCTCAAAAAGACACTCACCATTTTTGGTTCAGATTTATTTTGCAGATGGGCACATGACTCTGTTCAAGAAAAAAGCTTGTTGCTAATCAAAAAGTTAATGTTTTCAGATGAGGTAATATTCCTGATAACACAAATACCGATTATTTTATTTGGTATCATAGGACTATTCCGTATAGTGTCGCTACTAGAGAAGGAATTTCTAATATGGTGTCATGTCTTGGTGTGGATTTTCCCAAAGGGGTGAAGACAATAGTAATGCCAGGTTATTGTTATCATATAATGTTAACAATGATCAGTAGTTGACAAATTATACAGGGTGGTCCAAAAAAAATTGGAACATTTGTTAATTTAACGCAAAACCTTTATTTTTCTTCTAAAATGCACCAAACTTTCACTGATCATAGTTCAGTCACTTATTTATCTGATGTAAAGTTTATAGGTGAAAACCACAAAGTTGATGTATTAAACCAGTCAATGTTGGATAGGACCCCCTTTTCTTAAATATACAATTGTCAATTTCGCCGCTACTTTTTCAAGTATTCTTTATTTCAAAGCTTTAATGAAAATGTTGATTGCAACAAACATATTATAAAATCATATTCAGTTGACAAAAGGTATTTACATCTGGGGTTTACCAGAAAAATATTGTGTTAATACCAAATTAAACAATACCAAAAATGATCATTTTCATTTAAGAGTAGGGAAGAAGGAACATGTCAGAGGTGAGCAATTGCATAACCCTCACAGCTACTCAAGTGACAAAAGCATTGTTCCCACTTCAGTAAAGGCAAAACTGACCAGTTATTCACAAAGCTTTATTAAAAACCTACGCTAAGCACATATAATTATCATCTGTGTTATTGGAGACTCCTGTATGATACTGACATACATATTGGTATATCTAATTAATATTATTCATATCAGAACAATAAAGGGGAGGGCCGGCTTCATTTACCAGTCAAATCAGACTGCCCTGACCTCTTTCTGGAAAATATTCAATCATTAATATATCCAACAATATCCATCAGAATATGCTTGATACCTATCAATTTGGGTAAAAAATGTTGAATATTTTGCTAGATTTGATCTTCAAAGGCAAACAAATAGGAAGGTTGATCAAACTGAATTTTTTAGTCAAGATTGCTTGGACAAAACAAACGAACAGCAACCTAATTGAATATTTACAAATCTGAGCCCCAGCTTCAACTTGTAATTCAGGAAAAGAGGGGTCATATCAAACATTGACAAGTTTAATGCATTAACTTTGTTGTATGCAACTATAAACTTTACATCAGATAGAAAAGTGACTGAACTCTTCTCAGTAAAGTTTTGGTGCATTTTAGAGAAAAAATAAAGATTTTGTGTTCAATTAACAAATGTTCCAATTTTTTTTGGACCACCTGTAGTTTGAAATGCTTAGAATGCACCATTTACAATGCAAATTTTTCAAAATTTTGGGAGGTGAACCACAGTATTCCCTTTTGGGTTTCGCTTCACAGTGATGCAAACCCAAAGAATTTCACCCCCTTGACATTTACTGGGTACTGGGTAAAATGTTTCATTATAAGTCTTGTACAGTTGTTTGAGACTTTTTAGTAGGCTGCGCAAGAATTTCCTTTTTAGCCTGGAAATGTCAGGAAATTTTATTTTAAAAAAGGTGTATGAACCCTGTTATTATGAAGGCAAAGCCCACTTTTAAACACTTTGTTTGTTGTATTGTATGGTCTTATACACTTTCCAATAATGTAAATTGCAATATCCTATATATTGAGATAAATCAGAACAAGATCCAAAAGATGTACTTCATGAAATTAAACTTTGTATATGAGTTTTATATAAGGCTGGGTACCTCTACCAACCCCCCCCCCCCCCCCATGTACCCACCATCCCTAGCATGATGTAATACCTACAACACTTATATGTATCTACCAGAATTGCTTGATATAGATTATGGCAATAGAAGTACATTATAATTGTATCTCAAGTCAACTTAAAATCTGTATTTAAAGGGAATGGTAATCATCTACTATTATAAGGGCGACGCCCACTTTTGATCACCTATGTAATTGTATGGTCTTTGACACTTACCAATCATATGAATAACAATATCCATTATATTTAAACAAATGTCTGAACTGTCCTGATAATTTTTAGAGTCCTAACATGTTCTGATATCTGTTGATTTGAAAAATAATGCCCATTCTTTATGATGTACAGGTACAGGTTTTACCCAAATTATGGACTTTTTCAACAAAGATCATGGTTTCCATGACAACCATTAATGACAGATCATTGAAACTTTGCATACTAATTAAGAATGATATTAACAACTTCCCGTAAAGTTATTGTGATGATTGAGGATCAACTGAAAAAGTTATTCAAGGATAATAAAGTACCCCCTGTTATTTTCTATATTAGGGTCAAAAACCCCACTTTGGCAACTTTCGCCCCGGATACGGCGCGTCAGACAACAAATTTCTGAAGTATCACATAACAATACATAAGAAACAAGTAATTTCAATTTGTTCACTGGTAAAAACATTTTTGTGTCCTAGCTTACTACCTATTTACTTGGCATATCAGTCACTACAGTGTACAACAACCTAAACCATTCATTTCAAGGTCATACAAATATGATTTATTGAGCATATTTTCTTCAGGTAATTTCATTAAAAGGCAGCCAATATTTAATCAGCTTAATGTCGAAACGAATTTTTAAAGGATAAAGTATACTAGAAGAAAATTTAATCTAAACTTTTACTTCAAAAAGAATTACAATTTCTAAAATACAATTTCATCAACTATCTGTCATTTACTCTCAACTAACCATTTGTGTATTTACTGATTACTGTGATTTTAGCTGCATATAATTTAGTGCATACATCACAAATTTTAGTTGCACTTTGAAGATTCATTGTAGATGACAGATTTCAGACGGTTTCAAAATTTTCAGTTTTGTTCTAGAGAAATTCTTGTTAATTATTAGACATTCACACATAGCTAGACAAGGTGTATCCGATACCAGCCAATCCGCACACAGTATTTCATATAACTGCACTGCATTATATAACCAATAACTCACCCAAGGTCATTCGTTGAATTGTTGTCAAGGTGACAACTTGACTCTACAGATTGAAATTGATCCTTTGTCAACTTAATCCTTGCAAAAAGTTTCACTGAAAATATGTTCAGGGCTTAAATCCTTGAACAATCTAAATTTTAGTATATTTCTAAAATAATCATTGATATTGTATTTTAGACCCACCTTACCCTTTTATAGTCTGTGAGAGCTATATTTCTTACATAATATGTTTTCCAGATTATCTCAAGTGACATACAAGAAGGCATAATGGATGAACATATAGAGAACTCTGAAAGTCTGGTGCGGCCAGACTTAGCTGGATACTGTCCAGCTTCAAATCTTTCTTTCAATGAGCATATAACCCAACTAAAAAAGCAAGGCAAAGAGGTGTATCATTTTGCCTTTGGCCAATCACCTTTTCCTATCATGGATCATGCTCAGGAGGCTTTACGGGAACATGCTGGGGAAAATGCATATTTGCCAGTGGCTGGTGAGTACTATATGTACATGACATTGAAATTATATTTTATTGATATGTTGCAAAAAGGTTATGCTTGTACATTTGCAGTTACTCTACTCCTTACTTTATATAAAAATATAATTTTAAAATCGCTTAAATCACATGCATTTTTGAGTTGAGAAAACTGTTTTGGGTTGCACATGAGTAGTTAGGTATAGAGGGTAACCATCCATTCACACACATTTCTGACAATTACTAAAACTGACCAAGTGCCTTTTGCATTGTCATATTTTAAAGGTATATGTGTAATATAAGTTTTAATTTCTTAGTTGCTTGAAGATCAATTTCATTCTGGTAAAAAGCACACAATAGACATCAATTATGATTGCTTTCCAATGTTATGCTAAAAGTGGTTAGCCATATTAGATCAAATGAAATCATTTGGTTTGGCCAATGGTCAATATAGACAATTTCAATACATCTAGAATTCTAATAAAACCAAGTATCAATCTACTTGTGGAAATGAATAATTCATTCAATACTAATTTATTGCTAATGAGAAACAGTTGGTAACACTCGCTGGAATTACACCAGAAAAAATGAAAAAAGTGCTTTACAAAATCACCATCCTGATTACACCAACATTTCTAAAGGGCCTTAGGAATTTTATTTTGGAATTACACCTGTCATTTCTAAAACACCTTTCGTGCACTTTTAACGATGTAGATATGGAGAAAATACAGCAGATGTGTACATCTACAATAAATGTATTCTTTTTGCCATTAACATACCACAGTGTTTAAGACTTACCTCTGTATTCGTGCAAAGACAATCCTTAAACTTTTGCCAGTGATGTGAACTTACTTTCAATGTTTGAGATATAATTTGATGACCTATTGCATGTTTTGGGTCCCATGCATCATTTCCTGTATTTTTGGGGTGGGCCAAATGTGTAGCATTCGAAATACGGCTTATTTCGTTTAGGGAAAATGGTAGAAACCTGGGTAAGGCATTTTACAAAAACCAATCGGTATAACACTACACTCCTAAAGCGCCTAACGATTTAAGGAGTTCTTTAGTGACAAGGGTGTTAGGAGTTATGGAAAAGTGCTTTTGTAAAACCACAATCGTGATTACACCTATTTTTCAAAATGGGTTAAAACCTTAGGTGCCTACTTAAAACGCATAGTGTAATTCCAGCAACTGGGTGTGAACTAGAAGATATCTGTTAAGTACATAATATTTATTAAATCAATAAGATCATACCAAACCACTTGTTAATACCCCTTTAGTCTCATTTGTTGTGATGGAGTTCTTGACTTTAATTATGCTATTTGTCTCCATGTTAAAAATTCTGAACAATTTAGGAAGTTATAGCATGGACTTGTAAATAGGTTATCCATATCCATAGTAATAATCAAATTTTAGGAGAATTAGCAAGGTGCTCCATCTATTAGTGATTATTTAATTGCGAGGGGAACTTTACTGATTTAAACTCATGTGCTAGGGTGACATAGCATGACATTGTGAATGTGTATTCATTGATTGTTTTGCGTCATTTCAGCTATTTTCCCCTTCATAGGGGAACAAAGTACAATCTCTTTTATCTCCATTGTTTGTTGTATTTCAAATTTCTCAAGTTAGGCCTGTATATAAGGTGACAAACTATTGCATAATCAAACATAGTTCAATGTCGCATCAAGGTTATTAACTAATTACAAAGATAATGTTAATATTTTAAATTTCTTTGCAGGCTTAAAAGATTTACAAAAAGCTGTATGTCGGTTCCACTCTAGGTATGATTGGATGAATGAGTTACTTGATAACCAGGTGATCATCGGACCTGGAACTAAAGAGCTAATCTTCCTTCTTATGAATGTCTTCAATGGAGGTACACTCTCCTAATGTTTTGCCAATTAAATCTCATAGAATGAAATTTTGTCATTTTTTGTTCTCAGAGACATGGTTACATATTGTTTCTGCTATTGTTCTTGTGACTTATTCAGCAGTTGGCAACAGATTCAAGAGTCTTTTTGTAACATTAATTCCTTGTTACGAACATAGCTTTATTTTCTTTGCAAAATTGCAATGAAGAGTGGATATCAAGGTATCACTTGTATAGGTATTAATGATTTTTGAAGAAATATTCTCAGGCTAATATAACTGGAAAATTGAGAATTATTTCATGCCCATTGAAGGACCTTATCTATAACATCAAACATTTTGTAATTCTATAAGATAAAGTGATTCCTTGTTTTGTATAGTATAACATACGTATTTGTTTAATTACATTTGAATTGCAAAAATCTTATTTCCATTTGCAGTTGTACTTGTTGTGTCTCCCTCATGGACCACATATAAACCCCAGGTAACCCTATCCCATCATAAACCATACACCATACAGACCACACTAGAGGGCGAGTGGCGCATAACTCCAGAAGCTATAGAACAGGTAGGATCTGAAAACATCAAAGCTGGCCCAAAAGAAAGCAAATAGTTATTATGTTGATATATCTTGTGCATGCTCCTTATTAGTGTGTGGACCCAGTAAGTTAAAATGATTAAATGAAAAGCATATGTCAGATCAGCCTACTTTAGTTATCCCATTGTTATATGGGGATATTTGGAAGTCATCTGTTCATTTGATTGTTTATCCATTTGTTCAAAGGTACACACTTTATGAGTCCCAATTTTAGCTGTTATATAATAAATTAGAAGTAAAAATGTTTGTAAACTTTTGGTAGCTTTTGACCTACTCTAGGGAGTGACATATCTTCAAATATCTAACGTTTAAAAGTTCATCTGACCTAATTATTGAATGATGATACCTAATCATGCCTGTTGCACTGTTTTGCAGCTATTTGTTTCATTGTTGAAATGCTGATGTGATTGTTTGCACTAATATCAAAATTGTGTTTTTCCTTTCAGACTATCTTATCCAATAATCTGACTGGCAATAAACTGCTGATCTTGTGCAATCCTGATAATCCAAGTGAGTATGTCCCATCAAAAGGTCAATACAAGGTCATAAAGGATAGGGAAATAAAGAGCAAATGTATACTAACATGAATTGTACACCCTTTACTGTAGTGTAGTGTTGTAAGTTTTGAAGTGTGCATTTTTAGGCATGGTTTGCCTCATAGACAACTGCGAGCTTGAAGAGCATACTCGCTTTAGCCTATATTATTGGTGCTATCAACACACCACAGTGTTTATGACTTGTACCTCTGTATTCGTGCAAAGACAATCCTTAAATTAATATTTATTATATTGCTTTTAGCGGGAACTAGTTATTCAGCCCACCACCTTGCATCATTAGCAACTGTCTGCAGGCGCCACAATATCATAGTACTTTCTGATGAGATCTATGCAAGACTTCACTTCCAGCAAAGTCATGTGTCACTTGCTAAGGTACTTGAAAGTTATGCTTCTAAAATTAAGTTTCCGTATATAGAGTGGTCCAAAAAATGGGACACTCGTCTTTCAAAAATAAATATATTTATTTTTGAAATATGAGTGTCCCATTTTTTGGACCACCTTGTACATGTAGTACAATGTACTTGTTTCAATCACTCATGTGTTGATTTGGCAATTCAATTCATTGACTCGACTCCATTGAGATAAAGTTGCTGATCCATAAATTGTGCTTTTACAGGTTAAAGAACCCATGAGCATTAAAGTGTCCCATAATTCATATGATTTCTGTCTCTTACTTCAGTACTATCCAGAGGGGACAATTCTTGGTTCAGGTTTGTCTAAATGGGCGAGTGCAGGAGGATGGAGGGTAAGTAATATTTAATGTTTAACTAACAAGGGCATATCCAGGATCTTAAACCTTTCTCCTTCAGTTCCACAGTTTTAGTTTAAAAAAAACATCTGCAACAATTCTATATTTTTGTACATTTTAAGGCAGTTAGCTCACCTTCTTCATGTTTGTGCTGACAATCTCAGCTGACAGATCATTATCATTCAGTGATCCTATAAGGTTAGAAATGCCTATGTTTTCTCAACAGTTCCTATAACATGTGGATACCCCTCCCTGTTCTATTACATGTGCTGTCTCAAAAATGTAAAGGCCCCTGGGTTAACTGTTTGTCTATTGAATATCTTTTGGAGGGAAAAAATGATCATTATTAATATAGATGTTTTTCTTCTTTTAATATTTATTTTATTTTATAAAATTGCCAGATAGCATGTTCTGAATAGAAAAGAAGGGAATATTGTTACCTATTAAAAGAAAGTTAATTTTGCTGAAGTGCTACTGTTTGCTATGCTGTGCAATACTATACAAATATTTCATAATTTTGAGGTAAATACCTGTTCATCTTTCAATGATTCTAGCAAGGTGTATTCTGCGAAGCCCGAAAGGCCAGGGGAAATATTTGTTTTATAATTCACTGTTATATTCGGCACTCTCTTAAGCCCTGTATACACTGCAAATAGCATTTCAATTGTTTCAATTGTTTCAATCAATTCAATGGTTTCAATGCTTGCATCATTTCCTACGTTTCAATGCTTACATCATTTTGAACATTTCAATCGTTTCAATCGATTCGCCTTTGAAATCAATGTAAAGTTTCGCTGTTTCCGCCTGTTTCGCCGTTTAAAGCATTTCAATCATACGACCAATTCATAAAGAAACGGGCGAAATGATTGAAAAGAAAAACGAACATGCACGTTTTTCGTTTCAAGCATTTCGCCGGGGCTTTTCAACCGTTTCAAGCATTTCAATCAATACGTCTCGAAAAATAAAATTACTGTTTTGCTGCTTTCGCCTGTTTCGTCGTTTCAAGCATTTCAATCAATTCGCCTAAACTGTTTTCACATTCTCTTTCATTTCAACCATTTCAAGCATTTCGGCCTTTTCGCCCCCCATTTCAAGCAATTCGCTTGCCAGTGTATACACCCCTTTACTGTTTGGAGTGCCTTATTATGCCTTATTAGCTTATAAAAACAAGAATTATTAGAATTACACTGGACGAAACGGCACTCCTTGTGAATACCCCAGTTGAATACGCCTTTTTTCTGACATCACAGGCATGGCCCCTGAATATGTCTCCTTATTGTTATGTCACGTATAATGTATAGACCAATGAGAGTGGGGAATATGACAGTGATATAATAATTACTGTTAGGATGATGTGTTTATGTCTTACAGTTAGGATACCAAATATATCCTCGAGAGCTGAATGAGTTAAAGGCAGCAGTGCGAAGTGCAGCTAGTCATACATATTCCTGTGCTGCAGCACCAATGCAGTATGCTGCTATTAAGGTAAATATACAATATATGAATGAGTTAAAGGCAGCAGTGCGAAGTGCAGCAAGTCATACATATTCCTGTGCTGCAGCACCAATACAGTATGCTGCTATTAAGGTAAATATACAATATATGAATGAGTTAAAGGCAGCAGTGCGAAGTGCAGCTAGTCATACATATTCCTGTGCTGCAGCACCAATGCAGTATGCGGCTATTAAGGTAAATATACAATATATGAATGAGCTAAAGGCAGCAGTGCGAAGTGCAGCTAGTCATACATATTCCTGTGCTGCAGCACCAATGCAGTATGCTGCTATTAAGGTAAATATACAATATATGAATGAGCTAAAGGCAGCAGTGCGAAGTGCAGCTAGTCATACATATTCCTGTGCTGCAGCACCAATGCAGTATGCTGCTATTAAGGTAAATATACAATATATGAATGAGTTAAAGGCAGCAGTGCGAAGTGCAGCAAGTCATACATATTCCTGTGCTGCAGCACCAATACAGTATGCTGCTATTAAGGTAAATATACAATATATGAATGAGTTAAAGGCAGCAGTGCGAAGTGCAGCTAGTCATACATATTCCTGTGCTGCAGCACCAATACAGTATGCTGCTATTAAGGTAAATATACAATATATGAATGAGCTAAAGGCAGCAGTGCGAAGTGCAGCAAGTCATACATATTCCTGTGCTGCAGCACCAATACAGTATGCTGCTATTAAGGTAAATATACAATATATGAATGAGCTAAAGGCAGCAGTGCGAAGTGCAGCAAGTCATACATATTCCTGTGCTGCAGCACCAATGCAGTATGCTGCTATTAAGGTAATATACAATATATGAATGAGCTAAAGGCAGCAGTGCGAAGTGCAGCAAGTCATACATATTCCTGTGCTGCAGCACCAATACAGTATGCTGCTATTAAGGTAAATATACAATATATGAATGAGTTAAAGGCAGCAGTGCGAAGTGCAGCTAGTCATACATATTCCTGTGCTGCAGCACCAATACAGTATGCTGCTATTAAGGTAAATATACAATATATGAATGAGTTAAAGGCAGCAGTGCGAAGTGCAGCTAGTCATACATATTCCTGTGCTGCAGCACCAATGCAGTATGCGGCTATTAAGGTAAATATACAATATATGAATGAGCTAAAGGCAGCAGTGCGAAGTGCAGCTAGTCATACATATTCCTGTGCTGTAGCACCAATACAATATGCTGCTATTAAGGTAAATATACAATATACAGTAGTAAGTGAATGCTGTAAAAAACTTTAATGATTATTTACAAAGTAAATAGGTTTTAATAGCATAGCGACATCTTTATTATCTTACCATAACTGATTATTAGCGCATGCCTGTTTTCATTCAATTTACACGTAGTCATAGTTGAGTAATCGCTTATAAAGCATTATAGGCTAAGCTAGAAAATACATAAATTTAATTACAAATGTAAATACATGTAATATGGAAGAATAGCAGCAATTTGGATAAGAAATGGGAAATAGGACAGGCTGGGGTCATGTGTCATTGTCTCAGTGAGGGAATAGTAGGCATAGTTAATACTTGCTTGGAGGCTCCCATAGAGAATTATGATTATGATCAGGGATGCATGATACTTCAACATAGAGATGTGCATGTACATAAACTATGAAAATGCTTTCATGAATTCATGATTCTAAAACATCTGAATATGAATCATTTTTGTGTCATGTAAATGAACTATTTCAGCTCTTCGCCAATTCAGAAGCATGTGACGAATACATTAAAGCAACAACTAAGATTATGTCTACTTTGGGAAATTACTCTTACAGGTGAGGGAACACCCCATTTACATAAAAATTGGGGCATTTGTTTATGGACTTATGTCACCACTAGACATATTTTTTGTTGACAGCAGTTGAATAAGGAAAAAAGAAAAAGTGTACCTTCGAGGTTCCGACATTTTGTAACCGAAATGAACTGTTTTGATAACCAGTGTAATCGAGTGGATCACAAGTTTAAATGCAGAGATTTCTTGGAAAATATTAATGCAAAACAGAGCTAATGTTGAAACCCTGTTGAAATATAATTGGTACATTAAATCGCCAACAATACCTTAATAATGATTCTGTTTTCCATATACCAGGGAACTGACATCAGTTGGTGTGAAGGCTGTGAGACCTAAGGCAGGGTACTACATGATGCCAGACTTTGAAGTGTGTAGGGCAGGGCTATTGAAGAAAGACTTGCACTCATGTGAGGATATGGTACAGTTGATGTTCAAAGAGAGTAAAGTTGCAGTAAGTGTTACTCTTTCTTAAAATCTTGCATTGGGTTCTAAATTAGAAAAATGCATATTTCCTTTCCATTCTGTTTTGACAAAAAATATGAAGGATTAGCATAAATTAGCAATGCCTAGTATAGTGTGATGATATTCAATACATTTTATGAATAATACCCTTCAGCTTCTTCTTTTACACAAATGCACACAATTTTGTAGACTGGTGGTGATTTCTACAAACGTTTTGACTAAGGTCACACAAAATTCTATATTCAACAATATCTCAAAACTATTGCTATTTTTAAGAATGTTGCAATTTTCCTTAATGTTGTTAAGAGTAAGTCAAGTAGGGAGAGCTAAATCAAGTGAGGTGATGCTTTTCTAAAAGCATAGAAAGAACATTGGATGTGTATGTGCATCAGTCTATAAAACTATGTATGGATTTTAGGGAAAATTAATTTATCTCATTTGATTTGTCAGGTAATGGCTGCTGGTCCAGCATTTCTACGTCCTGAGCATGAACTAACAACGAGGCTATGTTTCGTTGATTTTGATGGCAAGCCTGCTCTTGAGGCTTATAGAGCCCTGGGACCTGACCCGACACTAGATGATAGCTTTATACAACAGTATTGTCCTAACGTGTATAATGGCATTCAGGTATGGACCCTTAGTGAAAACTTGTATACATATAGTGAGGGAATACAATACAAGGGATTGCAGGTTTATTTTGGGGGTTTTATAAGGGGATTTTGTAAGGTAATAAAAAACATTGCTGCATGTTTTAATGTCTTTTTAATGAGCGCAACGTCTACTGTTGGAGTAGCTCAGTCTTAATAGAAGATATGTCTATTGTAATTGTTGCTCATTTTATAAACTCAGTTTAGATATACTAGCCATGAGAATGCTTCCAACATTCAGGGTTATTGATAATTGGGCCCATTCTGTAGAATACATATATTATTAAGATGATCTTGTTCACTTCCAGGCCTTGAAGAAATGGGTAGTGAAGTATTCTGCTTGATCACCAGGGCCAGCCACAACACCTAACCATGGGCTTTCAACTAATTGAAAGCCCATGGTCTAACTGCATCTATCATTATCTATGTATTGACACTACTTGGTGCTAATCTAATAATAGGATATAGGATATTGAGAAGGAAATGGTGTATGCAGATGAATATGGATTACGTTCAATTCAAATCAAACATCAACATTGTCATTAGATTTTTGAAAAATATTGACGTAGTTTGAATTGACCTGTTATGTATTGAAAATCCTGCTAGTGACAATCAGAATTGTCTAGCATTGGTCTGTTTATCAAAGTTGATGTTGTGATTCTTGGGCATCAATTGATAAAAAAAACTTCACCCAGCTACACAACAGACAGTCAGTGAAAGTCAATCAACGAAGATTTATGTTCCCCGATTGTAGTTAAAAATAATGGAATTTAACACTTACATTTTATTATTACATACACTGTATTTCGTATCTTCAAGGAATATACAAATGCTACTGTTTTTGGTATTTTAATATTACAATTAAGTGTAAAGTGTATTTTGGAGAGAAAGGAGAATTTGAAAGAGAATAACAAGTGGAGAACTAGTTCAATGAGAAGTGGAGAACTAGTTCAATGGGAAGAGTAGAGGAAAATTATCAGTGATATTATTTTACATAACTTTATTTATAAATGTTTTACAAGTTTAATTCATCCTATACGAGTAATATCGTAAAACTGTTGTATACAAGTTGTAAACTCCTGATAGAATGTTGCTCGTTGAATTGTTATCTAATTAAAAACACTGAAGACCTAGTATCTAAATGTGAATCATCTTATAATGATGAATCTAAATGTGAATCATCTTATAATGATGAATCTAAATGTGAATCATCTTATAATGATGAATCTAAATGTGAATCATCTTATAATGATGAATCTAAATGTGAATCATCTTATAATGATGAACCTAAATGTGAATCATCTTATAATGATGAATCTAAATGTGAATCATCTTATAATGATGAATCTAAATGTGAATCATCTTATAATGATGAACCTAAATGTGAATCATCTTATAATGATGAACCTAAATGTGAATCATCTTATAATGATCATCCTCCTAAACAGGTATCCAGAATCCGTACCTCCTTCTTCCCCCTGCTATAACCAATTTGGAAGCGCCCGATTAAAATGAATCACGTGATCTTATTATGCGCAACGACTTATACATGATTTCTGTCGCAGTGTTGTGACAGCCAATCAGATTGCGAGTTCTTAATTGTGGAAAGGCTAACTGCTTATCGCAGGGGGTAAAAAGAAAGAATATATTCTGGATTTTGAAGCCCTGTGATCAGAGGATGATAATGATGAACCTAAATGTGAATCATCTTATAATGATGAATCTAAATGTGAATCATCTTATAATGATGAATCTACTTATCTACTAAACTAAGGTTACAATGGCAGCTTTTGGAATCACTCTAGCTTCATTTTAATGAAAATACATAACCTATATAAAATATCCTTTAACTTATTAATTAGCTCTAAGGATAAACTCAATATCAAAACCTGCCATTATATAATTGATTTATCTCATACATATTTTAATGAAAAGATTAAGATTTGGCAAGTCTAAAAAACATACATTTTCTCATACAGAATTGAAATATGTTCCTTGAGACTTTTAGTTATCTCTCAGATATCAACCTTACTATAAATGAGATAAATGTTTTATGTCTTCACCCTGAATATCTTGTAATATATTAAACTTATTGTTTGTTAAATATTTTAAATGTTTATTTTGAAATAAATTGGATATCAAAAATTGGATGTATCTTTGGTAAGAATCACTTCACATAATATGTAAGATTGTACATGGTTGTTCAGCTGTTTATTGCATACAAGAAATTCTAGCACAAGAGGCACTTATACTGATTGAAACAGCCTTGTAGTATGGGACTCTTGATTTCATACAAATGTAGGGACTGTTGTTGATGGAAATATTGCAAACAATATTCACCAAACTCTGTATTATTCCATAATAACATTTTTTTCCCTGGGAAATAAACAGGGAATAGAATTGATATTCAAAAATCCTATATCAGTCAAAAATCCTGTATCAGATTCCATATTGAATCCCATATCAACCAAAATCCTTTGTCAGATTCCATATCAGAACTATTCCTGGGGATTTTTTTGATTTTTACAATTTTCATTCTGTTTTAAAACTTGTTAATAAAGTTGAAAATGTTGTATGATAAATCAAATTGTATCATTTTATGTCACCATCATTGGGTGATGACAAATCATACTTGAAAATGAATAAGTTTCAGAAAAATCATTATGGAATAAATGGGTGATGGAATATGAATTTTTCCTGGGAAAATATGATATTTGCCTCGGAAAGTATCATATTGACACTCGGGCTGTCAACCTCAGTCAATATGATATTTTCCTTGACTGATTTCATAATTTAACCTCTATCACACATCCTGTGTCCATTGATATTTCCAAGGTGATTTTAAATGGGAATTGTTTTGATATTCCAAATGGTAAATGGAGCAAATGGATTTGAAAAAGAGAAATTACTTTTTTAACAACCCACAATCTCCCTCCCTTGAAACAAAATGCTGTTTGAAAGCCTTAACAACACAATAAATAGTACTAGGCTAAATCTTAATTTACAGAATTACACATTTTGATGGAACTCAATCTTTGACTCAACCCCTAATATAGTGAAAATATTCATGTAGGTTGAATATAAAAACCAGGAAGTTTTGACCTAATTCTTGGTTGTTTTTCCCAACCAAGAGAATGGTTAGGAATTTTTACTTTTCCCCCTCCTGGTTCATGATTGTAATTGTCCAGAGATCCCACACGTGACTTTCCCTTCCACAGCATTGGCGATGTCCTTATTTGGATTTCACCACCACCTGGTTTATGGTATATATTGTCCCTACTGCCAATTTTAGATTGCGCTAATTTGCTCGTTTGATTTTTACTTCTCACAGACTGAGGGACATAACCCATAGGCCTGTTGAGAGGTTTCATCAATTTGGGAGTTTCATGTTGCGTTCTAACAGATTCCATCAAATATGGACTTCGCTGGTTATATCTAGAAATTGATTTATCATTGTTCATTTTGGTTGACTGGTATAATGATCCATATGTTGGAGTATGACTGTTCCTTGTTTGGGCTTCACTTCTAGGACTTCCTTCATGCTCATAATTGTTTCTATTAGCAAGAGTTTTCTTTGGCCGTTTCCCTTTTCTTTTTAGGAGAAAGTTGGAATTGTATCCAGTTGTAGCACCAAGACTGTCATGGTTGGGAGGAACATTTGCATTGTAAGAGTTTTCATCATGTGATACATGGAGTGGACTCAGATGAACACCCTTGTGAGTGGTTTGTTTGTTATGTTTGGTCTTTTTAACTTCAACTTTGAACCCTTGCTTGTCTTTATATTGTTTAGGCTTATGTATCCTCGCTTCAGCTTTCTTAGATTTCACAAAATCACTTTCATCGATTATTTTTAATTCTTCCATATTTTTCACATATGCTTCATAATCAAAATTTGGATTTGGTTCAGTTTTTGTGAAATAATCAACTCCTCTACTTAGTGGTCTCTGAGTTGAATACTCCAAGGCACCTGTATTAGAAGTCCTAAAAAATCCTGTAGATCCTTTCTTTGGTTTTTCATCCACCCACTCATTCATGGAATCTCCACTTATGTTAATGCTTGGGAGAGGCTTCCACTTTCCCCATCTCATAGTACCTTCAACATTGTTGATGTCCACATCTCCTCCCCCTGGTTTATAATGGATATTACCCAAAGATCCACATCTTGATTTTTTCTCCCATTTTGGTTTCTGGTCAAATATGGGCATGTTTCCACCCAAGGGCTTATGGTTGATATTATCCAGAGAACCAATTTTGGCTTCTTTCTTCCAACAAATTCTGTTTTTCTCCAGAATAACATCCCCACCACCTGGCATGTGAGAGATCTTTTCAAGGGATCCAATTTTGGGCTTCGCTTTCCATTTCAATTTTCCTGGCTGAAACATAAAAAAACTTTTTACCATTTACATTTATCATTGCATGATATAAAATGATTATCAGCCATATATCTGAATGATAAATGAATTTGAATTTTTGATTGGAATCATGGAATAGTATAGACCAATTATAAGATCATTTCTAGTAATACCATCATCATTTTATTGGCTCTAGATATCACAAGTAAGCGAAGCAAATGAGAGTTATCAACTCATCGATAAAAATGATATCACTCAAAATGATTTGATATTCTGGGGTTCGTTTTTCGTACGATCGTAACTTACGATTCCGAGAAAACCATTTGTCTCTGTTTTGATGAACAATGACTTGCGACCAAATCGTAAGTTACGATGGTTTCAAAAACGGACCCCTGTATATAACGTACAAATGGATTAATTGTTGAATCATGATTATCATTGAAAATGGGTATCTTTTAGAGTTGAACTTCTAGGTACAAACATTTTCTATTTCAAAATAAACAAGACATACCTTGCTTATGTATCTGTATGTCTCCGGAGCAGTATCATCCTCCAAGTCAGACATCCTAACAGTTTATGGCTGACCTTCCCCTATAATTTATATTTTGGTCATGTACTCTAGTTCTAATAGTAATTTGTTCCACTAGGTCGATGAAGAATTTATCCATTTTTAACAGTCATGAAGTTGTTTTTAATCACTCTTATTTTGAAATGGTCATAACAGAAACTTTCTCAATTGATTTTTGTACATGGTACAGTTAATTTTGGTTTAGTAAACACATCTGTTTCGAGAACACAACTCTCTTATGAACTCATCATCCTATCAGGAACAGATATTTCTTTTATTTTAACATTGTATTCAATTAATTTCCATAAAAAGTAGATGAAAACCTACTATACAAAAAATATGTATATCTCTAGTTTTCACACAGCATGTGTTTTTATATGCATGGTGTCACTGTATATTGATCTGGGCAAAGGTTTAATCCAAAGCAGGTTAATCTTTGCTTGTTGTTAAGGACATGGATTTATAACCTTTTGTGGGTGTTGTAGTGTAGTTCTATTAAATAAAGAACTGAAAGGGTTTGAATAAAGGGTTTTAATGCTTGACATTGATCGATTATTCAAATAGTTGATCCAATAATATATATACATTATTTATGAAAGTATATGCACAATGAAAGGGGGTTGCATTCATTTTAAATTACAAAACATTATATTCATACTAAACAATATATAAATATATAAAATATAAATATATGATTGAGCTTCTTTTGTTTGTTTTAACCCAGTGAAATTCATTAAAAGTCATTACCTTTTTTTGGAATTTTGAAATTAATTAAAACATTATAAAAATGAATGATACTATATTGCCCATGAATGGAATTCATTTATGTAACAGTTGAAAATCATTTTTATTTTGCTGAATTGAAATAATGACAAGAATAAATCTAAATAAAACATACCTGTGATGTTTGCAATGTAAAGCAGCACTTCTCTTTACATTCACAATCTTCAAAGAGAAACTCTTGCTGAACTCTTCTCATTATGTGAAGATATCAAATTAATATCACTAATTAACAAATTACTCTGCGGCAAAGTGAGTTGCCATAGTTACATTAACAATCTATGATGTTGAAAACAGCTTCATTAAATACATGTTTCATCATTATAAAGCTCTTAGTAAAAATGTAGATGTTTTAATGGGGTGTGGGGGTTGAATTAACAAAATACAACATGGAATATCTGAAGACCATTTAGGAATGTATATAAGCAACTGTTTTTATCCAAATATCTTAGCTAGATTTCAAAATTTTTGCTTTATGCCGAGTCAAATGCAAGATAATAGAATTTGGTATCTATTATATTACTGATTTTGTTCCATTTTCATTGCAAGAAAACTGCAAAGTTTTCAGATTCCTTTCGATTGGTAGAATAAATCCCCAATGTGTTATATTAAGACAACCAACCCTGTGATACCAACCAAAACCAAAATGTCGTAAAAGCCAAAACAATGATCCTCGCAGCAGTGGCCAGAAATTCTTCCTTGTTTTCATCTAATTTTTCCCGTTCACTAATCAGATAATTCAATTAAAAACGTGTGATATTATTTCATGATATTTATTTGTGTAGATAGATATTACTATATAAAATGTACAATCTATTAGTAAAACATATACAGTCATTCCCCACATGAGTGAAGCTATTTAATACTATCTGACATCCGTACAATATAGTGTTGTAAATACTCTAAAACTATCCAATAAATGTGTATTGAACTTAAAATTATATTGTAACATTTGTTTTTTGATTCATTATTGTGCACTTTAAAATGAGATTTTGCCACTTGTATATGTATTTGAACTTTATCTATTTCCATGACAACATGTAGGTAAGAAATCACGAAAGCCAAAATTCATTGGCTCACGTGCCATTTTTGTATTATCAAAAATGTTCAATCCTTCGATGTACAACTTTTAAAAATGAATTACAATATTTCTATGAAGTCACATATAGGACAAATACAAGTATTATTAAAATAAAATGCACTAACATTAAGTTGTATGTACATATACAGCTAATAACCACAGTATTAAATATGAACATTGATACAACAATACACAATTATCTTGCGCCACCAAGTCCATTTGTAATCCACCCTTCCCTTAACCCATAGATGCCAAAAGTTAGTAAAAGGAAGAGGGAGGGGGTCAGAATTTGTAATGCAAGCCATTTGATGGTGGTTTCAAATCACTTGCTTTTCAAAATTTTCAAATATTTGTAGTTTATCCTCTTAAAATACATGAACATGGTGAATACATAATACAATGCACATTGATGTGTTTTATGAAAATTGCCTTTAATAAAATCTGAGAATATTGCATTTCACAATCGGAGTAAGGCAGTATTGTATCACAATTCATAGTTTTGATTCATGTATTTTTGTATTGCTGGGAAAATCAAAATCAAATTGTATATATTACATAAGGTAGCAATCAAATGCATATACAAGCATTGTTCACATTTACATTACTACTAAAAACAGTAGAATCTAGGTACATGTACCCATTTAGTGTTATAGTTGTATTAATGAGACATGTGTTTTTATTAGGGTAACAGTATCCTGTTTCAATTCTATCCGATCCACTATAGAGAAATCTATGAAAAAAATGCAAGTGAACATATAAGTGCAAATTACTCATAACAAAGACATTATGACAAGACAGATAGTCAATCCTGAAGGAAAACATCGTATACATAGAAAAAATCATGCTTTGTATACAAAACAATGTCTTTAAAAACACGAAGAGGTAAAACATTGTAATCAATAATAAATCTAACATACATGTATGTATAAGTCATGTCATCTTCCCAAAAAAAAGAAAAAATATGGGATTTATTTATAATGTATACAACCATACCATGTAAAATGGTGCAATAATATTTCCTTGACTTGAACATAATTTACAGTTGCTCTACATGGGGCTCTCAATAATTTTTTTCAACTCCATCATATATATTTTTGCCCCATTAGATGCCTCTTTGATAAATCAGGTATATAAATGATCTCAGGCTAGGAGGTACGATGTCTGGAATTGTGTAACAACTCTGTGGCCGTGTAGATTCATCTCTATGATAAGTGTAAAACATTTAAGAACTCCAGATCATTTACTGCAGACAATAAATGAATTGGAGTTATTTCATGTTCAAAGGAGGTCTTCCACAAAAACATGAAAAATATATTTAGACATGTAATTACCCATTTTTGAGGACACCTTTTTTTACCCAGGACACCTTTCATTATTAGAGTAGTATTGTTAGAAATAGCACCATATAAAAGTCACTAACGCAGACCTCATGAATTAATATTTACTCTGAATTTTAATTAGCTAGCTACCTTAAGAACAAAAGTTCTGTACTCTTTATGCACACACTAAAATATATGGTGTAAACTATTTGTCAGAATCAAGTGAACTCCTCAAAACCATGCCCTGAATTTGTTAAATGTTATAAATCAGTAAAATTCCCACAACATGACTGATCCCTTTTTCACCAATAGTTTTATCATTCAAGATCAATTTCAACACTCTCTGGTAAAATCCTGAGGAAAGCCACTGATAAGCAAGATATCGGTCTGAAATTTTCTGCGTAGCTCTAAGCCAATCAGATCTTCTAATCCCAAAAATCCAAGATTGATATAGTCTTCAGAAATCGCACTCAGTTCCAGGCTAGTATATTTGTGCGCATGCAGTATGTTCTTCATGAGCTTTGGTTTTCAAAAGCTTTTCTGAGTTTCAGAAGTCACTATAGAAATATTAATATGTACAGTTCTGAATTATTCTACCAGTTCAACTCCTTAATCCACGATTCTACCAATATTTCTCCATATTGTCCTAGTTATGGGGAGGTAAGTCACAACACACTTTTACTGAGTGCCGAAATTCCTTGGCCTATTTGTCCCCATGGTCTGTTTTTGATGTGGCATTCTCATTGAATGACAGCCTTTTGGACTCAATCTGGAAATACAAATACACTGAATGTATCTTAAACAGAACAATTTAAAAAGTCAGTTGATTATGTTTCATGGCTCCAAACATTATGCAAACAATTTTTTAGAATAATTCCTGAAATAATTAATTTGCTTATTTAAATTATCAGAACTTATCTCAGTCACTGACACCAACTCAAACAGATGAAAATGAAATGAACTCTTAAAAACAATTGATACAAGTAAATGATATGTTAAAAATGATTGGCATTTAAATGTGCTACAAGCATAAACATGTGCGGAAACAACACAACGCAACAAGGCATTAATATGCAAAATGTCACCATCTGTAATATGTTATAGACACCAACCAGCTAACACCATCCACAAAAAATGGTGGTGACATAAAATGATAGAGGACAAATCAAACATGTGCCACAGCAGTTTGTAATTTTTGATCCATACAACACAATGAAACACATAGTGGAAATCAAGACATGTGGAAGTTAGAAGCAAAATGTTCACAGGGGTTTTGTTGTTAGATTAAATCCTCATTTCAAATATGTGTAAAACTAAGAAAACTTCCACTGCAGAAAAATATCACTCCGCGTAGACTTACGCTACCACTTGGATAACTTCATTCAACATCTCATGCAGTTTCTGCCCATATGGATCCACCTGTATTAATTGACCATCAGATCCCTAGTCTATATTCAAAACATCATCAAAATGTTCAACGTAGCTTTAGAGAAACATTTTGCTTGGTATCTCTTTTATTAAATTAGTATTTTTCAGTTGCATAAGTGAACAGTTCTTCACGATCCTTATGAAGTTTGGTAGCTTTAAAATGTACATTTGTATTGCACATTGTCAACATCTGTTAGTAGACTACAGGCATTCTAGAAGCCCCATACATCACTTCAAGTCAAACAACCTTGTTATTGGTCAACACTGGCCTGTCCTCTAGACATTTGACTATTGTATAACTGTTTTATGTAGTTGAGAATGGTTCAGAGTTTGCCCTTGGTCTAGCAGACTGTATGGGTGTTAGAAGTCTCCTCGATTTTTTAGTAAAATTGTCCTGAGATGAGCCAGCCCTTAAGCCAGCACACCAAATAGGTTTCTCATCAATTATCTTCACGTCACCTCCCCTGGGTGTATGGGAAGTATTGTCCAATGATCCAACTTTAGAAAGTTTCTTCCACTTTGTGATTTTATTATATATAGGTGCAAATCCTCCCTGTGGTTTATGTGAAATATTTTCTAATGAACCAACTTTTGACCAAGCGTTCCATTCAAGTTTCTCATTGGGAATTACAACATCGCCACCTTTAGATATATGATAGATATTCTCCATTGAGCCAACTTTAGATTTAGCCTGCCAATTTAAAGGAACTGTCTCAATCTTTTTATCTCCACCAAATGGTACATGGTCAATATTATCCAAAGAGCCAACCTTTGATGTAGCATTCAACTTAAGGGGACTATCTTCAATTATCTTATCCCCACCGCCTGGAATATGCTTCACATTGTCCAAAGAACCAACTTTTGGCAGAGCTTTCCACATGAGTTTAAGTTTCTGAATTGCCACATGCCCACCACCTGGGGCATGTACTAGGTTTTCTAGAGATCCAATTTTTGAAGATGTACTCCATTTCAAAGGAACTGAAAATATCTGAAGAAAAAGCAGAATAAGACAGAAAAGAATGCATGCATGCAGTTGCTATATAAGGTATATCCAGTTGATTTGTGAAGTAAAAAAGTTGGAAAATAAAAATGTTGAATGGCAGTCTTGTTTTCCTGTGGTGAATGAATACAATCATGTATACAATGTAGTTTATATGTAGATGCACTCGGGGAGAAGCACATGCTATCTAGGTATCTAATAAGTGTCTACTACAACAAAAAGACTAAGCATTATGGAAGCACAAAACTAGCAGGTTATTTCTGTATCATGTCTATCTATTATCTACATGCCAACCAAGGTTCAATCAAAGTATATCATCCTTTAAACACGGGAGAAGGATTCAGTGTATAGTACATCCCTTTGTTTGAAAGATGAAATAATTTGATTCAATGATTCCACATTACATCAATCCCTATCAATCCCTATTCCCCCACTTTGCAGTTTATAGCACAAACCATATGCCACATCATTTTATAATGAACATACACCGCTATACTATATGACTATGTAGCCATGTGTAAATTACCTTTTTATCACCACCCTTGGGTGTATGTGAGGCATTGTCTAAGGAACCAACTTTGGACTCTGCCTTCCAGTTTAGCTTCTGTGATTCAATCTGTAGGAGCACAATATAAATTAAATTAAGAAACAATAGTATTACATGCACAATTAGAACAATAAAATAAATGTGCGCTATCATTACTGGAGATACATTCATTGTTCTATGATGATTAAAGAAAGAAATGAGGAATCGTTGATAGTATTTTTGACCCTTTTCCTCTTTATGCTAACCTTTCTTGATTTCAAATTTCGAATTGCCAGGCCTTATTTTGCATGCTATATTCCAACGACTCTGTGTTTTAAGAATTCTTTTATGAACTCTTCAATGTGAACAGCTAAAGCCAAACTCCATTCGTCTCAACCAATATTGTGCATCAATTTACCTTTTTATCACCCCCTCCAGGCGTGTGGTCAGTTTTAGAGCCCACCTTTGACTGTGCCTTGTCTTTAAAATCCAATTTTTGTGTTTCAATCTAAAAGTACACAAATAACAAGATCAGCACTGTTGTATTGGTACATGTAAATGCTTTAATAAACATGTATTTACGTGAGAATGATTTGATGAAAAAGAAGAGATTATTTTATGATTTGTGTAAGAAACAATGATGTGCTTAATATTTCTATTAACTGATATGTGCATTTGGTTATCATTAACATTATACAATACTTGATAATGTAAAATACAAAACTGAGATTTTCATTGTTACAGGTGAAAACTAGATTTGTACGAGGGGTGATCAAAAAGTTCTGGAGTCAGTCAATCAAACCTCAAAATGTTACAGCCACAGTATTCATTTGTAAAAATCTTATTGCTTTTGGTTTGACTGACCCACTAGTCTGCCTTTTCACCTTAAATGATGCATTACTGTGTTATCAGAAAATGATCACTAATTTTGTTATAAAAGGTTTTAAAAGTTGGTCAAAAGTATGTATAACTTGTTAAGGAGAATAAGTTCACTTAGTCAAAACATGCTAGGTTAATCAAAACAATTGTTAATATTATGTTGAATAAATTTTGATTTCAAAAACGTGAAATAATACATCGCAATCTCAATCAGGAATAGGTCAACACTACAACCTTTGATGTGTCGAAAAATTAAGCAAATATAGCTTGAGAAAATATCTGTGCAGAGAGCTTACTTAATTTGTGCATTGTGTATTATAAAGCATACTCTCTTCATTGTGAACAATAAATGGAAATTACTGTGCACATCAAACATTTTAAAAGTAACATTTTTCTCATTTGCTTTATATGTTGGTAGAGGAGAACAGATTAATATTTATCTTTTCAAAGTGGTTCCCATCTATTCATATACAGCAATTGAAAAATTGGGAGTATTATGTGCTTTAATTCACTATTCGCTACAACATTCAGAACCTTAGAATATCTACAATCAAATAAACAACATAGAATTATACAGTGAATAAATTCCATATTCATCCCTAAAATCAAAAAATAAAGGAAATAAAGGAGACACATTTCTACAATAAATGGTGTTAGAGGAAGTGAAAATATGAAAATTTGAATATTATTAGTATGTCAGTGCTACCCACACAATAAACATGGTTATGTGTATTATGTGAAATTTACACAAGGTACATCACCGAAAAGTGTGTCATTTACTTTAACATCCCCACCACCTGGCGTATGGTGTGCGTTATCCAATGAGCCAATCCTGGATGAGGCACCCTCTCGGAAACCAAGTCTCTCATTTAGTATTATAATATTACCGCCACTTGGTGAATGGTCCACATTGTCAAGGGAGCCAATCTTTGACTCAGTTCGCCATTCCAGTTTCTGACTAACTATCTAGCAAGCAAACCATGGTGCAACGCAATATTAGGCTAAACTAACTAAATGTCACGTTTAGCAGTGTTTGGATTTGTGAAAGGTGAGGAAGTGGGGCTATTAATCATGGGTAATAAAATGTCTTTCTCAAATACCGTATTCACTGTTATTACCGCCCACTCTCTAATAAGCGCCCACCCCGCTTCACAAAGTTCAAGAAACATCGAGGAATCAACAAGAATTGAAGAATATATCAGGAAAAAAATATTTCTCAAAATCCAGGAGCGGGCGGTAATAGAGTACTTACCCTAAAACTGCTGTAAACACGACGCGTTTTGTAATTCTATGCATCCTCTCGATACATATCTATCGATGGGTGCTTCCCACACCATACCATGCTAATATTGTCTCCAAATAGTCCATAATGAATGAAGGAATTGTTCTTTATCGGCATTCAGAAATTTCAAAAGCTACTGCGCAGATGTTCTGCGCATGTCAAGGTCGTGAACTTTCTGGTTTCTTTTTACTGTTTCTCGACTTTTACACGACTTTTGCACGAATAATGATGATCTCTCATCAAATTAGAAATAATGTATAACTTTAGATCGATATCCAGCAGTCTCTAGTGGAAATATTGAAGGTAATCGGCGATAATGACAAAGTGGGCGTGCCGGAAATAAATTAGACATAGACGGGTCTTCAACCACTGTCAATATTGTCTAAGCGATCTTTACCGTATTCTCTCCAATAACAGCACTTGTCATATTATTATAAAAATATGTTGAAGAAAATGCATTCTTGTCAAGAAAAATTGCCATACATGAAATTCCTCGGGATTTCTGATTTCTTTCATACATGGGCGCTTATTAGAATGGTCTAAATAATGTATTTTCAATTTTCTAAACGCCCTGGGCGCTAATTACAGAGAATACGGTAGATAGAATATGTTTGATTCTTGGTCTGTTTTCAATAAATGCTGCAAGGACCTCATTTTTTGAAGAGGAAAGGAACAGCAATGTGGAAAACATTTGAATTATTTAATCTTGCCTTAATAAAGTGTAAAAGTCAAATGTGTGTTTCTCAAATGTAAGCTCAAAAATGTGAAATTATAAATAAATGAACAGTATTCTTTGAAACGATTTTGTATAAAAATTAAACTTGAAATGGACCTTAAAGGAAATAAATATTTTGGTCAGTGTATGTTCAAAGTGAGAACAACGAGTGCAGGTTACGTGCAGACATTTATTCCAGTGAAGTGAAGAAGCTAAATCATGACAGGGGATGAATGTGTTTTGATGGGTCAGTGAAATACAGGTATTGTATACAACTGCTACATAACTAGACAACAAAACAACTAAAAAATTATAGGTATATGCAGTAAATCTGTCAAGTGGAACACCTCTTAATTGCAGGTTTAAGTCCTGCTCCCATCAATCATGTAAACACGAACCTGTGTAAGTGGAACACCTACTAAGTGGAAAATTATTTTGAGGTACAAAAGGTATTCCACTCATACACAGATCCTACTGCACTATAAATTAAAACAAAAGGGTAAAACTAAAAACATATAAAAGTAAAAATGAAATAGTCTGATACAGAAATCATGTGTAAATGGACATCAATGATGGTGTGGGAACAAATGACAAATACATGTACACAAGCGGCTTGATTGTGCGAAAAGCTGACAATATAAAATCTTACCTATCTTACTAATTAAAGTACATGTAGTGTAATCTCTATTCTCACTATGCCTTAATTCTTGACTACATATTATTGTATACAATTATACCTTCAAATCCCCTTTCATACAGTTAACACATTCTAAGCCAATCAAACTGAGACAATGAACAAAAATAATACCCAGTTTTACCTTCTTTTCACCACCACCTGGTTTATGTTTTGCATTTTCTAAACTGCCGACTTTGGAATTGACGGACCACTCAAGTTTCTCAGTTATGATCTAAAGTGATCAGTGTAAAAAGCAAGTTAATTAGTTTCTTGATTTTCTCTTATTACGAGATATTGTTGAAATAAGCTGCAATATTTCTGTATAAGCTTTCAATATTCATATGCCTAGTTCTTCATGATTTTTTGAAATATTTATATTTGAATTATTGGCTTGAGGGTTCAAACAGAAAAGCTTTTAAAAATAAAAAATAAAAATTCTGGTTGGTATTGTTCATAGTAATTACATATTCATTATTTAATAAACAGAAAAGCATTTCAAAAATTTATCCTTCTCTAGCACAGAATATTTTTTGTAGACTTTATTTTTTGAGAATTGATGGTTAATGTGCTTATAAAATGTTACCTCTCATACTCTCATGATTTCAAAGATGTTTCAACATACAGAAAATCAACATACATCTATACATTCACTCATATGTTCTGCTACTAATCTGATTATTTGGACACAAAAATAAGGATTACCTTTTTCTCTCCCCCACCAGGTTTATGGTTTGAGTTATCTAAACTGCCCACTTTCGATTCAACCTTCCAGTCGAGTTTCTTAGTTGTGATCTATTAGATCATGGAAAAGGAACCAAAATACGTCGGTTAGACTTAAGTAACTGTTGTGACTTGTAAAATGTTATTCAAACTTTGTAGAATTAATATCCACAATTAAGAAAACTGACATATGTGCCTATTTATTTTCCTTCATAGAAAAATAGTCAACTTATCACATTCAACATAGAAAGGTAATATTGAGGTATGAATCAATTCTACACCTTTCATTCTGTCAGACAAAAATCTTTGACAATCATCCATTAGAAGATAATTTATCATAGATTAATTTCACATTTTTTCATCCATTCATAGATGCTTACAGATTGGATAAATAAAAATAACTAAAATAATTATAAAATATTACCATCACTTCATTACCTTTTTTTCTCCACCTCCTGCTTTATGTTTGGCATTATCTAAGCTGCCGACTCGCGACTCAACTTTCCAATCGAGTTTTCGACTCTCAATCTGGATGATTGAAAAAGAAACCAAGAAACCTTGAAATTAGAGTTTTTTAACCTAAATATGGAAGATTAAAAAATAAATTGGAATACTTCTAAAGAATTGTAATATTTTTCCTGATGATCTCCTATTGATTAGGAAATAAGTAGCTGTACATCACATACAAATGTAGTGTTTTCATCAATTTAGGTCCATGATGATGTAAACAATGTAGAACTGAACTAAATTCTGACAATTGTGGGCCCATGTGCTCAAAATAGTAAAGTGACTCTTATCAAATGGACAAGAAGGGACAGAGATGAGGTGAGACTAAGTTTCGAAAAAATAGTCACATTTTTACAATATTTTTTCACTCATCATTCAATATGCCTATTTTTGAATAAAAATGTTATCTGGATCTGGGGACATCCCCTTTTTTAATATTCATGAATTTGGACATTTCCGCATCTTAAATCTTCAATAACTTCTATTGTCAATTTTTCATAAAAATGGGAAAGGGAAACATTGATTGCAAGATTAACTGCTTCAAACATTCTCGTCATCTATCCCTTCTAAATCCTTTTTGCCCAATAAAGGTGGTACCACATCTATAAATATATAATATATTTATTGATATCTGTGATCTAAAAATACTGCCTTTTAAGATGAAGTCTTTATTTCATTAAAAATATTTGAATGAAAATATGTTCAAATTAGATGAAAAGATTTACCTTTTTATCTCCACCCCCTGCTTTATGATTTGTTTTAGATCCAACTTTGGATTCAGCTTTCCAGTTAAGTTTCTGGGATTCAATCTAGAATAAATATAGAAGACAGTATTTGAAACACTTTTGTAACCATGGTTCCTGCCATAGTAAAGGAATGTCAAAACTTGACAAAATATTCATGTCCCAGTATCTTAAACTGGGGGAGGGTGGCTATTTGCTAATGCCTCTTCTCTATAGTGTACATATTGGTTAATAATAAATCCATGTGAAGTGAATATATCCCATATTTTCACAATACGATATACATGATTTCAACATGTCACAACATCATATGCTAATGGCTCTCAGGCCCGTAAGACACTTTTCTCCAAGGGGAGTGCGGTTTTTAGCTTACTAAAGAGAATATAAAATTGTCATTTTTTTGCCGCGTAAATCAAATCGCGTAAGACAGAGGGGGGGGGTCAGTTACTCCCTATATTGGTTTGGAATTAACAAATGCAACTTCCAAACGTTCCAATTGTTTTGTGGGGGGTGTGAAGTGGTCCACTCCCTATAGAAAATTTTAGTTTTGAGATGCTATTTTGTGCTTTCTGGGCACTTTCAAAGTGTAAGTTTCTAAGTAGTACGCCACCACCACGGGAATAAGAGTTGAGTGAATAAAAAACCGAGCATTCAGGGGGGTCTGGTGGTTCTCCCCCAGGAAAATTGTGAAATTTGGTTGTATTTGGAGCGAATTTGCAACCATCTGGTACGCCTGTGCGTTATGAGTCAATACGAAAAATGTGAATATTTTCAAATTCTTTTGGGGGTGTCAAAGGGGATGAGAGGGTGAAGTGGGGTGGGGTGCCAGTAGGGGAGCAAGGGGTTGTCCCCCAGAAACATTGACCATATCAAGGTGCTATTTGATGATGTCTGGGCACTTAAAAAATGTCTGAGACAATACATGAAATTCAGAATATTTTCTTTTGTTTTGTGGGGGATGTGAGGGGTGGCTAACTCTCCTAGAAAATTTTACAATTTAAAGATGATATTTGGTGCTTCTGGGCACTTTTAAAGTGTATTAGTCAATAAAAACATTGAAAAACAATCACATTTTTTTTCAAATTTTGGGGGTGTCAAAGGGGGGGGGGAGGGGTGCCACAGGGGGAGGTGGGGCTGGGGTGCCAGAGGGGGAGCAAGTGTTTGTCCCCCATATCAAAATTTACAATATCAAGATGCTATTCGATGAAGTTTGGGCACTTTAAAAGTGTCTGTGCCTAAAAGTGCCTATTTCCCAAGAAAATTTTACAATTTTAAGATGCTATTTGGTGCTTTCTAGGCACTTTCAAAGGGTATGGGTCAATAAAAAAATTTGAAAAATCTCAATTTCTTTTTTTTTGGGGGGGGGGTGTTAAGGGAGGGGGGCTGCCAGAGGGGGAGGTGGAGTGGGGATGCCAGAGGGCGAGTAAGTGTTAGTGTTCCAGAATCATTAACTTTATCAAGGAGCTATTTGATGATGTCTGGGCAATTTAAAAGTGTCTGACAAATTCAGAACTTTTCCATTGTTTTGTTTGGGGTGTGAGGGGTGGCCCACTCCCCCTAGAAAATTTTACAATTTTACGACGCTATTTGGTGCTTTCTGGGCACTTTCAAAGTGTATGAGTCAATTAAAGAATTTGAGAAAATCACAATTTTTTTTGGGGGGGATCAAGGGGGGCGCCAGAGGGGGGGGGGGGGGGTTATGCAAGTGCAAGATGCAAGAGGGGGAGTAAGTCCCCCAGAAACACTAACTATATCAAGGATATTTGATGATATCTGGGCACTTTAAAAGTGTCTGAGACAAAACTCTAAAATAAATTTAGAACTTTTCCATTGTTTTGTGGGGGGTGTGAGAAGTGGCCAATACCGCTAGAAAATTTTACAATTTTAAGATGCTATTTGGTGCTTTCTGGGTACTTTCAAAGTGTATGAGTCAATGAAAAAATTACAAAAAAAATATTTTTCAAAATTTTTTTTTCAAATTTATTTTGGGGGGTGACAAAGGGGGGTGCGGTCGCACCCATCGCACCCCCCCCCCATCTGACGGCCCTGGCTCTGAACCATCATTAACAATACCGCCAAACATGGTCCACAAAAAGTGGTGTGGTGGTGACATATACGCATAAAATGCCATATATCCCATGAATAAAACATTTCTTATGATTCTCCTTATGCTGATGGTAATGTGTGATATGAATTAGCTTTCAAGAGGGTATATGGGTACAATATATTACATACCTTCTTGTCTCCTCCACCTGCTTTGTGGTCAGTCTTTGAACCAATCTTTGACTCTGCTTTCCAGTTAAGCTTTTGGGTTTCAATCTATAATATGGAATATCAAGGCATTATCATGCAAAATGTCATCACCTGCTATTTGTTGCAGCCGCCGAATGCCAACCACTTAATGCCAAACACCAACCACTTAACCCTGAATGCCAAACACCATCCACTGTTGCGGCTTGCATTGACTGAAATCTTATTGAATTGGTGGGCTTTCTATCTCAGTTTTAGTTCTGGATTTCAGCAAGTTGCTAATTCATTTGATAATTGCTTACTTATCAGAAAGTTGAGAATAGGTTCTACTGCTTTATAAAAATATGTTTGTTTTTAAATGAGTACTCCAATGATTCCCTCATTACAATAAATGTTCTTTAACATACCTTCTTGTCTCCCCCACCAGGTTTATGAGTTGTTTTTGATCCTACTTTTGATTCTACTTTCCAATTCAGTTTCTGGCTCTCAATCTGGAAAAAGAAATGTGAACAATATTACATCTCCCAATTGTATAAATATATAAACATCATATAGTATTATTTTAACATTTGCAGTAATAATTTTGGATGTTCTCTTTCGGCAGAAATAAATAGTAACAGTGGACATGATGTTATCATAACCAAAACTGACATATTATGGCAAACACACATGTTATGATTAAATACCTTAATACAATATTAATTACTTAAAAACTGACATTTCCTGGCTTTTATAGGGTATCCCAAAAGTAAGTTGCAGTTATTAATAATACTGAAATTACGCTTTGGCCACCTTGAAATGATATAGGAAAGGTTTTATTAATGAAAAATTATTTTTAGAAAAATGTTAGACATGTTTTGATTATACTCATGTGTAAGATTATAAAGGTCAAATATCAAAATGCCATTTTTACCCAAAAATAATTGAATTTGGAGGGAAATTTGTTAATCAAATCAAAATCAAATAATTTTAATGATGATGGCAATGATAATTTCTAATAACTGGTGATGTGACCCTTTCGGGGGAGGGGGTTTTAATACCTTCTTATCCCCTCCACCAGCTTTGTGGTTTGTAACAGAGCCAACTTTAGACTGGGCTTTGGATCCAAAGTCCAGTTTCTGACTCTGAATCTAGAAGTAAAGTGCAAGTGTTAACATGTTAAATATAAAAGTGTTAACATGTTAAATATAAAAATGTTAACATGTTAAATATAATTAAAAAACACATACAATTTGTAAATGTTAACTATACAGTGTACATGTTAGAGGGTATAGAGATGTCAAGAAATTCAACTTGTTTAATTTCTGTTCATAAATCAAATTCCATTTGTGCTCCAAAAAGTTGGAACAAGAAGTATTGTATGCGTGTTAGCACTTACAACACTGCTTAGTACTTGATTATGTCCATCAATACAAATATAGTGCTTTGTGCATATGAAAAACTGGGAGGAGTGGTAAAGTGTGAGATTAAGTGATCTTTATTATACGGTGCAGTATTATGATCATCATCATCTTCATCGATGAAACCCTATGGAGTGAATACAGTATTAGACGTATATTGATTAGCTTTGTCTATTATGTAGTCTCATTTGGTAAAACAAATAAATGTTAGATCAACAACATTGACAATCCAGTCAATGATTGTTATATTCTGGTATCTTTTTTAAAAGAATAAAGAAAAGAACATGACATAGAAGACAAAAAGCAGCAACAGACATTCTACAAGAGCTGCATACAAGCATTGATTACCCAATGTCATCTTAGACTTTCGTGGCCTCGTTGGATCAATATACAAACCTTAAATCCCCCACCTCCAGGGGAATGTGTCATGTTGTCTCTTGATCCTATCTTAGATTGAGCATCCCAGCTGAGTCTCTTTGATTCTATCTACACAAATAGTGAAACAAAAGCAAACAAAAATAAATCACAAAACCTGTAAGCAATAAACGACTCTGCAAGATCATATAATGTCTTTTGAGCTGTTTCCTTCAAACATGATTTTTAGATCAAAGCAACTAAAGCAAATGACCCAGAGCAGAGATCTGAATGATTATTTTCCGAGCTTTAAAGAAAGGTGAATTTCCTCGTAAGAAAATAGATACCTGATCACAGTTACCAACAAGACCTTAACATATTGTGAGCGGTTGAGCTGGACATCCTGCCAAGCTTACTGATACAGATAGATATATGGCACATAGACCCGGAAGCTCACAATATCATGAGGTTTGGTTAGTACCCCTGCTGATTATACAACTCAGAAGTAGTTTCAAAATAATCATTCAAATCACTGGGACCATATCACACTGATTTTAATAACACATAGTAAAAAGTTGTCACAAACATAAGCAAAATGGAAAAATTAACAGTTGAGGACATTTAAAGAGCGTCATGTTAAGGACACAAACAACAATAAAAATGCAATCAATAAATAAAATGATATCTTAACCCCCTGAACGATACATCTTAAATAATCAATGTATCTCAACTCCCTAAATAATACATCTCAAATCCCTGAATGATATACCTTAACCCCCTAAATGATACATCTTAACATCTTAAATAATAATTAATGTATCTCAACTCCCTAAATAATACATATCAAATCCCTGAATGATATATCTTAACCCCCTGATTGATACATCTTGACATCTTAAATAATAATTAATGTATCTCAACTCCCTAAATAATACATATCAAATCCCTGAATGATATATCTCAACTCCATGAATGATATTTCCCAACCCCCTGAATGATATTTCTCAACCCCCTGAATAATACATTTCAACCCCATGATTGATATTTCTGAACACTCTGAAGGATATATCTTAACCCCCTAAATAAGACATTTCAAATCCCAGTATGATATATCTCGATCCCCTGAATGATATTTCTCAACCCCCTGGACATAATGTCTTAACCCTTTAGATAATGTATCTCAACACTCTGAATGATATATCTTAATCCCCTAAATAATGTATTCAACCCCCTGAATGTTATATCTTAACTCCCCAAATATTGTATCTTGACATTCTAAATAATGAACCTTACTCCCCTAAAAATAATGTAAAACAACCCCCTTAATGATATTTCCCAACCCCCTGAATGGTATTAACCCCCTATATAACTCAAGGCCCTGAATGATATATCTCAACCCTCTAAATAATGCATAGCAACCCCCTGAATCATATATCTCAACCCTCTAAATAATGCATAGCAACCCCCTTAATGATATTTCTCAACCTCCTGAATGATATCAACCCCTTATATAATTCATCTCAACCCCCTTAATGATATATCTCAACCCTGTGGATGATATAAACCCACTGGTTCATTTACCTCAACCCACATGCAACATCTCTTCTCCCTACCTTCTTAGCTCCTCCCCCTGGAGAGTGTTTAGTATTCTCCTTGGAGCCAATCTTAGACTTTGCGTCCCAGCTAAGTCTCTTGCTATCAATCTAGTGTGATTATATATACAGAAGTACAGTATATTGGATATAATAATAGAGATATCTGGTCCATCAAACTAGAATATCATACTTGCCAACATTCAATCTGGAGAATTCCAAATAGTTTACGAAATGTAGCATCTAAGTTTTGTTTGTTTTTTGTTTTTGTTTGTTTGTATGTTTGTTTGTCCATTTGATTCGTAAATGAGCCTGTATATAGCTCTATTGTATACTATATTTCAGAGAGTAATTAAGTAGGTTTTTATTCTCACATCATCATTGCAACACTTTGATATCTGCATAGTTTACGATCTTTTACAGGCCATTTGCTTTCAAAAAGTAGCTTTCAACAAGCTGACTGTAAGGATGGTACTTTTGAAATAACAATCGCTTCTTATTGGATAGAAATGTTTGAATGTTGGCAGGTTAACAATATCATATAGTAAAAGATATCACACAAAGAAAGATGATTAAAAAACAAATCTATGAAAACAAGTGCTTCATTTCAGTAAAAGATAAGTTGAATTGTTACTCAACTCAGAGCTTCTTAGTATTAAATATTTAAATAATTTTACTGAGATGAACTAAGCACAACACTCTAAGAAAAGGTGCCCTCTATCAGAATGATAGTTAATCTAGATAATTTATACTAATTTAGGCTCTGTGTACTAAATGTGATACAACAGTATAAATTCTACTGCAAAGGGAGAAGGTTAATATGTAAAGGTTCATTAAGTACTCGGAGGTATTGGATAAAGGGTTTATCTCGAGGGATATTTCTGTATTAGATGCCCTGATATTTCAAGAAGGACATCTCAATTTGGTCCTTCAGCAGGGAGATATAATAATATCCCACGGGATAAACCCTATATCCAAAGCCTCCCGTTACATAACCCTTATATTCAAACTATTGGCCGTGCCCCTATGAGTAAATGCAGTGATCAGGATAATGAAATAACAACACACTAAACCAGGGCTTTTCAAAAGTGCCCATGATTTATCTAATGAGAAAGTGAGTAAAACTATTATTTTATAAAATATGAGTCAAAATCCATCATTCCATCAGGTCAAATGTATTTGGGTCTGTTTCACTTAAGTCAATATTCTCATCAAGTCCCTTATAAGTTAGCTTACCCAAGTTGTCTATGGTGGCTTGGCAATTGTAACCCATGCAATGTCACTCAACAACAGGCTATTATTCTCACCTTTTTATCTCCACCACCAGGCTTGTGTGTCGCATTGTCTTTAGAGCCACATTTACTTTGCACTTTGCTGACATCTACCTTCTTGCTTTCAATCTTCACCTGAAACAGAATAAGATTTCAGTGAAGACACAAACACAACATTAAATAATAATAGAGGCATGGGAAAATAAATGGGGATAATCCTCGAGCTCAAAAGTTTGAACACCATACAAAAAGAGTGTTAATGGGTAAGTGTTCATTATTATACAAATAATGACTGTCATTGAGGGCAATAGTGTAAATTATTTCCCCCAGGGAATATTCTCTTAAATATACTATTCCCGAAGCCGCAGATGGTATTTAGCTAAAGAAAACATATTTCAAACATGATGTATAAAATTGATTTCAACAGTTAATTCAATAATTAGGGTAACGAATCAGGAGTAATCATTAGAGAATGACTTGTATCATAAACTAAATATGTGTGTTACTAATCTTGGATCACTTAAATCAAAAATAAATATATGAGAGCTATATTATCATCACATTCTTTATAGCATTAGTATATCTTATTGAATAGTAGTATAAATATTACCAAACTGACCACTTGCAGCTGTCAATGTGATTAAGGTCATTAATGACAGGTGATAAGATACTGAGGCATCTTTACTACCAACGCACTATGTTACTACTAATACAGAAATTGTACTTAAATGTGTTCCCTTACAGGCTTCATCATGATTTATAAGAAATATGGCAACATCTGAATAACTTTTCAAAACAAAACTTGTGCAAAATGGACCTCTAAATGCGCTCCTTAGTGATTTTCAAATTGTATAATGTCTTGAAAAAAAAAAAACTTTTTTCTTTGAACTTACAAAACAATTATTTACCCCATTACCATTTGTACGCCTAGGTTAATTAGAAAATGGGTAAACTGTAAACTTTGATTTCATCTATGATCTCATTGAACATTGAGCTCTTTCGTTTAGAGATGAGGTATACAATTTTTCCAGTCCCTCTATCCATAGAAGGGTCAACAACTAGTACTGAGTGTGCACTTTCTGGATAATGTTTCATCTGAAAAATATGTAGATGGTACCAACTTACATTGCCACCTCCTGGGGTATGCTTGGCATTGTCCAATGAGCCTATTTTGGACCTTGGGGTGGTGGCCTTTCTTGGACTGGTAGCCTGGAACAAAGAAAAAAAACATTGCAATGATGGCCGCAAGTTGATTGATTTCAAAAACTGAAAGGCAATTCTGTACTTGAAAGATCAAAAGTGTTAACTGTGACACTTCTTTACTTCCAGATCTTACTGATGACCAAAAGCGTTGCACGTTGATGTCTTGGAAAATCTGAATTAGATATCATCGGCCTCTTAATTCAAATGGAAATCTCAAGTTTTACCTTGACAAAGTAAGGTCAAAGGATCAGAAAAATGCAATACAAAATACACCTACAGAAGGAGTAATATCAACAGCAAAAACTAAACCCTTCATATCTTATCAATATTTATTATGTATTAGATAAAGTGATAATCTCAAAGAGAACTTGGCCCTACCTTCTTGCCAGATCCCCCATCATCTATCCCACTGTCTGATGATGTATCTAAAATGGTAAACAACATTCTGTTGATAGAGTTTAGATAAGAGATGAATAAGGAGAAATATTTCTTTATCTTAAATTCACTTCAGTAAAATTAGAAATGTAAATCTTTAAATAATTAAAGATGCTCTACTTTAAATTCATTTGTTGAACATTACGTATCATCTCATGACAAATTGTCAAATTTAAAAGTTAAATCCCCAGAATACAGTATAGGAAACTGAGACTTGAGGATGAAAGTTGTTTGTCCTTAACATAGCATTCTCTGAACACAAGACGTTGTAATAGATGTATATGTGCAATCCATGCAACTACAATAAAAATGATTAAAGATGATTAAAAATAAATATTCATTTATCATGTGATAAGTATCATTTATCATGTGATAAGTATTGTGCAAACTACAACATGCAATGTAACTACAGTACTACATATACAGTGTATATATTTATTCATTGGAACATTTTACAACATGCATGTTTATCGAAAATATCTTGTGTATATTATCTATATGTTTGAAGGTGCATAATAAAAGAAAAATAAGGGCAATGTGAATGATGGTTAAATGATAAATACAGCTATATGTAAATATTATCATAGAGGAATAAATAATTATACTGTTTTTACTACATGTCATTGATTGGACCAAAATGTATATATTATTAATTTAAAATATAAGGTAAGAGATGCTAAATAATTTGTAATCATGGCCTAATATTTACTTTCCATGGGAATCTTTTGAGTTGGAATAATACTGGAATAGTACATGCACAATGATCATCAAATAAATAAAAAAAATTAATAAATAAAATGTCTAAATCAATGACGCAAAAACAAAACATAAATTAACCTAGGAACACTAGATCAATATATCCTATATAAAAGCAGTAGCCATATTTGTAATGAGCATAAAATAATTAATACTGGGTCATGGATCGATATGAAATTATATGAAGTGCACCATAATAATAACAAACGCATGTGTTTTAGCTATCCCTTTATGGCAATATGCCATCTCTCGCATATTTTAGGTTATATATTCCCTGGAGTAAATCTTGCACCTGTTAACAAATGCATTTGGAATCACCTTTTGTGAGTCCATTAAAAACAAAATTTGTTTCTATAGTATGAATATATTGTTCAAAATATGCTTTAAAGCAGGGATGTTTATATAGACATCCTTGTTTCAAGAAAGGCAGTTGTTTAGACCTAATATTTTCCAGAAATGGAGAGGATTAACTCATGAAAATTTTCAATTTATCATAGAGTAAGTAAGTAAGTAAGGTATTTATTCAATTTATCGTAGAAACCTATGCCCCAATCAGAAACTTTGGGGACTTCAACCTCAGAATCAACACCAAATGAATTTTTACCATCCAGGGGCCTACTATTATACTGTTCATAGTAATGAATGTTCATAAGTCCATTGTTAAATTTAGGAATTGTGAATGTTCGAACAGCCCCTAGCTAAATATATTGTTATAAAATCAACAACAGAAGTTTGATTCTTATTGTTCAAATTATCATAATTAATCATTCATAAAGTAATTCCATACCCCAGCTTGTGGACTTTTCTGAATTATATTACCAAAGCATTGAATGTAGTCCCAGGATAAGTGAACTTATGAATCTCTTCAACTGAACATTATGTCACATACAGATGTGGAACCTCACACATATTTAATCCTAAATTAACACACTAAATAATTATATGTCCTGAATTTAGAAATTATTTAATATTATTTTTTCAAGTTTTCCTCAAGTTATAACATGACTGGATAAGTCATTAAATCAAACCATTTTCAGTTCTGCCATTTTGACATAAACAAACCTATTTGAATAATGCTCAACTTACCTTTGTGATCTTTATTCATCTTTTGAAGTAGCTACATCTATGCAATATTATCCTTATAACGATGATTTTCTTAATCAGATCAATTATATAAATAATTCAAAATGTTTTCAGTATTGGACTTACCAACCATTGAACCATAACTGATTATTTTTACAATTGATTTAGGAAAACATATGTTTTCCTTTCCCATTTATATCGTGAAAGAAAATGCCTGAGATGTGTGAATTGCTTTCTTTATTATAATGTTCCCCAGGGTCATATATCTCTCCCAGCTGAAAATCTCACTCTATTATCACATTAGTAATCCATACAATTCCTCTCAAGATCAAGTGTCTTTTTTCCTGTGTTCCAATATAATTTGAATTATAAATTCCACACCTAAGTTATACTTCAAACCTGGATATAGTTTCACTCTTAACTCAGTTTTGAATTTCAAAACTAAGCAGTAGAACTTTTTATCCCTAGTTCTATAATATATTTCTGCAGGCAAGGCTTTGATTGCCTTCAACTTCTATACAGTTGCCATGGCAACCAGGTAAACAGACTCAGGAAATTGACAGGTTAATTCCTTAGATGTAATTTATTATCAAAGTAATGATAAGGATATAATTAATATCAACTAAAATCGAATGAAAAATACTTCAAAAATAATCAGGAAATCAGACAGAAAAATTAATACCCGTATCTTTAAATCAATTTAAGAATTGAATTAAGGTCATTTGTTGATGTGCAACCTAGATTGTGTACCCATATGGAATAAGATATGATGTGCAAATCTTTAATATGTGTAGCATGCTGTTAGATTGACTGCTATATTCTAAACAAAATCAAATTTAATCATACATAAATCAAAATTTGACAATCATTTTTAATAAAATGTTTTTTTTCATTTTACATGTTCAGTAAATGATTCTATTGTCAAATTCTGACTTGTTAGTTTGAAATTCAATGTGTATCATTTATAATGCAATAAACTCAGTACAACTGGCTCAGTATTAAAAATAATATATTTGGAAGATTTTCCACGAGTAGTGATGACTCAAGGTGCATTTGATATTACTCTTTTGTGACAGTATTTCCCTTGGGGGTTAACAAGATAACATCAAAACACCTGACCTGCCAAGTTGACCTCATAGTCATATTTTTGGCCATTTATCAATTACATTTTGGCTATATGTCAATTAGATCATTCTTAAATGATACACATGAATTTTGAATACAACTTCAAAAGCAATATCAAATAAAAATAAAAAATCAGGATGGTGCACTAAAATATGAATCTGAAACAGAATGTGAAGCACATGCATAAATGTGAAACAAAATGTGAAACATGCAGTGTACAATATCTATGTAGCAGTTGCACCTTGTTTTCTGGGAGTTGCAGGTTTAGCTGGTGCAGTTGAAGGTCTACTAATCGTTCTTGTTGTTGTTGTTTTAATTGTTGTTGTTGCTGACTTTGTTCTCTCCCGAGGGGTGCTGTTTGTGGTCCTAGATGCCACACTGACCCCACTTGTTGTAGTACTAGATTTAACACTTGGGGACTTGAGTTTTGACTTTGTGGTGGTTGCAGGGGCGGTAGAGGGTCGGGGGGTTTTTGGACTCTCTTTGTCTTTGGGAGTAGATTTTGGGCTTGATGGAATTTTAGAGCTAGTGATCTTACGTGGACTACCTGTATGAGTTATCACCTGGGACTTAGGAGATTCTGTCTTTTTAGGGCTCGAGGGAGCACTTGTTTTTCTGGGACTCGAAGGAGCACTTGTTTTTCTGGGACTCGAAGGAGCACTTGTTTTACTGGGACTCGATGGAGCTTTTATTTTTTCAGGACTTTTTGATTTTGATTCAATAATTTTGTCAGGGGTAGGTTGTTTGATTGGTTTCGTTTCGGTTTCGTTTAAATTTGGGGGAGTTTGATTTATCTGGACATCCTCTAGTTTAGGGGGTGGTGGCAGTTCCACATCTGACTCGGGAGAGATACTAACCATGGATTCAATTTGATCTGAATGAGTTTCAATGGTGGTTATAGTTTCAAAGGTTGAATTAGCATTTCTTTCAATGGCTGAAACTGTATTTGCTTCTCTTGTGTTATTTGTTTCAACTGTTGTGTTTTCTACAGATGTGCTAGTAGATTCAACAACAACAGACCCCCCAAGTAAATCTGGTAAAGATGGCATTGTATTCTCTTTATCGTGATCTGGGTCCACTGGAGCAACATATGGTTCAAATAAGTCATTAGGGGCTGCAAATGGTTCAAATGTGGATACATCTGGATTTTCAATATTACCTTGTGGAACAACTTGGTCTTCAATGGTTTCAGGGGCACTGGGCATAGAAAATGGATCAAAGTCACTGAATTGAGACTGGGGAGGGTTTGTGTTTATGTCTTGTCTGTTATCAATGGGGGCTTGTGGTTGAGCATTATCAGAGAGTGCCTCGAGGTCAATCAGGGTGGTGGCATCTGTAGCGGGTTGCCCAGTATCATGATTAAGCTCAAAGCTAGCTGACTCAGGATTAGCCGCCTCCTGGCTGGGTGGCTCAAGGCTTGTCGGTTCTGACATTAACCCAGACATAGTAAATTGTCCACTCAAGTATGCACTATCGGCCGTGCCTGGGGGTGACTGGAAAGGTTCTGAACTCAATGGAGGAGCATTCAGGTCAAAGTTCAGTAAATCATTTGCTGTTGCAGGTTGTTGTTTATTCGGTATCTCTGATAGACCATTTGTAAATGGATTTGTGGAATTATTTGAGAAGGGATTTGTTGAGGCATAATCACCATTCATGACTGGTGGTGAGACCATCACACCTTCATCTGTGCTGACATCTCCATTAATCTTATTCTCATCTAAAAGTACATTGATGGACAGACCAAATACAATAAGGTTTTCAATATCATATGTAGACCTGCTAGAGACATAAAATAAGAATATACAGTAATCAAATGTAATACAAAATAACATTAAATTATGAACAATTGCATGTATGTTATACCTGTCATCTCTAAGGTAAGGTAGCTCAGTATAATCTGAAGAATAAACATCAATGTTAAATATAAATAGAATGCCTTCGAATAATATTGTTGTACCACTTCAACAATAGGAATGAAGTATTGTACTCTGTTATACTATATGTTGTCCTTAAAGGGGTATTCCTTGCAAGACCATCTCTCTCCTAATATGGTAGCTGTAACCATATACATACTTTGAAAGTTCATCAAAAAACAGAAAAATGTTTTGAAATGGTCAATATTGATCACTTAAAAATGTAGTGCTCAATTCCAGTAGGCTGCCATCTTTTAAAATTTCACTCAGGAAGTGATGTCATCGACTCTCAACTTTGCATATAACATTAGGTAAGGAGCTATTAGAATTACTAAACCAGCTGAATATTTTTTTCAATTTGGTCTATGATTAAAATCCTTTTGATGATCTCTTCTTTAGTTCTAAGTCGACAACTCCTGAAAATATTTTTACATAGAAGATAAGGGCTTCTTGTTTAGAAGTGATTTTATACTTCTTTCCTATACTGTAATAGACAAGGTTATAACAGGTGAGAGTCGATGACATCACTTCCTGAAAGAAATCTGAAAAGATGGCAGCTTACTGGGAATGAGTACTACATTTTTAAATGATCAATATTGACCATATGAAAACATTTTCCCGTGTTTTGCTGAATATGTAAAGTATACATATGATTGTAGCTACCATATCAGGAGAGAAATAGTCTGGCAAGGAATGTTCCTTTAAGTCCCCAGGTCAAACATCTTATGCCATGGACTTGTATATTGGAATGTTATGTAGATCTTTGTGACTTTTTGCTATTTCTTTTAAACCTACCAAGAAATAATAGTATGCAGCTCAAAACAAAATTATTTTCATTTCACGTTTTAAAGCCTCGAACTTGCACATCAATTTTGAGAAAATTCTAGTTTAAAAAGCAATAAAACTATAATTGCTCAGCGCATGTTTAATTGTTCAGGTAAATGGCTATAAAAAGGATAATTTAAAACAATTATATTGATTCTACAATGTTCATTTGTAAAACAATAAGTACTCCTTAAAATTTCCTAACACATGCTTCACATAAAGGTCCCTATGAAAGTAGCTATGAAAGCAGTTTCAGTAGACAAGATCAATAGCCAATTCTGCTTAACTGCTACATTTCCCTCAATAGTTAAAAAACAGTGTTCGTCCTCGATCAATTAAGTTCTCGATATTGCTTTTGAATCATCCTTTGAAATGAATGAGTTTATCTACCACACTATCTATATACTAGTACATATTATAAGGATGTTAGGATGTCTTTATAAACTAGATCTGCTTCCCTTGCAATGGAAAGATGCTTTCTATAAAAGAAGTAATATTGTTTTTTCTAAGATTACATGAACAGGCTCAATACATTTTGGCCAAAAAGTACATCAAAACTGATCCTCCATTTGATCACATGAGGCCAATTTTAAATGACAGATCATACTTCTCAAGGCTATATTATATGGTAGAAGAATCCTGTGAATGTCTACTTCTTGCATACCAGTGCAGGCCTGTCAACTGTCCCGCAATTTGCGTATTTGTCACGCATTTGCTGAAGATTTTGAAGTCACGCCAGTTATTTTTGCGTGACAGAAAATGTCACGCAAATACGCATTTTACCTGGTATTTGTCAAGCACAAATATTTCTGTAGAAAAATTTCTAAAAAAGATCGTCTACACAGCAAAAATACGAACGTCGGAAAAAAATGTACGCATTTCGTTCGGACTTATCACGCGAATTACGTATATGTCACGCATTCTGTTCGAAATTTTTCGTACCTACCCCCCCCCCCACCCCACCTCCACATTTTGAGGGGAGGTGTTCAACATTTCCAAGTCACTCATGTTAGGTGTTCCCAAGTTGACAGGCCTGCCAGTGATTACTGATACTGATCAAAGCTGTGTTTTGCAGCTAGCAACATGCATGCATCAAGACACATGCTGGGGATCATGGCTTATCATAATGCTAGCATACCATCACATTAGGATGACTCAGATCCCAGGGGAGAGTTAAAGCTACAGAATGATTAGAAACGATAAGACTGGGATCAATAGCTCACTAGCCTGTAATGTTGACAAACCCTCTCTAGAAAATGAGACATACATGTACAAAGCAAACATGTACCATTTTCACAAAAACATAGGTTCATACCCAACAGTTTGATTTCACTTCTTAAAGAGAGCTTCATCTACTAAACTCCAATAATCAGGGTGATGGGTTCACTGTAGTCAACTCAGAAAATGGAAATATTAAAACCAAATCTTCACACTCGAAATACATAAAATGATAAGATTTTGAGGTGAACAAAAAGGATCAAGTCTTATATAACTCCATTGTGTGACACAACCTTCTGCTGATTTTGATACATTGGGGGAGGGGGATATATAAGGACTTTGATGCATAACTATGCTATGCAACAGGAGAATCCCATAGTAATCGAATGACAAATGCTAAATTGAATTAAAAGGCCCAATTATCTATCTCCTAGATCTATAGTGAAAGTGGTTTCATTCATAATTTAGTATGATGATTTAATTATCAGATGGTTGGTTACATTTAGTATTGGGCATGAGCCATATTGGAATGTCTGCTAATTACAACTTGGTTAAATCTATTCTTGGAATTTTATTTCAAGCAATTCCGGTTCTCACTGATATCTTGAATAGAATATTTGAAATCATTGTATTTCTTTATCTGTAATCAATTCACGAAGAGAAATATTTTATGATCATAATTCATAGAATCATATATTGCTCAAAACATTTGTTGTAACAATATTGTGGCTTAGTAAACCATACTTCATTATACACTTCACACATTTCATTGTTTTGTTGTTGAGCTTGTAAGTTATTAAATCACAGATCCGACACATAATAATTGTGGAAAACAATTATGGAAATTGTAATAATGATTGTAATTATTATGATAATGGCTAAGATAATAAATATAATTTCAGAACTGATATCTGCAGTATTTTAAAACTGATTCATTCATTCTTTAGCTTTATTGTGCTAAGCCAACTGTGCTATAACATGTGTGCTGGGATAAGTGTGCCAACTGAGGATACATTGTTATTACACATTAAGTATTAGATTAGCAGCACCATACTATTTATATTTTACAAACAAAATCTTTTTGTCAAATTTGTACCTATTGCCTACAAGAAAATTGGAAAGATGAAAAATAGCTCCAAGTGCAACTGTGCAACTATTTTTGCTTCCAGTAAGGCTGTAATAAATCAAATCAATGTTTCACCTCAGGTTTGGCTTCCTGGGTTTAGCAGGCCTGCAATTATGTATAGTAGCCTTAACATGTCATCAGTATAGGATTTCTGTTTCAGTTCTATGTACAGTATCTATGGGTTTCACATTTACCATCTACATGTATATGAGGTGAAATAGCAATTAACAGAATAGAATAATTAGAATACTGTCAGGAAACCATGGCAACATTACATTTTCTGCCAATAAGTAGCTAACAATCATTTCATATTCAACTCCCTTTGAATGCCAAGAAAGGTACACATGCATATGACAAATGAGATCATTAAGATCATATTAACATCATCAAAACAAATGCATTTGTTGTAGTCAGAAAGTTAGTATAGCTGACTGGTAGAGGTTCAGCGTTCTACCAACACCGACGTTTATTCTGGTATTTCTGAAACCTACAATATTGATGAACATATAATTTATAGTTAGAATATTCTTGTTTTCTAAATGCAAAAAGAACAGTATCAATATTATTGTAGGAATTTGCATTACTGTAAATGTTTCTGTGTGATAAATCAGGAGAACCTGACAGGCAAACAATACAGAACACATATTTTATTGATCACTTTACTACAGAGCATTAATATATATAAGACACATAAACAAACTTACCATGCAGGCTCATGTTGCGAACACCATTCGTTGGTGATGTCGCCATCTTGTTAGATGATGCTTTCTTTTAGCTTTGCGATGTAATCCAAAATATATTTTGTTAATCCAATTATAACGTCACACTTTTGTCTCTATGAATCAGGGAGCATTGTATTATAATCTAGTATTCCTTGTGTTGTCTCCTCAAAGAGCCTGAAAGTTGCATAGATTATTACTAACATGCAATAAGTTATGTCGCATCCAGTATTAATGCTCTATTGATTTTTAGAGAACCTATTCCGCAGAAACAACTGCAGGGTACTTATGAATCAAATATATTGATGGAAACCAAAGAGAGTCTCAGTAATTATAGACATAGCCCATGCGCTCTTTTATTTAACCACTGCAGAATTCTATGTTAGAGCCTGAGGTTTACAGGCTAATTGATTATTTCTTAAGAACAATAAACTGTATTTTGCCTTTGTCTATGAAACACTGTACTATTGCAAATAAAATGGCACCTTTCAATTATAAATAGCTCAGAGAAAAACAATAAGTCCCTTAGGGTTCATGTTATACTTTTATTCATTAGTGTTATTATATGAAGATAACAAAATTCCCTAACGAATAACATCTGTAGCTTTTGTAAACGAACATCAGGTTGTCATGACCCTTCAGTAATTATTCATCAGGAATATATATACAATATCATCATTATTTATGCAGTGCAGTTATAATTACAACAACAACATTATGTGAATTTTTTGTCTCTTCTCAAAAATGTTGGCCTTGAGATTTTTTGATTTTCTAAATGTAAATAAATTTATCGCATTAAAAATGTATTCATTCTTCTAACTTAAATTTATGATGGAGAATCAAAGACTTTTTGTTAAGCTCATTTTTGTTATGATATTCTGAAAATTATTCTTAAAATAACAAACAGTATCAACAACATTATATATCAGCTTACCTTGAAGCATTGAAGTACAAATCTACCTCCAGGTTTAAAAATATACAAATCCAGCTCTAATTTAGCATTAACATTTGATCATTTGATCAAGCTCAAGGTAATCAGATCTGATATCTTAGCTCAAGGTAGCAATCTCCAGAAATACAATCTCACATACACATAACAACTATACAATGAAATTCATGTTGGCTTTTAGTCAAGGCCTTCCTTATACAGTTAATCCAATACTCTAATCCAAACAAATGGCACAAAAGATCTTGGTCAATGTTTAGAAATCTGAAACCTACTTGCTAAGTTCTGATATTAAGAACACAATACAAAGTTGTATCTTTGTCCACACAATAAAGAAGTTTTCTTATGATTGTGATTTTTCGATCAGCGTTTCATTTTCTGAATTTTTTAAGAAATTGAGTAAAAGCTTCACGAGGTTAACCTTATTCTCTTTTGTTCTTTATTTTTTGGATATACACAATTGTACGTTATACAAACAGGTCGAAGTAAAACTGGTGTAAACATTATGGTTCGAAACATTATACCTTTAGGCATGGAGACTTTTTGTAATGGATACCAAGCTTTTATTCATCAATGTCCACTTTACCAAACAAAAAATCATAACGCTTTAACACAACTGCATGCAAAATAGTTTTTTTCAAGTGAATTAAATTCCACAAAATCAAACGGCTTTCAAAATGCAGTCAATAAAAACTGTTTTATCAAAACTACTTGTCAACTCCTGTTTTTGTGTTAATAGGCTATAAAAAAAGTTTGATAGTGATAAGTTAGAGTTTACCTTAGCAACAACACTACAAACATATTAAAACTGATTTTGATTATTGATACTATAAACTGCAACTGCAAATAATAAATTTCAAATCTATATCATCCAACAAATAGGCATTGTCTTGCTTAGCAATAAGCATAAGTAGTTAAAATGCACTTGGAATGGATCTCTGTTAAATCTATAAGAATCTAAACATAGAATTCCAGACCATTGAAATCTCCAGCTATTGGTCTATCTTATTAATGGTAAAGAATATGAGATTTATAGGCCAAGATCCTGTCTGTACAATGTCTCAATCTGATAATTCACAATGATTGAGTGGAAGTGGCAAATTGAATAAAAACGTTATTCCATCTGATTGGGATAAGATAGATTTGAAGAAAAACAGAAATTAAACTTTTTCGAAAATATTACTGATTAGGGGGTAATATAAAAAAATTTAAGAACAGAATAAATATATCTTAAAATCCAAACAATTGAGGTGAAACACAATAAAGAATATATTTCAACAATGTAAAACAAAACAACATTGAGCAGCCTCATAAAAATTTATGTTGTACTTACTGTAAATAAAGATAAGTCCAAATATTAACTTTATGTTTAACTCCTGTTTTATTTCTTATGCATGTATAGCAATACTGTGCTCAGTGAACTTTTCTATACCATACACATACAACACCAACCACTTCAATCATGCAATGCTAAAAATATACCCAACTTGCCTAATTCTTGCCAAGCGCTCGGTGGTTGTGTGCCAATTTTAACCTACTGTATTCTGGGTTTTGTTGTTTTCTTGATCAAAGGTACATATGCTCATTTATCATTTATAGTGTCCAGTTAACCTACTCCAAAGGAAAGTAATAAAAAACAGGGACCAAGTTAAACTTTAGTTCTGCCTTTTCAAACATTTATGTTATGAATATATTAAAGTACCCTTTGAAGCCTATTATGAGATAAAAAATGAGCCAGGTGTCCAAACAGCCTTTTGGACAAAAAAAACTGAATCTAAAAATAAAACTGCAGGAGATGCTCTAAATAATTCAATGGTTTAAACTGACTTGTTTAGTTCGTAAGTAAGTTGGATTTCCAGTAAAAGTAAAATTAACGCAATAATCTGGTCAATTTTAAATCAAAAAATAAAGTTGTTTCATAATGCAACACCATTTTAAAATGATTTATAAATTATATGGTAATTTATAAAATATACATACCCCATTATACAGACCTTCACTTTTCAAGTACATCACTTACTGCTGTACAGGTGAATTTTATATGAGATAAAGATAACCTAAATAGTTGAGATAAATTAAGATAATACCTGGTAATAAACAGACCTTACTTCCCACAAAACAGCACATATACAATCAAGGTCAGATTAGATTACAAAACATCACTCAGTAGTGAAGATAAACTTTATGTTAACCTTGCCTTTAAAAGATAAACTTACTTATCACACGGATAAGCTTAAATACCAAAATATTTCTCTGATTTGCTTACAGTTCAATAAACCTATGAGTTTTGATTTACAATAATGAAGTCAATCAAAGTTGAGATAAGTGTTTCTTATTTTGAAATTATGTTGCATTTAAGGTTTTTACATGCCATTGATATAATAAAAAAAAAAAAAAGGTATGTCATATTTCATTGAATCAAGCATTTAGTTTACAAGAGCACTGCTTCTAGCCTGATTTTTTTTTATCAAGTACCAGGCCGGGATATACCCCTGTGTGGTCCAATAATTAATTTTTAGTATTTTTTTTAATCAATTGGTCCATTTACACTTGACAGATTGAGAACATGGTCATAGTGATTGAGTGTTGTTATTGACAATATAGTTCCTACACCTAAAGGCTGCATAAAAATGAACTCTCTGGAAATGAAATGACTGTTTTTGGGAGTGATTACATCTGTATGACCTCATAAAAGTTTTCATGGTACATATTTTGTTGGAATTTAATATCATCGTGGAAAGCGACATGAAAGTCAAGTGATAAACCAATCATGCATGTTTCCAAACATTCTCCTTTAGTCAGTAATTTCAAGTAAAACTTTGTAAAAGGGGTAGATCATATATGATAGCAATTATTGTATTTAAGCTTGTTGTTCATCTTCTTCATACATCTAAACCTAAAATTATCAACCATAAAATTGTCAGTTCTTCTCGGAAAGTGGACTTGCAAACCCTAAAAAAAACACTACAGTAAGAATACGAAAATTGAAATTAGTTTCCTCATATTATGTTTCTATTCATACATCCAAGTGCTATGCAAAATTTAATGACATTGTTTCATTGAAAGCTTGCATAAAGTTACTATACAGACTACATTCAAATAAAAAACTAACATTCTAAAGTGCCCTTCACAATTCTAAATGAATCCATTTAAAGTTTCTATTTAAAGCAGTTGTAAATTCAATTGCCTTTAAAAAATTTTATAGTGCTGTTCTTTGTAATATTTGCCCAACACCTGAAACAGGAAAGAATATGTGTAGGTTCAATAAAACTTGAAGTATATACATAATATAAAGTGTGTGTTCCTTTTAACAACAAGTCAATTTACATGTCAATATAATGTATACCTATAATGGTTTCATTCGAGACAAGTGTTTGTCGTCAAACAGAAACTTACCAAGGACATGTGGTTGGTATGCTGAAGTAGCAGCTGAATGGTACACAGGTGATCTACCCCCATCCCACAACACACTGACTTATATCATTACATCTACATTACATTCAAGCTTGACCTAATGACCTTTTGTAAAGGTATGTAGAAGTCATTTGACCCTTTGATCCTTTTCTACAAATGAAATAAAAAACATATTCTTTAACTTGGATAAAGAACCACTATTTTGTCTATTTAGTGGCTTTCTATAATATTTCTCTTCACATTTCATAACTGATTTTTTCAGAAAAAGTTTCAAATACATTGTTTCAAGATATGTTTCAAAATAGTTCATATATGATATCCCATTCATGCTTAGTGATCAGGAAAATGGGACAGGGGATGCAGCAATTTCTGCTCGAAAATCCAAAAATCTGAAAGATTTATTTTTTCAAGAGAATGTTTACTATTGAATTGCTGAATGAATAGGCGCATGGTATGGTAGAATATCACTGGTCAGTATCAAGCGAATGTAACAGCTGTAACCTTTGCATCAAAGATGGCGGATGTTTACTGTCGATTTCTATATTTCTAGTTTTTTGATATTTTTAGTTTAAACTACGTTATAGTTGACGTAATGCTTTGCTATTTTAACTATATATGACATGGAAACTCTGCAGTGTGATCATTTGTTCATAATACCATGCGTAGGCACCACGGTTCAACGATATCTTCCACTGCTTAAGGGAAGGTAACAGGGAATTTGGTTTTACAGGTGATAAGATAACTGATATGCGGTGATGCAGTAACGTTATGAGAGTTTATAATGGACAGCTAAGATGTCCAGTTACCGCGTCTTGAAAACTAACACCATATTATCATACATTTCCAGTTACCTTCCCTTAGCGGGGGAAGATATTGTTGAAGTGTGGCGCCTACACATGATATATGAACAAATTATCATATTCTACTGATTTTGTTCAAATACCAAAACATAGGCCTTCATATGAATACCTGATTTACCCGGTAAGTGCAATCTTGCCAACTAAGCAAAACAAGGTGTTAACATGCAAAATAATTTTGGGCCAAAAAAGCCTTAAGGCCCCAAAAAGTGGGCCTTTTTGGTCATTACTAGGCCTTCTTAGACCTTATTCTTGAATTTCAGGCCAAATTTTGAAGAAAATGGGCCTCAAAATTTGGGCCCACTTTTCGGTTTTAGGGGCCCAAAACTTTTTGAGTTTTTATCTCTGACCGGAAATTTGAGCCCCCCCCCCCCTTGTTGGTTCCTGGATCCACCCCTGCTATGTATATCTACTCTGCTAATTCATTGTAAACACAAACAAGTACCATTTTGATACTCAACACTCTTTCTGTCATAGCTGAAAGCCCATGATCATACTAGTGTGAAGCTAATAGAAGGCCATGATTTCTCATGATGAACAAGTACTAATTGCAATCCATTTGTCCTTAACAAACCTTACTTATGTGCCAAAGTTAGCGAAATCTACCCAGTTGACATGAACAATATTATATTGACCAAGCAATAATCCCGGGAATTGAAAAAGTATTGATGAAGGTTTATAAAGAAATACCAAAGGTTACTGATTAGTTTATATATTCTTATCTAGACAGTATTTCTAGTATAAAATATGTTATTCATGACCCTTGAACATCACACAATTACTTTTATGAACTAAAATAGATATAAAAACCTGTTCAGTACGCTAATTTAAAGAAATTAGGAGAAATTACCTGCAATTTCAATATTCAATTAACACTTTCAGAACGAGGCTCGGCGCCAATGCAAATTCGTACCGAACGAAAATGATACATCTTAAATAGTAGTGACATCTTTATAATACTATGAAACTCAATTTCTTACTTTGACATTGTAATGGACTTCTAAATCAATATTAGTACATGTTCTGAAGAATGAGTATTTTCAATATTTTAACAAAATTCTAAATTATCACGGAAAATTTATTTTTGCAGTACTTTCAGATGCCCGAGATACCCGTGGATTCGAGTCCCACTGTCTTTAAATGTTCAGTGATGGTTCATTGGTTGATACATTTACTAGTTTTATATGCTCGTTCTTCAACTGTTGCCCATATATTTGTTCAATAAGAACAAGTAACATGATGCAAAAACATAAAAAAACTTTTAATCTCATCATCTTTTTTTATTTTTCTATTCAATTTATTGTCTGTACAATTTCCTAAATACCTTTATTTTTACAAATAAATACTCTATTTCCCACAGGTTGGTATCGAAAGATTTGTCTGCTGTGACGGAGCATGCTATTTTTCATAAAAACACTAAGAATGCTTCACGATTTATTTTTTAACTCATATGTTTCGTTATATCAAAGAAAATTACTTACTCCATGCAATGGATATATCATTTGCGTGTAACCTTCACTTCTGTTTGAAGTCCAATAACGCTAGGAGTAAAATCTATTGAAAACGGCGCCAGAGTATCAAACTCTAAAATGTACCATTTCTTTTTTAACTTTTTAATAGCATGATATAGTGACACGATAATATTAACATATGTTTTCAGCATAACTCTGAATGTATTAATGAGATATTAATGCATTGGGTCTTTTTAATTTTTTTATAAAAAATAATATTAATATTTTTTGTCCGCTGTGACGGAGCATTTTCACAGTTCACATTTGCAACTGCTCCGTCACAGCGGACAAAAAAATTAAACATTATTTTTTTATAGAAGAATTAAAAAGACCAAATACATCAACATCTCATTTATCATGTTTATACCTTCATAGTTATGCTGAAACCATGTGTAAATATTATCGTGTCACTATATCGTGCCATTAGAAAGTTAAACAAGAAATGGTACATTTTGAAGTATGATACTCCGGCGCCATTTTCAATAGCTTTTCTTCCCAGCGTAATTGGACTTCAAACAGAAGTGAAAGTTACCCGCAAATGATATATCCATTGCATGGAGTAAGTAATTTTGTATGGTGTAACAAAACATATGAGTTAAAAAATAAATCGTTAAGTATTCTTAGTGTTTTTATGAAAAATAGTATGCTCCGTCACAGCGGACAAATATTTCAATACCAGCCTGTGTTTCCATGATATACAAATTATCACAAAATCAATCAGAATTAACGACTAAAATAAGATTATTACTTCATATATATTAAAACCTGTCTATTAAGATGCACCATTTTATTGGAGATCTACCAGATTATCTTGGGCATTAAAATGGACAGCAATCACAGGATGCCATGACAAATTCAGTACATGTATCCAAAATAATTCTACATACATTATTTACAGGTACCATTGTATTTAATCTGTGGAAACTCATTTTAGATTAGTTTTAAACGTTATTGTAGAACACAAATCACACACAAACATATTTAAATGGCCATAAGGGCATGCATGATGTGCTACTGTCATGGACATAGCCAGTTATGACTTATGAGGCATACAAGGCAAATTGCCTCACTATAAATATCAGAAAATTTCAATTGAAACCATGAAAATGAAGTCTAACACAATGTTTAGATCCTGGCTACATCCATGCACTGCATTATTCACTGTCATTTTCTTTTTTCATTCCTTTCAACTAATGATCTTGCTTCAAATTATATTGAAGTATATATGGTTCAATTTCTGAGATGCTTACATAAAGATTATTATATTACTGAGATATTATTGAAGGACAATTTTGCATCGCCTATTGGAGTGAAAGTGAAGTATAATAAGACATTGGGAGAAAACTTCCCATTAAGTTTTCTATGTCCATGATAGCACAGTACAGTGTAGTGGAAACAACAATCACTCCAATCTTGGCCATGATTGGTTCATCAAGTTTTCAGATTCTTACATAAACTACCAAACTACCCAATGCCAGCCCATGGCCTTCTCTTATTGGGAAATACAATTGCCAAGAGACCATCTCTGGAACATATCTTGATTTCATGATTTGTGGAAAATTGAATCCAGAAATCACATAACTCATAACTAACAGTAAGTTCCAGAAATGGGCTCTCGATTAAAAGCATAAACATATTCAGCCTCTATTAAAATCTAGTAAAGGGCTTTTACTCTAAATTTACAACTTCAATCTCAATCAAAAATACATAATAATATAATATACAATACTCATTGTCTGGAAACCCATTCAAAGGTCATTCCATAAACATATAAACATTTACAGAAGATACTTCTGCACCTATATTAAGTACATTAATTGAACATCTTATGTATTCACATACAAAAGGCCCTTGATTAAATTCCTAAGAACTGTACATGTTCAATTATATACAATGTCTGGAAGTAATATATATCTTACATATGTTTATAAAAAATGAGCGAATTATGTACATCTTTCTATATTTTACAGTGTACTGCACAGGATTTGATTATAGATAACAATATAATTACATTTTGATGCTGTTCTTCACAATCATATTCTTGATTAATTTTGCCTAGCCTATAATGAACAGACCCGCAACAGAATATTATGTCACATATATTTACAAAGTGTCCATTTGAAATGGTTATCTTGAAATGTGAAATGTCTTGCTGATGTGAAATACTAGATCAAGGTGTTTGGGCAATAAATTTCAAAGAAAATTACAAATTAAAAAGCATTTACAGTTAAGGATTCTTTTCTTATAAAACACACTGGTGATGCAGAAATGTTTCAAAACTTAAATAAGGCATGGACATGTGAAATGTCACCACCTGCCATTTGCTACAGACACTGAATGCCGACCGTTGTACATCATCCACAAAAACCTGAAGACTTTTAACAGTATGTCACCACTTGAGGTGGTGACATAAAAATTGAATTCAGGATGAAGGACATAGTCATCATTGTTTGTTTGGTCCTGTTTGCTCAGTGGCTTTGTACATGCAGGATTTCATCCATGTGAACAGACAATGCATTTTAGCATTGACCAACCACAGTCAATAAAACTGACATTCTCCATAGAGCACTTTTATATGTTATTGATAATAATTTACTTTATGATCCAAATTCCAGGGTATCTTCTGTTATAGGTTTGAAATCAAAAGAGCCTCTACCATCCATGTGTAGATAGTACTGAAAATAAAGAACAACGTTTTTCAAAATGATAAAACAAATACAACACACATAGTGTATATCATAGTACTTGTTGAATATTTGAAAGACATTATGATAGTACTTCAAACAGTATCAGGTTACAAAACGTGAGTGAAATCTGACTTGACTTGAATCAAAAATGAGTTTAAGAAACACATGGTATATAACAAAGACTTATGGAATTACAGGGACATAGAAATGAGAATACAGTTCCAAAGACGAACTTACAGAGACATATGTCTACCGTGTAACATAGACTATATATAAAACTGACCTCATGGTGTTTCCAAAGGGACTTTCTATGTGATACAGTGAACAATGTGATGCCCACTTCCCTACAGTATTGGTACATACAAGCCTCCACATCTACACTCACAGCACTAGTGCACTCATCTAGGATTGCGAATTGGGGTTTGTGATAGAACACACGAGCCATCTAGAACAAGAATGATTTATAATTTCATCTAACAATATCACATTGTGTCATCCAAGATAGTATAACTTAATATTTATATGAATACCAATTTCAAAAAGTACCTGAACAACTACTATAGGTTACAAAATTAAAGCATATACAGTGCAAGACTTTTGGGACAACTTCATTTAAATTGTGTATTTCTCATTAAGCTGTTACTGCATCTAAGTTATTTGCATTTATGAAGATTGTCAATATCTTCAATATCACTACATCTTGCAAATATAATATGAATGCACAATTGCTAGCTTATATCAATACATACAGCAATTCTTTGTTTCTCTCCTCCACTGAGTCTGTCCATCCAATCATGCATAACATCCCATCCTCCCTCTCTCTCCAGAATGTATGTAAGCTGCACCTAAAACACACAAATACTAAATATGCATCAAGAATTAAATTCATTTGGAACTCATATACTCATATCATATATATCTATTTTATTTTTGCAAGTATATAATGCGTACACTTATTACAAACGTTAACACCATTAGTTGGCCATGAATGAATATCAACCATTGAATGGATAAATATAATAGACCTATGAAATCATAAGATATGACTTTGGATTTGTGTTTGCTGCTTAGGCACCACAAGTTGGAGACTATAACAATATGTCACCACTTCTGGTAGTGACATAATAATACTATTATAAGGACCAACCTTGTCTAGATATTCTTCTAGATCTTTATCAGTCATTTTCTTTTTCTTCAGGTCTTCCAAACTATCAGGGTATATGACTTGGTCCCGTAGGCTCCCAAGGGTCATGTATGGCCTCTATAAACATATGCAAATTGATATAAAATATTGTAATATGCAGGAGTATAAAACTAGATTCTTTTGTCCTCTTATACAACATCCTAATTACCACCATATTTACAATGCATATATTTTCACAGGGAAAAATGTTGTTCTGGGAATGAACCATACATCAGTGTTTTGTAATCGAACACTAGAAATGCAATAACATTTTTACATTGATATAAAAAATGATCATAAGAGAATTAAATTATTTTCTTGTATTTGTTTCATTATTGATTTGACAAATCATTAGTAATATTAGTCACTTACTTGTGGAATATAAAACAGTTTTCCTCTCTCAGGTTTTGTCATGGTACCTCCAAATAGTGGCCATAGCTGAAATAAGAGTAACTTGATTTCTAAATCACATGAAAATCATAATTTGTTCCTTGGTATTATATTAAACTGTGATTTTCAAAAAGTTGTAAAAATTTTATAATTTGATTACTCAAAACTTGAGGCAGTGCATTTCATGTTTTTCCACATTAAATGTTCATTTCTCCCCTCACCAATATAACAACTATTTTTTCTGCAACTGCCAACATTTGGGCACTTTTTCACAAAACCCTTTTTCTTACCTCTCCCACCATTCTGAAAAGTGAGCTCTTCCCACAGCCATTGGGGCCACAGACTAGAACATTCATTCCTGACTTCACTTCAAAGTTCAGTTCTTCTACTAGAATATCACCATTTGGAGTAACCAGTGGAACTTTCTCAAATCTGAAATTATCATTATTTTTTCAATAAATGTAGATAGGAATTAACTTTGAATCATTCGTACAGATTTATATATCTAGTAATATAGGAAATGATATATCTTTAAATGATATACAATACATGTCATGGTTTAACGTTATATCATATGGTATTCATCCTTAAACTTGGGTATTGGTTTCTTTGGCACACCCTATATATCATAAATATTCATGCAGGCTGCTTTAAAGGTGTTTGATAAATCACAAAAACAGAAAAAGAAAATCTTCTTTACTCACTTAATTATTTTGTCTTTAATCACCACAGTTCCCGAGCCAGGTTTAAGATCAGCCTTTTCTTTGATAGCTGAAATATGATTAACAGCATGGGTAAAAGAAATCTTAATCAAGATGTATTTGATTAAATAAATCAAGAAATATGATAATTGACAATATGAGGGTTTGTTTCTAGTTTACCCTATATGCATGTAACTGATATATTATGTATATTGTGAAATTCATCTGATTACCATGATTGATATTTTACTTGAATCCTTGATCTGCCTACGATCAGAAATTATTATTTTGTGTAGTTTTGACTTTTTGCGAGCCATTCTATAAACAGTACATATGAAACTTACAGTTGGGTTTGTCATTCTCAGATACCATTGTCCTGGTATATTTTCCACTGTTTAAGTCATCCAATACTTGGATAAGTTCAGTTATCCTAGCTGTAAAACTGCAAAATTAAAACAGAATTCATTGACTTTATTTCCTGTCATACTAAACATACATATTACAGAATTCTTTTATCTTTGGGATACTTGGAAAATAAACAATTGATAATTACACCCTGAAATATTAATAAATTGTAAAATGAATCCACAGAATGCATCCAATTTCTTCATATCTCCTCCCACCTAATGTTAATGTTAAGTATATGAATAGTCTTCTAAAAGTCATGTTTCATTGCTCTCCAATACCATAAACCTAACTCCTTACCCAGCAAGTCTAGTGAGCTCTCTTCCTGCTAAGACTACACGTCCAATAGCTTCTGCCATACGCACCAACATTCTACCACTGCGGTAGTAGTCCTGAAAAAATGTGGAATTGTAAATATAAAGGAATTTGAGAAGATAAATACTGAATACTTTCCCTATACTGTACTAACACTTCATATGATCAAATATTGGAATATATTTAGTCCTTAATCTAATCTAACCTTATAATGATAAATCAAGGTGTATTGATTATTACAATTAAAACTGTTATATTTTCACCATAGCTTTTACTAAGAAATAGTTATAGATCTATCAAAACCCTAGCCTAAGATAATACTGCTGCGTATCTAGCAGATTTGGTGTGTGCAAAATTAGAAGTGTTCATATTTACAGCAGAGTGCTTAACATTTGGGAAATAATTTAGATGAGTGACACACAAATATGGTATCCATACCCCCAAACAAGTTTTATAATGGAGCATTAATCAAATAAAATGTAGCACTCAAAATCAAGTTTAGAATTTTTTATCGTGAAATTCTCAAAAGCTACAGCTAAGCTATAAGTAGAAAGCAATTCCAAAATGGACTCTATATATCTATAAATACAGGGTGGGCCAAAAGATTTTGCAAATAACATTATGGTATTGACATGAAATTTTTTTTTGGCCCACCCTGTATTTGTAGGAATACAAGAACATTGTTCTAATCAACAATACTTATCTACCTCTAGTCTGTCTGCATGTGCAGTGTTTTCATATTTGTTGGAAAATAAAAATGGCTGACAGACTACCATGTAGCCTACTGTAGTTGCTACATCTGGAAGAACAGATAGAAGCAATGCAGGGTATAGAGCCTTAATTATAATTGGATATATTGTAGTCTCTAGTTCTGGATATATAATTAAAAGATTGTAAGGGGAGGGAAGGAAATGGAATATGGATTTTCTTCAAATTGATATTGACAGAGGAAAATATACATCATAGTGGCTGAAAAGTTAAATTGAGGTCAAATTGTTCCAAGGAATGAAATCAAAGTTCCATCCTGCCCATTGAAACATAGTTACACCATGAAAATTTAACTCATTGCTGGCCAAAGCTATTTTTGGAGGTTTTCTGCTGGTGACTGGCAATTTTGATGGAAAATTGAGAAAAATTGCACAATTTCACATTAGCATAAAATGGACTGTATCAACACCCCATGCACTACGTTTTATGTTATTTGTGAAGCCAATGGCAATATATTGCACCCAACCACGTTCCCCTAGTAACCCCTACAATATTTGGTAAGGTAATTGGTATAGATTATGTGACAATTATTGGACAGATATGATTATGACGCCATAGACGAAATATCTCGAGGTTGGTCAGCAATGACTTAATTATGATGGAATCTTCTTGAATTTTACTGTGTAGATAAAGTAAAGAAGCAGTTAAATGGAGGAAGCAGTGGTATACCAAAAATATTAAGAAGATTCCATAATAGAGATAATTATTCAAAAATTAGAGGGTTACATCTTTTGTGTAACCCTGTGCAGTTCAGAATTTTGAAATGTCAGTTTTACTCTGACTGTATTTCCAAAGGAATAGTGTTATTCATGCAATAAGTATGTTTCAAATGTGACCATTATGACTGGTGCATCATTGCAAGTTAAGGACCTTACAAAGTATTCCTTGATCCAATTCATTTAATCAAAGGGTGTAAGAGAAAGTACAGTATAAGATTTGAAAGAATGTGAAAGCCAAGAATTTTATGCTATCAACAGTCATCAACTGTAAATCCATCATATTTTGCCATGAAACAAACCCATCAGCAAAATATTGAAGTTATTGTAAGAGTGAATGTCGAAGATCAAATATCTATGACAGTTAGCCCTTAGACCACATAGTATATGACTTATATCTAGCTATCTACAACTAAGTAGCATATATAGGGGGTTAAACAGTCGAACCTGGACTCTGTCTGAATGTGTAGAGTTGTCATATGTTGGATCAGAAAGATCAAGGAATGGTCGACTGACAACCATAAATCCAACCATTGTGGCAATGTCTGCAAAATTTCACAAGGTTAACATTGAAAACAAAGAGAAAATCGTAGAAGGTTCAAGAACAACATTGTTGAATACATTAAGTCCAATTCAATTTCAAATGAGACAAATCCGCCTTCCAAACTGCTCTTCCTGGAAATCTGAGGACAATCTCTTTAGAGAAAGTTGGCCTTCATCACAAATGAACTTCATTATTTTTTCCCCAAAATTTATCTTTGTGGGCATCATCTCGAGATTCAATCTGCATTATTCTAAGTGATCAGGATAGGCAACTTGTATCATCAGCAGAAGCAAGCTGATATTAATCTACAACTTATAGAACTTACTATTAGTAATTCAGGGACATATAAACTATGATTCTTAAATTTTATTGTATTGGACAAAATTGCCATATTTACAGAATGAAAGACAAATAAAATTCAAGAATCAAATGTTCTAAATTTTTCAGAAAGGAGATTAAATTAGGCCTGAGACAGAGAAACATAGAAATGCTTTCAACGATGAAGTTCTGAAGTAAACACAAATCTTTCACTTCAAATTAAAACCTGATTTTTTATGACAGTTATATGAGGATTTCTATCCAATTATCTGTCTCATCCTAAGATGTGTGTAAGAGAGGACGTTGGCCAGTAAAGGGCAGGTATGGAATATATTCTTGGTCCACTATAGTGTTCAGCTGTACCTGAAGCCTGGAACCTTGGGTTGAGTTGATGTAGCGAGGGTCAGACATATCAAAGAATGGCCGACTAACGATAAACCAACCAACAACCAGAGCAAAATCTAAAAACAATCGCAGAGATTAAAGTCAATTCTTCTGAAATACAAAATTATTGTATGTGACATGATGAATAAGCATTAACTTTTAAATATGTTTTGGCTGAAATGTACGTAAAACAGATTTTATTTTCATGATTTAATTTCTCCATTCAATATCTATGAATAAATGTCAATGAATAAAACTGGCAGTGGATATGGTAAGAGAGGGTCTTATAAATAAAATAGTACATCTAATCATCCAGAATGGAAATGTTGAATTGGGTCGAGTATTACTCCTTTAGGAGAGACATAACAGATGTTGCAAATGCTCATTTAAAAAGCTGGTCCATTGGTAATTTTAAGATATCACATTTCACAGACTGATATTTTCCTTTTTTAGCTTAGGAAAATTACAATGCATTGTCATTGTTAATGTCATTTTGACCACCTGGCAGTGGTTTCAGTAACTTTGTGTACAAGAGGCAGATGAAAAATACAAGAGGCGGCATTCAAAATAACCAACTTTACGCTCCCGACAATGCAAATTCTTGTTATTTTAGAGTCCATGAATTGAAAGAAAGATGTCCACGGTTTGTCAAAGTCATTTCCACGTGTGATGTGGCAAGACATGGGCTCCACAAAATAACACCTGGAACTGTGGAATGACTATGGCAACTTATATAGAATGTCATTTACCTTTTATAAGATAACTTACCCTTACACAGGTTGCATTTCAAAAATCCAAATACACCTGTTGAATTGAACACTTTTGATATAAATCAAAATCTAGAATTGTCATTATTAAAATGAGAGTGATGTATTAATAGATGATTCCCTTGTGATTATGTGTATATCAGATTCATTTTAGTTTTTTTACAACCTCCATAGGGTACAGGGTGTTCCAAAAGTAACAGGACTGGTGCTGGTATTTTGTTAAATATACACCAATTGTCTTCAAAATTTTACATAATGTACCTTCAAGTTTTGTAACTAAAATTGCCGAATTACATAATTTTTGTCGAAACTGATTTAGAAATCCGCCGATGCCTACTCATTGGCCGGCGCCCGGCCCATATGTGGCCTAGGCATTAGAGAGAGACCGAGGTGGGAGATATCCCCCTCCCCTCTACACCAAACTTGTTCTCACTAAGTTTTCGAAAATTGCCTGAAAGGCCTCCTCACACATTATTAAGGAAAACATATCAGCAACACATTTTGCGCATTTAACCATTTGATAACATATTGTGGATCTTATCTTAATTTGTTAATGTGAATTCGCACCTTCATTTGCATGGAAGACTTTGATAAAATCCTTTTTTTTGATGATCTTTGTTAGAAAGCTGGTGTTTGGCTAAGCTTCGAAATTTCAAATTGAACAGTCTACTAAGGATACCATGTTGTAAATATTGTTTTCTTTATTTATAATATGTCGAGCTAGGACTGTTCAAACAAATTCGCTTTTTGTAGCTACAAGTATTTAATTTCAATAGATGATAAACTTCTCAATATAAGAAATTACCCTCATAAGACATTGTTGCAAGGTGTGTTGCAATCCCGCATTCCCAGGCCCGCATTATGTATTCTCGAAGAAAGCCATCATGATAAACCATGACATCTCATTTCTTCTCGGCCAGTAATAATACTTGGCCGGTTGAGTATATATAAGGGTTATGTACTGGGAGGTTTTGGATATGGGGTTTATCCAGAGGGAGATATGCATATCTACCTGAGGGACCGTAGGGACCGAAGGTAGATGTGCATATATCACGAGGGATGAACCCAATATCCAAACCGACCGTACATAACTGCTTTATCCTATACCAAGTAAAGTTTTCTAATTTTCTTTCAATTTTTTTTATTTTTTTTATTTTTCCAATTTTCTCACATTTTTCTAATTTTTTTAAAAAAAATTCTATTTTTTTTCTTTTTCAATTTTTTTTCACATTCCAAGCGGGAAGATATGCCCTGGAGCGGGAGATATGGAGGTTCAGGATATGGAAACCTCAAAATCAGGATACGGGATATATCTTACCAACTTATCTCCCTTAAACTCTACTTGGCATAGGATAAAAAGGTTTATCCCATACTTGGACGTGTTACGGGTACATAAAGCCGGTTTGAAAAAACTTATATTTTCATCAGCTGGCAGATATAGCTTTACGTCCCGCTCCGAGCGGGCAGATATACTATATCTGCCCGCTACGTCATAATCGCCGCTCGCATATTTGTTCATATTCGTAACGTTCGCGTAATGACTGTAAACTACAATGGAGAAAACACAGACAATCGGGATCTGTTTGATGGTTTAAAAAAGGGAAAGAGCATCCACTTAATCAATCAAAAATTCGAGAAAATAAATGTGGGAATATTTGAGAGAACAGGAAAATTCGCCCACGGCCAAGAAAACAAAGCTGGACATGAATATTCTAAAATATTTCCACGATTGAACAATGTAAACCAGATGACCAAGATTGGTATGGGATAAACATATTATCCTATAGTCGGTTCAGGATATTGGGATTATCCCTTGGCCAATATAATATATTTTCCCTCGGGACCTGCGGCCCTCGGGCAAATATATTATATTTGCCTCGGGATAATCCCAATATCCTGAACCTCATATAGGATAATCTCTATATACATGTCCCAGCTTTTGGTAAGTGGGGGGTCAAACCTCCCCCCATCCACACATACACTTATTTTATCATGCAAGTAACTTCGCATTGTAATTACAAGCATGTTATAAACGAGACACCAGGATGATAAGGTATGGGTACAATATAGGGCCCAAATCTTGAGAAAGAGTCGAAGGCATGCAAGGCGAATCCTGGAAACTCGGGTTCGGGAAAGCGGGATTCACTGTTTGGTTCCGTTGACACCTGTGCGAAACTACATTCATAATTTATCCGACAGTCGCTTTGATAATTTTCTTTATCTCGTCTGTGACTCGATAAAGAAGAATTATCAAAGCTCATCAAGAATGGACGATCTTGCACAGGTACCCATATAAGAACCTCTATATCTTTTTAACACCAATATAAAGATTGAACAACGGACACACTATGTTAAAAATGTTATATCTAATGTGCCAATTCAATGATTTAGCATATCGAAAATATTTTCAACCTAAGTGACCATATCGTGACATCACTTAGGTGGCAACATTTTTCAATGTCAATCTTTTCTAAATATGCTAAACTTAAACCTGCACATCGCTCCAAAACGCAATATGTTGACATATATTGTTTTTACATTTTCAAGCTGTAATATAAAGTTTACGTAAATAAAAAAAAAATTCTGCGTAATGTCAAAGAACAATCATTTAGTTGAAAAAAAAATTTAAAAAAAAGGGGTGAATGCGGGATTCGAACCCGGGCCTCCCGCGTGCAAAGCGAGCATTCTACCGCTAGACCACAGTGATATTATGAATAATGGAAGTAATTAAACGCTACTTATTTTGAATGCTATGATTCGGAAGTGACGTCACGTTCTTCATTTAGAAACCTTTCCAAAATCATATCGCTGGCTCCGATCGAAGCAATTCAATGGAAAATCTTTGAAATGACACATTTATCGTAAGTATTTCTACACAAGATTTGCCCCATTTGTTCATCATTCTATAATCTTTCATTAAGCTCAAAATGATAAAGTTCATCCCCGAAACAACCCAAGATTGTGTTTCGGGGCAAAGTCCAGCTTTAAAAAATAAACCAATTTTGACTGTCTAACAAGGTTAAAAGGAATTATGTTTTTAATATTATTTTACCTAATTGGTTTCTATGAGAATTAAAATTTTGAAATGCATCTTTCCCTGAACCACTTTCATGCATGGATGAGTTCATTGCTCGCTCATCTATCAACCAATTTTCTTGATTTTGTCGGCAAAAAACAAGTGAGGATGATTGGTATGCATCGGTGTGAATATTCGCTTTAAAGGATAAGTGTGACCTCTTAAAATAAATTCACGATATTTTGAACAAAAAGTCCTTCAAAAACATTTTTGAAATTAATAAATAGTTTCACATTTCACACTTTGATAACATTGGATAAGACAACAATATAAGCCAAAGTGGTTTAAATTTTTATATGGGGCCTTTAACTGATTAACACAATTTTACACCCATTGGAAAGACTGTACCGTGACTGGTTGGACAGAGTTGTATCAATCATGCATGTCCAGTGGAAAATAACCAACTCTGATTATACCAAAGGTTGGAATTTGAATTATCATGCACATGATAGTGGTCAGATAGTGATCTAAAATGCATAGCCCAAACGGGTAAAAAATTGGACGGTGTTTACTACTATAATGAGATCAAGTGATCTTTACGATTATAGTGAGTTCCATTGCAGTTCGAAACTGAGGTACAAATCATAGACAAGGAAGTGCAAAACAAGATCGCTGAATAAAATAAAGAATAGTCTATAGAAGACTTTTAATTTTCCCCCAAAACTGAGACAATATTTGACTTCTAGCAAATGGTGGATTATCGAAAACAAACGGCGATTTCGGACACTCGCCCCCTGCAATTGAAAGCCCAGCCTGGTCTCAAATCATATCCACAAACCCATTTCCTCGCCTCATGGAAAATCTACTTACATTTTGCAATAATATTATCTACAAGTCCCATGCTGAAGCGGAAGAAGATGAAAGTCCTGAGATGTTCTACCAGTTTCCAGAACTGGGCAGTTATTGTTTTCCTCTCTCGCTTATTTCCTTGGTAGAATGCTACCTCTTCACTGAAACAGAGAATGTTTAAAAAATAATGAGTCTTGAAAATTTTGACTACATTGACCTATAATTTGTATAACAGAAGAGTGTCTCCTTTAGGCTAGCTCAATACCACTTCTTACATAATTGTACTATTAAATACATCATATGAAAGATACTAAACCCATTGGCCTACCTGTTAGTAATAAGTCTTGAATTAACATATCTGAACTCTCCCTCCAGTCTTTGTTCTACAACTGTCATCTTGCCTATAGGTCTACGTAACCTGGTCAATATAAGACCCGAAACAGCCAGGTACAGCAACATATAGCCTGGGCCCTGAAATAACATCATGACCATTCTCTTATTTTTAGGCCTTTACAAATATTAGCTAGACTTACAAAAGACATTGCTACATAGTGACCTTGCAGTGTAACTGTTGATCTTTAACACTACAAAGACAATCATAATGAACTGGAAAATAGATGCATATCATGTGAAGATATGACAAGAATTGTTATACTATTGGTCACAATTAGCAAGATTGCATTGGAATATTGGGCTGCACTATATGCAATAACCACTCATTGAGACTTGAAAGTCCCTTTGACAGATGAATGCATGGTTTATCATCAACAAAGCAATTATGACTTTGTTATCATATACTGACATGCTCCTTTAAGGCTAGTGAGTCTGACTCAATGCAAGTGAATATGCTTTACCTGTATTCCTATAGCACCAGTTAGTTTGACAGAGTATAGTATGATGTCTATGACAGGCTTGCTGAGGTTGGAGTAGAGATCAGCCACACTGTTACAGAACCTCTCTACATCTGTGGTCAGCAATTGATCAGCATTAGCTATCCTATTGTCCAGATTTGTCATCTTGTAGTATGTGAAGCCTCTGAAAGATAAGACAGAAAAATTAGGAAATTGATTTTCAGATTGGGGTTAATTACATATTTAGCAAGATATGGTTAATGAGCCTTATTATGGTCATTAAATTCTAAAGATGTTCAAGAAGTTAAATGTAAGGCACTTTCATTAAAGATTCACAATTTATGATTCTTAAACATTAACATCAGAAATTAATCACTTCTATTTCTAACAAAATGACAGCTCTATATTTTGGCAGTTAAGGATTACGAGTAAATAAATATAGCAAACCACTAGTGACAAAATAATTTTATTTCAAATAAACATCAGCGTCTTACTTGAGATATCTGTCATAGAGGTACATGGTCAATCTTGTCCTAAACCTGAGTTTCAGTTCATTCAGACCATACTAAAATAACAAAACAAATATAGTGTTTTGTGTTACATTACAAAAATTGTATAGGTGGCTGGGCAATCAGCAATGATCCATTTGATGTGAGACCTAATTTCCCATTGGTGTGAAAGTGATAATAAAAATGGGAGTCTTATCAAGTATTTCTTCTACAATAAATGGATGAATGAAGTGTCTAACTCTCTTATTTCTAAAACACAGTGTAGACAAGAACATTGAATACATGACTGTTTATTTTAGTTTTGGATAACTTCTCTCCGATATTCTTTTTGTACAACAACAAGTGTTCAAAATGCTATATTAATAAATTAAGAGTTCTTACCTTAAGCATGTTGTTGATCACAGAGATCTACAAAATAAGACAAACTTATATGAGATGTTACTAGTTTACCACACATATTTATGATGATTATAAAAGCAATAGTAGAATGAATTTTAAGAGATTAAATGCTCTGTTCATATTTGGAAATTTAAATGATTTCTTCTGGAACTGGCATTTATTCCCCATCCTTATCCACTCTCTCTTAAGTCTAAAATTAGATTTTGATATTACAGTTTTGTGCCTTTGATAAAGGTGATAATCCTACTTACGGCAGGCATGGCCCACATGAATTTGAACAAATGTTTCTTGAAGAGACTCATATCTCGACTGATGATGGCACTGGAATCAAAAAAACAAGAAAAATATGTTGCGTTCAAGTGGCACTTTAGCACACATGTAGGGTACTTTATTAAATAATATAAAAATTTCTAGTCAAAGTAAAAATTGTCATTATCCATTCTTTCTTCAGAATTACTTACTCAAGAACTACATTTACTATACTCTAGCAATTTCATAAAATTAATTAAAGAGATTTGCTCTACTGTATTATAAGTTGTGAATACCTTTCTATTGCTGTTCCATTCTGTATCATCCAAACATCACAGAATGTTCGAAGAAGTAAACTAGCAGCTACCATTATCATGTAGGCAACCTGAAAACAACACGATTTACAGTATGTACGCATGTGACCAACAGAATAAGCAATGCTGCATGCTACTTGGCATAGATAAGACCCTAAAATCGTTTCTAAAGTCAAAGAAATTTGACTACATACAGTTGTTTTTTCCTATTACATATTTCTAATACTTAAACAATTTAGTTATTCAAAACAATCAATAAAAATCATAAAAATGACATCAACATATTTACTTTTACACATACAAATATAGAATTATCAAATAGAGAATGCAGCTTTACCTCTGTTGTGAAGAATCCTGGCACTAGAATACGCAGGATTGTCTTGAACCTCCTGAAGAATAAACCATCAACAGCAGCCCTCTCTTTCTTCTGTTTCTGTAACCATGACAATGACAACATATAGAGAATGGTTCCTAGAGAACAACTACAGAGAAGAAGGAAATGTATGTTTTTCTTTGAGAGAATGGCAGGATCAAAAGGTATGCGTTAAAGATGGCCTGGCCAACACATAGACCCTTAGACTTCATGTTAAGAAGTCGATTATTGTTAAAAATGCACCTTACCCTGATTTTTGCAAAGAAATATATTTTTCCATTTAGAACATGAATTTATTTTTTACATATTACAGCCTTTAAAATTCTTCAAATCAAATCAATGTGTCTTTTTTCTCCCACAGAAAAGTAGAAAACTTGTCTGTGTAACTGTTTGTCCAAATGGTCTTTTAACTTACCCCATTGTCAAGTTTCACTTCAACTTTTGTATCTAATGCATGTTTCCTGTAAAATATACAACAATGAATAATTAACATGTAGATGACATACTATATATATTGCTATGACCATGGTAGTGTTATCGTGAAAGCCTGGTATAACTGTGACAATGCTATTATACTGTATATTGCAATTTGCAAGGCCTGTCATGACTGTGGTAATGTTAAAGCCTGATATGACCGTGACAATGCTATATTATATTGCAAGGCCTATCATGACCGTGGTAATGTTAAAGCCTGATATAACCATGACAATGGTTGTAAGGTCTGTCATAATTGTGGTTATGTTAAAGCCTGATATGACTGTGACAATGGTTGCAAGGCCTGTCTTGACATTGACTGGGTAATGTTAAAGCCTGATATGACCGTGACAATGCTATATTATATTGCAAGGCCTGCCATGACTGTGGTATTGTTTAAGCCTGATATAACGGCAACAATGGTTGCAAGGCCTGTCATGACCGGGTAATGTTATAGCCTGATATGACTGTGACAATGGTTGTAAGGCCTGTCATGACAGTGGTAATGTTAGATGGGTTTTGGTTACATGTACAAGCGTACATGTATATAGTCTAGATTTCAATATTTAAGGTATTTAATTTCATTACGGTGTTAATAGAAATCAAGATAAGTAAAAGAGACCGACTTGGGCAAGGCTCCTTGCGCAACTTATCAACACTTATAATAACATGGTGACAGTTGTGCCAGGCATAAGTCTTGCAGCAGATAGGGTCTCTTCTGCTGCCCCCCCCCCCCCCCCAGTCCTACCCCTGTGGCAATACTATTTCCTAGGACAAGAGAGGGGTGTACTAGACTATTACTTTTTTCAATACACAGAATGACATGACAGATATAATTAATCTAAAAATAGGTCTATAGTCAGAGTCTATTCAATATATATGTTCAGTATAGTTGTGTATCATCTGGGCTTATTCTAGTCTAGTCATACATGTATGCATAGTTGATTCAAGTTGATGGCCATGCTAGTCACACATGCACTTTGACTTTCCAGGTCAAATTTTGGGACTAAAAATTAGATTTGTTTGAAAAAAAATTCACAACTTTTCAATAGTCAAGTTAACATCCAATATCATACTTTTTAGAGGTATACTCACTTTGCACTTGCTCTTCTAGATAAGAGCTGACTATACCAGAATACTCCTGCGAACGCTGATGCAACAATAGCTGTTTTCTTCGGAGTTATTTCTCCGAGTTTACTAAGTACAGACATCTTTGAAGATCAGAGTCCAAATGCCACCCACCAGATAGCGCCACGGATCATGCTAAACTTTTGACGCATGCGCAATAGAAGACCTCGATTTTGATGCCGGAAAATTTCATACATAAACTGCTCTCTTGAGGAGTTATTGTGGTATGTATACACTGTTTTATGATTCCTGTTCAATTCTCATTATCTTTGGATCACACAGGTACACAATACGATTGGGTCTCTTGAAGGATATTTATAAAATCTTCATGTTTCTAGAATTTTTTTTGTCTTCATCAAACCGGAAATAGAATTTTCTGGTTGGAAAAATAGAATAATAAAGGATTTCACATCTTTCCTTCTTGTAGGCCTATATTATTTTAAAAACTCATCCGACATATCATATCTAAATTATAATGTTCTCTTTTGATTTCATTTTCTGATCTGTACTTTGATCTTTGCTACGATGAGTCTCGTTTGTTGTCATAAGATTAGCAATGGGCTTTCAAGAGAAGGGTATGCAACTCTGTGCACTAAGGGCAATCTACGTCTGATCCGTTTCTTTGATTCGGTTCTCTGCACATATTTTCTGACCTTTCTGCGCCTCTAAAATTTGATCAGTTAATTTTTATTGCACATACCATGGGCTTTCAACTAGAAGGGTATGCAACTCTATGTAATAACATGAGACCTTCAAAATGAGCAATGACATGCTTCCCTTTTATGGCAATATTTCAAAAAGTATTAGATAAATGTATATGTTTTAGTATTAGTTTGAATAAAAATCAATTTTTAATATGATTTAAGCATAAAATATATTCAATATCATATAAAAGTAAACAAAAGAGACCAATAAGAATAAGAGTTATCAAGATGTTCTCTTTGAGTATTGCATTGTGGGTAATTATTCAAGAACACATTCCAATAAAAAGATAATTTGTGGGAGAATGTTCACTTTCTGTATTGTCATAATTAGGATGAATTCCAATTTTTATTAAATTATCAAGATGTATGTAGAAGATCATGTTTTTATTTTTGAGTTATTTCTTTTAATCATCAATAAAAAGTACAAAATAAGATTTTCTTGGAATGTGTACATTCTCCAATTTTGAAAACCCATGGCAATGTTTATGTATGAAATATGGGAAGTTGCCTACCCTTCTAGTTGAAAGCCCATGCACATACGCAATGGTCATAGTAAAAAACAGGATAGAATTTACCCAGGAGACATTACGTTCTCAGTTTGGGCCCTTTTGCCAAATTATTGATATAAAGCAACATTATTTCATTTATATGTTTCGCCCATACATTTATTTTCCGTATTTGCCCCCACAGTCCATCATTATACTTTAAGGCCAGGGTGCATGTTGGGAAATTTTCTGGATTCCTCAATTGACCTTTTGCGATCAGATTTCAGGAATTTTGTTTATGGATACTGTTGTCACGTATTTCGTCTTATTGGTGTGACGTCATAAAGAAATGATGTTAGACATGATGGAATCACGAAATGGCGGACACGTGGCAGTTTTGAGCTAAAAAATATTGTCGTTTCTTTTATGAAAACCACGGGTCAGATATTTACCAGGTATGCCGATTTGACTAGATCATGAGTATATCTATATATGTGCGAAGTTTGGATGAAATTCATACTAAACATCGATGCCTATAAGCGCCCCCCGTTTTTGTCAAAATCGGGGGGCGCTTAACCGCTATCTAAATCATGTCAGTAAGATCTTAGACTTGGTATGTGCTTATCATGAATGTTGATCTAGTCAAATCGAATGCTTTCGTGAAAAATAAATCAATAAAGCACGAAATATAGAAGATAATCTCTCAAAATCAAGCATCTAAAGCTGGGTGGCCTAATTGTGACGTCACTACAAGATAGAATCCATTCGGTGATCGCAAATCATCAATTAAGTCATATGTTATTTTTCAAACAAGAATAACTTCTTCCCCACATTGTCTATATCTTCCAGGTTTTCACAAAGAGCGCACTTATGTGCCTAGAAAAGACTTGTGAGAAGATTTGTTTTGTAAAATTTATATACTTTATCAAAACATTCTTCTCACAAGTCTTTTCTAGGCACATAAGTGCACTCTTTGTGCAAAACTGGAAGATATAGACAATGTGGGGAAGGAGTGATTCTTGTTTGAAAAATAACACGTGGCTCAATTTGAGGAATGCAGAAAATTTCCCATCATGCACTCTGACCATAACATTCAACATACAACATGACCAGTACTGATTTTAGTAGTCTTGCTCAAAGACTGTATCCCTAGAGAGAAGGATAAAGGGGGGGGTACAGGGTCTTTTAAGCAAAACCTAGAGAGAAGGATAAAGGGGGGGAGTACAGGGTCTTTTAAGCAAGACTATGATTTTAGATGCACAATCTTTTACAAAAGTGTATGATGGATTATTTTAGGTTTAAATAACTACCTGGGATCATGGTCTTAAATTACTAAATAGTTTTGTTCACAGCATTGATGGTGGTGATTGAAATAGATAATATAGAAATAGATCAATAGATCCAAAATTTACGGTGCATGAATACATAGCACAGATTTTAAACCCGACCCAGCACCAATTGAAATTCAGATTAATAGATTAAGCTGTATTGAAACTTGTTGAACCACTTGATAAGTTTAAGGCCTTTATAGGCATCACTAAATTAGGGGCAGGCGGTTTCAAAATTTTGGGTTTGGTTTATAAATCAGTTTGTTTGGTTTTCAATCTGGTTCTTATCACACTATTGTATTCTGACATGAATATCATGATCATAAGAATGTATCAAAATTAGCCTATAAGGTTACTATGTATTTAATCTCATGTTAGAGGCTATATCTTGAAATTTCACAAATGTTTAAGGACAGGTTGCATGTTGGGAAATTTTCTTCAATCCTCAATTGAGTCACATGTTATTTTTCAAACATGAATAACTCCTTCCCCACATTGTCTTCATCTTCCAAGTTTGCACAAAGAGTGCACTTATGTGCCTAGAAAAGCCTTGTGAGAAGGTTTGTTTTGTAAAATGTATAAAAAATGAGAAAATTCAGTGAAAAAAAATTCTGAAAATTTTCTAATTTTTTTCACTGAATTTTCTTGTTTTTTATACACTTTATCAAAACATTCTTCTCACATGTCTTTTCTAGGCACATAAGTGCACTCTTTGTGCAAAACTGGAAGATATAGACAATGTGGGGAAGGAGTGATTCTTGTTTGAAAAATAACATGTGACTCAATTGAGGAATGCAGAAAATTTCCCATCATGCACCCTGACCTTAAATAATATATGTGTCAGCTGAATCTGATCAAATTAACTTGCTATTAAAAAACGAGATCAATGGTCGGGAGCTCCGCAATTTCAGTTATCCATCTAATAACTCCCTTAAATTGATGTGTACAGACATGGGGTAACAATTGCATGTAATCTTGCTGGGGTTTGATGAACCTTTTCTAGATTTCTCCACCAGTTGCTGTAAATTATTTCAGTATTAATTTTATGAACTCAACTCAAAAATGATTAAATTCATTTACTGAAATTCGTTTGCAGATATCAAGATGGCATCTGGGGATGATGGCAGTATGATGGCATCCCCTGCGCCAAATCCAAACTACCAACAGAGTGGCCCTCAGCAAGATAACATGCAGATGCTGCAAAAGGTTAGACTTATTTATTTGCAATACTATTGAATTCAAACAAGGGATGATTGTTGAGACCAATCAGATCACTTATTGTCATGCAGTTATTTTTCTCTAACCTCTTTATAAATGTTACAGCTACAGAGTTTTCTACTTTCTGGTAATAATAAATGTTTTCATGTGTATTTTGTGCAAAAACATGGTTATTGCAGTGAAACACACAGTCTCAAAGCACTTCAAATACATATAATTCTTAAAAACTCTTGCATTGTATTCTTCAGGCTATATCCACTATGGAGGAGAAGGGGATGAAAGGTGATCCACGTTACAACCAGCTTGTAGATATGGCCAGACAGAAGCAGGGAGAAGGCATGAATCCTGGACCCACAATGAACACTGCTCCAGACATGAGCAAAGGAGACCAAAATCAACAAGGTTTGCAGCAACAATTTTGGAACTGAAGTACTTGTCATGAGTCATTTTTCAGTTTCTCTTAAAGTACAGAAAATATTGTGTCCTTGAAAGATGTATACCACCACATGAAATACAGACTTTCTTGGCCAAAGTTGTTCTTTATCTTTATTCTACTTTAATCAGACTTGCACTAATCTGATCAGATCAAATCAAACATTTTTTGCTATTATTTGGTAACACCTTTAAATATAGAAATAATTTTATTCCTCCTGTCTCAGGTTTTCCAAATGCAAATGCTAGTCAAGATGGTAATCAAATGACCAACCCAATGGTGAATCAGATGAATCCACAGATGAATCAAATGAACCCTCAAATGCACAATCAAATGGGTAACCAAGGCAACCCACAGATGGCCAATCAGATGAATCCTCAAATGGGAGGTCAAATTTCTGGACAAATGGCTCCACAGATGACTGGACAAATGGCCAATCAAAGTCAGATGGGGAGTCAATATGTAGGCCCTCAGGGTGGCAACCAGCAAATGGGCTCTGATATGCAGAAGCAAACACCATTTGGGCAGTCACAATTGCAGCAATTAAGGGCACAGATTATGACCTATAAGCTGTTAGCACGAAACCAGGTTGTTCCTGATAATCTACGGCTGGCTGTGGAGGGTAAACGGCCCTTATCAGTAGCACCACCATATCGCCCAGGTAAGGTTCAAAAATCTGGTTTTAGAATATAATAGCATATTAATTAAATATAAGATGATTCTAAAAAACATAATTGGCAAATTTGGAAAACCAAACCATTCTCAAACATTTTAATGTATGACTTTGTTTAAATTCATAGATATTCTTTGCTAACTAGGTGACTCGCAGCAGATGTACCAGTTAAGAATGCAGCAACAGCAACAACAGATGCAGAACAAACAGCAAGTCCCAGGAGGCCCAAGAATGCCAAGTCAGGTGACAGGGATGCAACCCTCCATGACCTCTCCACAGGCTCCTGCCACAACCCCCATTCAAAGGCCCCCTGCAGCAGTTGCACCCACCCCAGGCACAGAGCAACAACCTGTCCCCCCTCCACAGAGCATGTTCCAGCAAAAACCAAACAGAGTGGCCCCAGTGGCTAAACCCACTGGAATTGATCCTATCGATATTCTAAATGAGAGAGAAAATAGGTATGTAAATTGTATAATATAACAGATTTAGCAACATTATAGTTATATCATTGATGTCAAATATCTAATACACCATGATAATCATCACATCTCCTTTCTAATACAATTGATATCTGTTGTTCCTAATGAAGATATTGTTATGGTAATCCATGATCCATTCCAGTATATGAAAGTTCTATTTAGAAAACCTGAAATAAATCATGATTTGGTCTTAACTATTTCAGGGTGGCTAACAGCGTAGCTCTCCGTATTCAGGAACTTGAGAGTTTACCTGTTATCATGCACGAAGAGACTAAAACTAAAGCTATGATTGAATTGAGAGCACTGAGACTTCTTAACTACCAGAGACAGGTATGTGCTAAACAGAAGATCTTGAATAAGATTTAAACTTCTTTTTAAATTTTCAAAAATCTTGAATGACCAGCATCTTGTTTTTAGAACCTTAGTAGTTTCAACCAGTTTGGTTCTATTTGAAGTATCCATGATATTGGTTATTGGCCATGAAACTTGAGAATTATCAATTTATGTATATAAACATTGATGTAAAATTGTATTATCTCAAAGATGTACAATACTTATTTTAATTGTATGATAAATAAATATTTTATCAGTTAACACAATTACCTGATCTAGATGGAAATATATGTGTTTCTTGTTCTTTCAGTTACGCCAGGAAGTGGTAAGTTGTATGAGACGAGACACAACTCTGGAGACTGCATTGAACCCAAGGGCCTACAAACGCAGCAAACGACAAACATTGAGAGAGGCCAGAATGACCGAGAAACTGGAAAAACAACAGAAGATTGAACTTGAGAGAAAGAAAAGACAGAAACATCAGGTAAGACAAAGAGATTTTTTGTAACTTCATTTATTTTCACAAATATTTAATGATTGAAATCTATAATTTGACATCCAGTATATTCAGAATATTAATTCATGTAGTTCTCTAACATCTGATTTTGCTGTAGAAGCTAATAGACTTGTATAAGGTATATAGGTACTAGGGCATGTACCAACATTCTACCCTTGTACATGCAATTCAAAATTCAATAACACAGCCAACATATATTTTGATTTGATTTATGTTGTTGGTATTACAAGTTGATATAAGATATCACATGTTAATGTATTACATTTTGTGTTTCTTCAGGAGTACCTGAATGCTGTATTGGCCCATGCTAAGGAGTTCAAGGACTACCACAGAGGTATCTCTGGTAAGGTGAATAAGATCATAAAAGCAGTGGTCACCTACCATGCCAACACTGAACGTGAACAGAAGAAGGAACAGGAGAGAATCGATAAAGAGCGTATGAGAAGACTTATGGTATGTACACAATAAAGTAGAAGATAATTGACATAGATTATCAACTAGCATGTTTATATGATCATATTTTGCTGTAACATATATCTTATTCCCAATCCAAACCATTAGAATTTGAAATATTTTTGGTTGAATGTTCCATGCTTAAATGCCTAGTAGTACTTGTCTATGCTTGCTTGTAAGTACTTTGACTTTCTATGTATGGGCATTGCTTGAATTTAATTAGAGGTTACATTAAGCTCAACTTGCCCTGATTTTATTTGATAGTAAAATATACTTTAATTTTATTTGATGGTAAAATACACTTGCCTGCTAGCATGTGCATTAACTTGTTACCTGCCCACATGTGCATTAACTTGTTACCTGCTAGCATGTGCATTAACTTGTTACCTGCTAGCATGTACTTGTCTTTATTTTATTTGATGTTGACTCTTGTTTCTGTAGGCAGAGGATGAGGAGGGCTACAGGAAGCTCATTGATGAAAAGAAGGACAAGCGTTTGTTCTACCTTCTGAAGCAGACAGACGACTACATTGCAAATCTCACAGAAGCTGTCAAGGAACATAAAGCCTCTGTTAATCCTAAAAAGAAAAAGAAGAAGAAGAAGGTTGATGATTCTCTTCGAGAAGGGGTAGGTGTTTGAATTGTTTGTGATGTTGAAAGTGCATTAGATACTGCATGAAACAAGTGCAAGTTATGTTGCATTGTTAAAACTTTTCCCTTTACAAAGAGCATCTTCAAGTCAAGAAAAAATCTCTTGTCATCTGAAAAAAAGATTTCCAATGTCATTTAATGAAAAGTTTGTATAGAAGTATAAAAGAAATTCATCCTGATGGAATCAGACAACTACAAATTGAGATTTTGAACAAGTTGACTTTTTCTAATCAAAAAACTTAAAATGGCTATATAACAGTTTATTCTATTGTATTTAATTTTGTACAATAATGGCCCTGGACACATTATTGATTCTTTTGGTAAAGCAAAATATTGTATTTTCAGTTAATGGATGAGAGTTCCAACATGAGTGACATGAGAGTCAATGTGATTGAGGTGAACACTGGCAAGGTTCTCTCTGGTCCAGATGCCCCAATGGCCAGTCAACTAGACACATGGATGGAAATGAACCCTGGGTAAATACCTTCATTGTTCATCAGGTGTAACACATTATTATGAAAGAGAAATATTACGTCACCACCAGAAATGGTGGTTGGTGTTCAGCATACGCCGCCTGTAACAGGTAGTGACATTTTGCATGTTAATGCCTTGTTTAATTTTATATTGATACTTTTTACCAAAGATTGTTTTTTGTTTCAGTTACATGGTTGCCCCTAGAGATGAGACTATGGGAGAGGAAGAAGAATCTGAGGAGGTAAGATAATACATAATGTCTGTCTTTCTGCTAATCTCTCACATATATATCTAAACTTGATTTATTAAAAGGATATTCAATCATTACATATTATCTATAATTTAAAGCCCCTAAAATAGATATAACTGTATGATATACAAATAAGACAAATATCTCATTTCTTAGTCCTCGGACTTCGGAGAATATTGCTTTTGATAGAATGTCCAATATTTTAATCAACAATGTATATTTATCATTTATCAGGTTCTAAATGTGTTGTTTATATTTGTTTGTAGGAAGAAGAGGAAGAAGAGGAAGCACCACCACCACCAGAGAAAAAAGAGAAAGATGAAAATGAAGAACAAACTGTTAAAAGGTCAGTTGATTGTTATGTCACCACCAAAAGTGGTAACATATTGTTATGGTCTCTGTTTTTTTGCGACGGCGGTTGGCGTCCGGCGGTTGGAGGTTGGCGTCCGGTGGTTGGAGGTTGGCGTCCGGCGTCTGTAACAATTTCTTACAACTTCCTATAACTTAACAAATACTGTTTAGACTGACTTCAATTTTTTTCTAAATCATCTACATGTTCTCAGAAGTTCAAATCTGACTTTAGATTTGACATTTGACCTTCAATGACCTTCTCAAGGTCAAAAAGGTCTTTTTTCAACTTGCTTCACATTGACTAAATTTTTTTTCAAAATCATCTACATGTTCTCAGAAATTCAAATCTGACTTTAGATTTGACTTTAGATTTGACATTTGACCTTCAAATCTGACTTTAGATTTGACATTTGACCTTCAATGACCTTCTCAAGGTCAAAAAAGGTCAAAAAGGTCTGTTTTCAACTTGCTTCAAATTGACTGAATTTTTTTTTCAAAATCATCTACGTGTTCTCAGAAATTCAAATCTGACTTAAGATTTGACATTTGACCTTCAATGACCTTCTCAAGGTCGAAAAAGGTCAAAAAGGTCTGTTTTTAACTTGCTTCAAATTGACTAAAAAAAATTTTCAAAATCATCTACGTGTTCTCAGAAATTCAAATCTGACTTTAGATTTGACTTAAGATTTGACATTTGACCTTCAATGACCTTCTCAAAGTCAAAAAAGGTCAAAAAGGTCTTTTTTCAACTTGCTTCAAATTGACTAAATTTTTTTTGCAAAATCATCTACACGTTCTCAGAAATTCAAATCTGACTATAGATTTTGACATTTGACCTTCAATGACCTTCTCAATGTCAAAAAAGGTCAAAAAGGTATTTTTTCATCTTGCTTCAAATTGACTAAAATTATTTTTCAAAATCATCTACATGTTCTCAGAAATTCAAATATGACTTTAGATTTGACTTAAGATTTGACATTTGACCTTCAATGACCTTCTCAACGTCAAAAAAGGTCAAAAAGGTCTTTTTTCAACTTGCTTCAAATTGACTAATTTTTTTTTTCAAAATCATCTACATGTTCTCAGAAATTCAAATCTGACTTTAGATTTGACATTTGACCTTTAATGACCTTCTCAAGGTCAAAAAAGGTCAAAAAGGTCTGTTTTCAACTTGCTTCAAATTGACCAAATTTTTTTTTCAAAATCATCTACATCTTTTCAGAAGTTCAAATTTGACTTTACAAGTTCTCAGAAGTTCATATCTGACTTAAGATTTGACCTTTGACCTTCAATGACTTTCTCAAGGTCAAAAAGGTCTGTTTTCAACTTGCTTCAAATTGACTAATTTTTTTTTCAAAATCATCTACATGTTCTCAGAAGTTCTTCTTAAAGTGTGCGCCAAAGTTTAAAACTGCGCAGGCGCACCGCTCTCGCTAAACTATATAAAGAGATTACCAGGTACACGATTCAGAGGTAAGCCAGGAAGGCGAACGATCTTCGTCTCGTGATGATTTCCCATATAATTGTAACCAGGGAAGTTTCACCATTGAAATTGAAAATTGCTATTAGATATACTTTGTAGATGTTATTTATGAAGCTATTTAGTGTTTGCATCAATCAAATGGCTCATTTTGAACATATAAAAAGTATTTGTGTTTTGTTTCCCAGGGAATTGTATTGTTTGTAGTACACACATAAATAGTGTACATTATACAGTACTTGAATAGCCTGGTTTACATAATATTGAAGGGCATGCTGATTACATGCACACGAGTACATGAATGAAGGCCTAATATAGATATACGTAGCTTGCATACCTAAATAAAAAATAAACTCTTCTAATCCCCTAATGTAAACACGGCGGTATACGTAGCCCGATTTATCGGAGACTTTAAGGTCAAAAGGTATTTTCCAACTTGCTTTAAATTGACCAAATTGTTTTAGGTGGTGACATTTTGTCATGTTAATGCCTTGTTCAATTTTGAAATTGTTCTAATGTCTCCTTTATTGTAGACAATTGGCCCTTTTTTCTCTTTATACAAAGAATATAAGATTTCCTTTGACATATTGTTTTGACTATAGTATATTGTATTGATTTTAGGATATTGTATTGACTCTTACATATTGCTTGACTTTAACATATTGTAATGACATAAGGATATTGTATTGACTCTTACATATTGCTTGACTTTAACATATTGTAATGACCTCAGTATATTGTATTGACTCTTACATATTGCTTGACTTTAACATATTGTAATGACCTCAGGATATTGTATTGACTCTTACATATTGCTTGACTTTAACATATTGTAATGACCTCAGGATATTGTATTGACTCTTACATATCGCTTGACTTTAACATATTGTAATGACCTCAGGATATTGTATTGACTCTTACATATTGCTTGACTTTAACATATTGTAATGACCTCAGGATATTGTATTGACTCTTACATATTGCTTGACTTTAACATATTGTAATGACCTCAGGATATTGTATTGACTCTTACATATTGCTTGACTTTAACATATTGTAATGACCTCTGGATATTGTATTGACTCTTACATATTGCTTGACTTAAACATATTTCATAATTGCTTGTGTTCCCAGAGAGGTGGATGATGATGAGTACAAAGGTGGGGGTGAGAGTTACTATGGAGTTGCACACAAAATTGTGGAAATTGTCACAGAGCAGGCCTCTATTATGGTCAATGGAAAACTAAAGGAATATCAGGTAAGACTAGCTACCCTGTTAATTAGTAAAGACAATGAAGAAAGCTTCTTGCAAAATCTCTCATTTTGGTATTATTGAAGTTGCATCATATTTTGTAATAGTATGTGGCTACATTATCATACTATTATATATAACCGACCAATTTAGTATAGAACCAATAATGAACCAGACTTTCAAATATGCAAGAATATCTTTACTGACACAGAATAACTTCAAATTCCTTCCTGGTACAGCACATGGATTATTTGGAACTTTTGCTCAGCAGATAAATGTTTATAGGTTTATTAATGTAAATATTTGAATTATAAACAATACTTCATGAAATGCATGATCACATACATTTATATTTACTTGCACATGCATATATATATATGCATATAAATATGTTTCGTATATACATTTGTCATTTATGTAACCAAAGAATTGTGATGTGCCTGATACATGTATTTATATATCAAATAAGAAACAGACATTTACCTTATAAATATGTGTGCCTGTTTCCCAAAGCACATCTTGAATAGATACACCTGAAGGGTAAGTATATGATATATGAAGTTATGTATATTAGGTTACCTAATAAAGGAACCGTAAAAACAAAATAAAAACAAGTTAAAACAATTGATTTTTTATTTCTGTGTACTTGTATGTTTATCTATGTTGCATGGCTGACTTTCAGATTAAGGGACTGCAGTGGCTAGTGTCCCTCTATAACAACAGTCTCAATGGAATCCTTGCTGATGAGATGGGCCTGGGCAAGACCATACAGACCATAGCTTTAATCACATATCTCATGGAGGCTAAAAACAATAAAGGACCATATCTGATCATTGTGCCACTGTCGTAAGTATAGCATAGACCCATGTACAGTTGGGCCCCTACAAGTTCATGTCTGTTAAAGCGGAAAGCTCTTTAGAATGTTTTTTTGTTTACTAAAATTCCAAATAGACATGTTAAACTGAAAGTAAAATACTATTAAAGAAAGGCAATAAGATTTGAACTGGAAAGCTTTGATATGTTTACATTGACACTGCTGAACAGACAGTAACTTGCAAGGGCCTTAGAATATTAATCACTGTATGAGAGATGTCTCAGTGAAAAAAAAACCTGCAAATTATTCAAAATAATATTTTTGATGCATGTTTATCCGTATGTTTATTGATGATAAACATTTTGTTATTATAATTTATTTTTCCCCTAAATTCACTTGAGGCATCTCAATATTACACATTCTCATTTCTTATAGGGAGTCCTGTAAAACAACACCTAGATGGACTGATGGTGCTTCTGTTTCAATAAATGGGGTTTACATATTTCATATTAAGGAGAATTGTGATAAATTGTGGGGTTTACATATTGTAGGTCAAGGGCCTTCAGTGGTTGGTTTCATTGTACAACAACAACCTGAATGGCATCTTGGCTGATGAAATGGGCCTAGGCAAAACAATTCAAACTATTGGCCTGATCACTTACTTGATGGAGACAAAGAGAGTCAATGGACCTTATCTTATTATAGTTCCATTGTCGTAAGTGGTATCATGACAGCGAGCCAGCAATGTTTCAAATAAGCTTTGTGCTTTTTCTGTATACAATTAAACCAAAAAGCATGACATGTAGAGAGATGTTATTTGTTCTTGGGTAATTATACAAATTATTGCTGCGCTTCTGTTTGTGTTGGTTTTGAATTGTTCATGCTGTTTTTGTTGCTATGGCTTAAGGCTTCTTGATCATAATCTTCAATGGTATGTGAATATATGTGTACATGTTATGTCATTATACATGTCACTGGTTTGTCACCTTTAATTTGGATTTGAGTCACCTTATTCCAGAAAATATAATAATAAACAGTTCATCCTATCAGTTAGCCTTATGCACAGCCTCAGTCTCTCAATCGTTATTGCACTTCATTGAATTTAGAGTTGGGGCTCTAGTCACTAAAGAAAATGGACCATTTTCATGTAAATCACGAAAGACTTGACTAAGAAAGCATTTTTGTTCAGTTTTATGCATTATCATTCCATATTAATGCTTTGAATATACATGCTCATTTGATACCCAGGGCATGTATTATTGTTCTACTAGGCCTATTAAGGTATTCTAGTTCTTAGTTGCTTTTGATATTATAGAGTATGTTTTGATATAATGTCAATTGTTGTATTAAGAAATCATGTCACAACTTATAAATATATAAATTAAAGAAATACAGAATAATTAGAATATATCAATTCAACATATCTAAGTAATCACATGTATTACTTCAATTTAATTCTAGCACACTATCTAATTGGATGTTGGAGTTTGACAAATGGTCGCCTTCAGTGATCAAGATAGCGTACAAGGGATCACCGAATGCCAGAAAATCTCTTCAGTTCCAAGTGCGATCTGGCAAATTCAACGTTCTCCTAACAACATATGAGTATGTGATCAAAGATAAAGGTGCCCTGGCTAAGGTAAGAAAACGAATCCTATTTCTACCATCCATGTAAGCCAGTACATTTTTTTTATATTAAGATGCTTTTCATTTCTTTTGTATTTTCTCTTTGAAAGGCTGCTTGGAATCCTTTCAAGCTGAAACCAAAATCAATTTATTTCAATTTCAATACAGGTTTGTAATATTATTTTATTTCATGTCTTTTCAACCTATGTATATGTAGAGATCCATAATTAATTTCCAAGCGGATGTCATTGTGATAATAAGATTCAAGATTTTATTATGTTTCAAGCCAAACCAATTGACATCCTCACAAAATCAATTACAAGACATAATAATTATACAGTAAAATGCATTGTTAAACAAATATTTACATATAACTGTCTTACAAACTAGTTTATTCCTTTTTCAAATACCTCCCGACGTTGATTGAAAAGTTTATTTATAAATGTATCAATTTGTTTACAATTTCACATTTAATAATAACATTACATATACTTATTTTAGGTTCGCTGGAAGTACATGATAATTGATGAGGGTCATCGTATGAAGAACCACCACTGTAAGCTGACGCAAGTCCTCAACACACATTATATTGCCCCTCATAGGTTACTCCTCACTGGGACACCTCTACAAGTAGGTCAATTGCCATAAATTGTGTAATCATCGTACCAATAGTGTATATTATTGGCTCACACAGTTAGCCTATGGAATCAACTAGGCGTCTGTCTGTCTCTTGATCCGTCCATCTGTCTGTCCTTTTTTACCTACAGTATCAAGAGAGTAGTAATTTTCAAATGATAATATAAATGTTATATTGTTAAGTAAATAAATATGATCGTAAAGTTCTGTTTGCAACAGTTAGTGGCGTATTCTGTTTATGAACTTATTTTCTTTTTACTTCAGAACAAACTTCCAGAATTGTGGGCCTTATTGAACTTCTTGCTTCCTCACATATTCAAGTCTTGCAGCACATTTGACCAGTGGTTCAATGCACCATTTGCAATGACAGGAGAGAAGGTAATGTAATGTAGATTTGCTTTAAAAATATGACAGGCTAAAGTACATTTATATATCTTTTTACATTCCCACTGTTATTCCTCAACTGCTATCTCATTTTTAATAAATCTTTGAAGTCTTATACTACATATGAAGGTTCATTAGAATAGGTTATATGCAGATCAAAGATAAACATGCAATATTCTACATACCGTTTTAATGATATTAAATCATCAGTCATATTCAATACTTAAATGGATGAACACAATACATTGTGTATGTTCACAATTTGCTTTTAGGTTGAGTTGAATGGTGAGGAATCTCTTTTGATTATTCGTCGTCTTCACAAAGTGCTGCGTCCATTCTTGCTACGTCGTCTCAAGAAAGAAGTGGAGAGTCAGCTACCTGATAAGGTGAGAAATGCCGATATTTAACCAAAAAATAGAGGTCATTTTTGTTTGTAATATTATATAAAATATTAATTTTATGCAATGCTAATAGTTTCTAATACTCAAATAGTGTGACACTTGTTTCTAAACCTTACAAAGTTTGCATTTTTAATAGTTTGTTATTTATGTAACTTTATGCTTGTATTGTAGGTTGAGTACCTGATCAAGTGTGAGTTGTCAGCTCTTCAGAGGTATGTTTACAAACACATGGCCACCAAAGGAATACTTCTGACTGATGGATCAGAAAAAGACAAGAAGGTAGAAGATACTTTCTGTTGTTTTATGTATATTTAATGTAGACTAGAAATATACGAAGTGGCGTATAATACAATGGCCCATTCTGTATAATGTGTTTTTATGCTCCAATTGCATTGATATGTCATCAAGGCGCACAAATATAATCATGATATATAGAATGAACTATCATTTCCTTGTAGTGTATTATTCAATCTTCACTGAGCATTTGAAATCTGTATGATGAAGATGTTTACACGCCTTGATTGTTTTCTGTAGGGCAAAGGGAGTACAAAGACATTGATGAACACGATCATGCAGCTAAGAAAGATCTGTAACCATCCATTCATGTTCCAACACATAGAAGAATCATACGCAGCTCACAATGGAATCCATGGTGGTGTTGTTAATGGGCCAGACCTTTTTAGAGTCTCTGGCAAGTTTGAACTGCTAGACAGAATTCTCCCCAAGTTGAAAACTACCAACCACAGAGTTTTGTTGTTCTGTCAAATGACTTCAACCATGACCATCCTTGAAGATTACTTTCTCTATAAGAGTAAGTTTCATTTAATCAGTGAAGTGTAACAGATGTTTGACGTCTAGTTTAATTCACAGAGAGAGTTAAACTCTTGTGAATGGGTAAAGGATTTTAAATGGAAATTGTTTCATGAATTTAATTTCAATTAAATGTAGACATGATTGTAATGTGAAGTGCTGGGTACACAATGTCGCCAACCCTACTCATAATTTTCTCAATGATTAATATTACAATACTGTCCTGGCACTAATCCCCTGATGACTACAATACATGTAACATTTCAGATTACAAGTACATGAGGCTGGATGGTACAACTAAGGCTGACGATAGAGGAGAGTTGCTGTCTCTGTTTAATGCACCTAACTCAGACTACTTTGTCTTCCTGTTGAGTACAAGGGCTGGTGGTCTCGGCCTCAATCTACAAGTGGCTGATACTGTCGTAATATTCGACTCTGACTGGAATCCACATCAGGTATAAAAATACTTATAGAGTTGTTGAAGAGGGGTCTTTGAATATCATTTAAATATGGCTTTTGAAGGAGATATTTGAATATCATTTAAACCCCAACAGTCCTCTCCCAGAAAACTCAATGAAATCGTATGTAAAAGTCAGAGGGAAGAGTGGCTTGCCCATAATGACTAAGAGTAAAAACATGATTTTTGTTATGATTTTTAGGATCTTCAGGCGCAGGATCGTGCTCATCGTATTGGACAGAAGAATGAAGTGAGAGTGCTGCGTCTTATGACTGTTAACTCCGTTGAAGAGAAGATCCATGCTGCAGCCAGGTATGTTTTTTTCTTATTCTTATTAAAGAGTATTACTTTTCCCTATTTTATGCTACATCACAAAACTGTAAAGATTATATTACTTTTATTTGATCTTTTCAACGGTGCTGATAAATTAGTGTGATATCATGTCTAGTGGTTAGTGCAGTATTGGTCAGTCTATAAATCATTGATTAAAATGGGTGAAAAATATTTGAAAAGGGAAAGTAGACTTTTTCCAAAGTTCAATTTTTTCAAACCACTACAATATTCATATTACAGTCATGAGAAATAAATTGAGTGGAAAAAAAATATTAGAGTGGTAGCAGAATTTAATGCTTTTGATGTCTAATAGTCCAACTGCTGTTTTTCCAGGTATAAGTTAAATGTTGATGAGAAGGTCATCCAAGCTGGTATGTTTGACCAGAAGTCAACAGGGAGTGAACGTAAACAGATGTTGATGTCCATCCTCACTGCTGATGAGATGGAAGAAAATGAAGAAGATGAAATCCCAGATGATGAGACTGTTAACCAGATGTTGGCCAGGACTGAGGAAGAATTTGACATCTTCCAGGTTTGTTCTCACAGTGATCACCTATATAGGCTAGACATTTGTAGCTTTGATTTGGTCAACATTGGTTACCAAGGCATATTATACTTGTGCCAGAGGGAGAATATTTTCAAATTGTCCTATTTGTGAATCTGCATTGAAACTCTGTTCTATAGATAGAGTGGTTATTTAAAAGTTTATATCATGTGTTTTACATTTTTTAGCGTATGGATCTTGATCGACGTCGTTTGGATGCCAGGGAGGGAAATAAACGTAAAGCTCGTCTCGTAGAAGAGGATGAAATCCCAGAGTTCCTCATCAAGGATGAAACAGAGGCAAGTGGAAAATAATTTTCCATCATGTTTTTTAATATAGATAGATGTATTATATTTTGATGCAAATTTTTTAACCAATTGAATTTCATGCCATCTTATAACAGTCCTTAAATCACTGGCTTTAGAAATAGCATTTACAGACATTGTTGTATTTATTCCAAAAATAATTTCAGATTGATCGTTTAACATATGAAGAAGAGGAGGAGAAGTACTTTGGTCGTGGTTCCCGTCAAAGGAAGGAGGTTGACTACACTGATGCTCTCACAGAGAAACAATGGCTAGAAGCTATAGAAGATGGTGACCTCGAAGAACAAGAGGAAAAGGTGAAAACAAGGAAGAAGTCGCGCAAGAAGAGAGATAGAGACAGCGATGATGATGATGAAGATGAGAGACCAAAGAAGAAGAAAGGGGGAGGTCGTCGTGGTAGACCACCAGTTGAAAAGATGGCCCCGAATCCAACGAAGTTGACAAAAATGATGAAAAAGTTATATGAAATAGTAACAAAGTACAAGGACAGGTAAGAAAAGTGTATTGAGTAGTAGATTTATGTTTACAAACAAATAAAATGTTTATGTTTACTGTATCCTTTATTTATTTCAATGACAAAAAAACTACAATATAAGGCCCATTAATGAAAAATACATATTTCAACTATTTGAAATATCCATTTCATTAACATAATTATTATTCACATAACTATTTGTCTTTTCATTTATAGAACTTTTCTTTTTAAAAATGTCTAAATATTTAAAAAGGAGTTAAGTACTCTACATAATATTATTTATGTCAAGTTTCATGACAAATGACTTTCAAAAAGCTAATAGAGGTCAGTGGTTAAATATGTTAGTGTATGGAGGCTTGTTGAATATAATGAGTAAAACTTTTCACTCATCATAGTTAATGTATGCTTTATTTACATTCCAGCGATGAAAGGATACTGAGTGAGCCATTTTTGGTGCTACCTCCTAGGAAGGATCTACCAGATTACTATGATGTCATCAAGAAGCCAGTTGACTTTAAGAAAATAAAGGTCTGCTTTTTAGAATTACAATGATTCAAGAAGTTTCTTCTATCTCTATGATTAATATTTTTAGATTGAAATATGTTATTATATTGTATAATTCATCATTGAAAGATCAAATTCAAGCATTACTTGAACTGTAAATATGAAATGATTTTATAAATAAGCATCACTTTTAAATACACACAGTGGTGTTTTATTCATTGTTTGATAGCATTAGCTTTATATATACCAAGTCTGCCTGCTATCATTCCCAACCTTCCTAGTGTTTATGTCACCACCACAAGTGGTGACATTGTTATAGTTTCCAACTTTTTATGGATAGTGTCCGTGGTTGGTGTTTGGCATCTTGCAGTTGGTGATCAGCCTCTGTAACAAATGGCTTTTTTCTGTATGCTAATCCATCTTGGTGTGTAGAGCTTTCCCAGCTGAATCTTTAGAGTCTGAGGTTATATTTCTTTATTCCTTTGTAGATGAGGATTAAGGAGCACCGTTACCGCTCTTTGGATGACTTGGAGGCTGACATTATGCTGCTTTGTGGAAATGCTCAGGAGTACAACGTTGAAGGATCTCTGGTTAGTGACTAATTCCAAAAACCCTCACACAAAAAAGACACTGTGACCTTGATTTTGTCACGCCACTCTGTTTTCTACAATGATGATTGAAATGGCATTTCTAATCACTTTTGAGTTTGGACAGTATTCCATTGTTTCTCAATAATTATACTCTTAATAATATGAGGTATAATTAGTTTTTTTGAAATATGATGATTTGAGGTTTTTATTAGGATGCTCACTACAGCATGTACAGTCAACTTTTCAATGTGTAGCTATATACTAGTAATTTATCAAAATTGTAATTTCTTTTTAGATCTATGAAGACTCCATTGTGATACAGAGCGTGTTCACCAATGCCAGGGAGCGCCTGGAGAAGGACAGTAACATGGCCACACCAGATGACAGCGATGACACAGCTGAGGATGATGGCGATGATGAGGACAGTGAGTACATTGTACCAATAATGTATAAGCTCATTAGTATCATTGGCTTTTTCATAGATCTTTCTTGCATGTGTAATATATCACTGAAGAATAGAATCATGTGTAAGGGTGTGAAACTACTGGGGTCATTGAAAGCCATGATGAACAATGTCAAGGTCATACAAGGTAATGGATGCATTTGAATGTCAAGATTACATTCTTCAGTTCTTTTTCTTTGCTGTTATCCAGGATTTCAAAAATATTTGTGAAATGTAAGTGTATTTTTGTGTGTAGAAGTTGCCCACTCTTGCTTTCAGGTAAGATGTCAAGGGAAAGCTCAAGGAAGACTTCAAGAAAGAAGTCCAGCAAGAAGAAAGTTGTGTACAGTGACAATGAGGGAACAGAAGGGGTGAGTGGAATATCTACCTCAAGCATAATACTAATCTGCATATACACCCAATTGCTAGTCTTTGTTATTCAGCAGGTTGATGCACTGAACCAATCACAGCATTATGGCAACCTGTTGAAAATGAATTTGCCCTCGTTGATTATTTTAAAAACCATGCAAATCTAGGATATTTTTGTGAAACTATATTCCATTTTTACACTCATTTGAGAAAAGCTCTGGCAGGGACGCTTTAATATGTGTCTCTTAAATTTCTACTTTTATTTCTCCAGAATGAGTCTGATGATAGTGAGGCTACTAAGAGTTCTCGAGGATCTTCCCGTGTTGCATCTCCAGCACCGGGAAAACTGAAACGCTAAACTCGAAAGGACGCTTAACTAAGAATGGTCAACATATTTTTGATTGAACCTATTAACACATGTTTAAGAGTATTTGACTTGAGTTAGACTCTGTTCGTGTGTTTTGGACTGAGAGCCAATTGCAATATTTATGGCTAATGTTAGAAAGCAGGATGTATAGAGCAAAGACTCATTTGTACAAATAAAGTTATTTTTTCATTACAATGGACATAAAGGAGAGTTTGATAATAGATAATATTTTATCTACTAGAGTACCACTACCAGTAAGTTTTAAATGAGAGGACATTCAGATATCATAAATCATTAATTTCTATATTGTTTAGGGGATACTATTTTTTATCTAAATGTAGTTGATTTAACTATAGATGGAATCCTATTAAATTGTGAAATGAAGTTCTGAGTAAAAAGGACATTTCTTTCCATGATTGTTTCCAATAGATTAAATCTTGGCCTGGAGAAAAAGTTTGAATTAGGCCGATGGACTTAATTCTTTGTTTCCAGTCAGTGATCAATTTGCCTGATTTTCAAAAAAGCAAACACAAAAATGTTCCTGGGAATCCAGCATATCATTCAAATTACTGCCAAAAATGGGTCAATTTACTCAAAATGAAAAAACTGATCTGTTTAAGGTGTGGATGGTTTCATAGATATAATAATTTGCAATGTGATACGAATATGACACAGTAAATATTAATTCAAATTGCATGTTCTCATATTTTGCTTTGGAAAGAAAATGAGATCACAAAACTGCGTCAAAGGTTTGTGTTTTTCCTGTGTTTTTCCTTGGCTTGTAATAGTGCAACCTGACGGGAAACAGAATTTTAATCCATTGGACTTATTGGAAAATATTGCTCTATCTAAAATGTAGTTTATCAACTTTATGACTATAATACTCTCTCATGTAGAAACTTTTTCATGTAAATAATGTATTGGATGCTGTTTTATTGGTTTAAATTGTGTAATAACAATATATTCAAGTACTGTATCTATATATTGATTATGGCTATGACTTAATAGTCACTTCAGCCTTAATACTGATTTTACATCTAAAGGGCTATTCTTTCATGCTATTCTCCATTCATCAGTTTATTTCAATCCACAAGTATTTGCATCCAATACATGATTGTAGTAGTATCTAATCATGAAACAAAATATAGAATGTTATATATTGTGTTTAGAAAATAAATGTATTGATGTAAACTAAGTGTATATTAAGTCTTGTTAAAATGAAATACTGTAAACAGCGCTCCATGGTAACATTGTCTGGATATCTGCATTATAGTCACGACTTTATATAAAACCAATAACAAGCTATAATTTATCATCTGTAAATACAGTGATGGACAGACTTTAATGGCTCACAGCCTATCATTTGATATGGTTTCTTTTGCAGTCATTCATCTGCTGATGTCATCGGGAGACTTATTGTTTTAATAGCCACCATTTTTTTGTAACCGTTCTGGGACAATTGTTTAATTTCAACCAGATAGGGACGTTTTGATATGTTAATGGCTTGTTTGGAATATTGGCTAAATATGCCTATTTATATAATACATTCCGTATATCACGAGAGTAACATCATCATGTCTTTAAAAGTGTCCTTTAGGAAGTGCCTGAAATTGCTACATGTTTTATATAGCATACGCCATGGTGAATACCAAACTTGTATTTACATAGTTGAAAAATACATATCTGTTATACATGTTATATAAATAATGTCTATACACTATGTAAATACATATTAATCAAACTATATGCATGAGCGACCTAGCACTCTGTTTATGATAATTGTCGTTAATAATTGATGACCTTGTCTTTATATGTAATAGTGTGTTGTAATGGCCTCATATTCTGGTATGGTTAATAAGGTCTCCACTGTTTATGAGATCTTTAACCTAGCCGCTTGTTTGCGGCTTTTTCTTAGTGCGCATATCAAACTGGGGAATAATCTCGGTGTAATTATTGGTGATTATTGCCTTATTTCTTATTGTCCATGTTTTTATAAATTCCAATGTGGCCAAGTTCGGCTTATTCACAATTATTACCAGTTTATGTATAATATTGGTATTCCTTGGGAGATATTTGTTTATTATATTGGTAAGACGTGATAGTGGTCACTCAGTTGCCTGGCCTGGTATGATCTCATCCTGTTCAGGAGTCACGGGAAACACGTTCTTACGTGGACTGGTCGGTCTCTTATTCAAACCAGTTGTATGTGTGCTAGTCCCTCTTGATCGTGTCTTGGTCCTTGTTTGATGATCAGCCTCGACACCAGAATCAATACTTCTATCACCTATAGTAGCCACGACAGGTTTGTTAGAGTTAATTGTCCCTATTCGGTCACGATATGAAAATATACACAACCCGCCACAGCAGCATTTCTTAGTCATGCGCCTCATGGCGTAGCGGAAGTCACGATTGAGGAGAGTGAAGACGTAGGGGTTGACGGCGCTATTGCTAAATGCTAGTAACGTCGTGAGGAGATCTGCGATGTACGGAACTTTGGCATCATCGTAGTTGACAAACCAGAAGTTGAGAACAACATACGGTCCCCAACAGATGAAGAAAGCACCTGGAAATAAAAGGGCAGACAGATGAGATAGATAGACATGGACAAAATGTTAGTGAACTACAGAGCTAATAGATGATCAGTGTTATAAAAGAGATACGGTTCCTGGATGATTATTGCCGCCCTTTAACGCGATCATGATTTAGTGTAAACTTACTTGGAAGAGTTGCCACTGCATAAATGAAATGAAATAGTATCAACTAATTTCTAAAATATTTGTCATTTCACAAATCAAGTTGCATTTACACGTGATATGGCTACCAGAAAGAGAACATCGACGAGTCTTGGTCGCACTGGCTGAAAAAGCGCCATGCTTTTTATCATTATTTGTTCATTATTTAATAATTATGTCTCCAAAACTAGAGTCAAGACTACAGATGCCCCCGAATATACTTATGTCACGGTACATTGTTTTATGAAAGTGCTTCTATTACTAAATCATCAGATTTCCTAGGGATAACTTAAGACAAAATTATCATAGGATTTGATGTTGAAATGTATCGTCCAATTGAAACCATTAGGGTTTCACTTGTGATACACCTAGTATTCACCCAATATTGGAAACCAGGTTTCAAGGGGCTCCTTGCAATGGATACTTTTTCCGATAACCATAACGTCACTGAGTCACTAGGGAAACTTCTTAAAGAGCATTCACATCATTTTTCGTTCAACCTCGGTTAAAGACATTTCTTATGTAAAAACAAATAGGCTTTCGTTTGTCGTTTGATATGGCCGATGATATGATGGTCCAAGTTCATTCGAAGTCATTTGAACCGATATCGGGCAGCCCCGCTTGGCTGTTAGTGTTAAATGATAAATGAAACCAAGAATATATAATTATCTCCGGCCACAATCCATTTATCTTGTCAAAAATTGAAACCAATGACAGTTTTTGTCAGCTCGTTTTGCATCGTAATTCGTTATAACGAATCGTGAGACTTCAAGATAGGCAGAGTGGGATTGCCCATGGATTTTGCCCTTCTATGTTCTCTCTTTGATTTGTTTAGTACTTTAATTATCTGTAAATGTTAATAACATTACGTTACCAAGAAATCTATTTTAATGATTCATTATTTACAGATCATTTACAACAGGAAAATAATCCAATAAATAGAAATAATATTAAATCTACTTTCACGAGGAGATAAACTGTAATCCCCTCTATAATCCCACATTACCATCAGATCATATTGCCCTCTTAATACTTATAGGCCTACACCCATAATCTCTGCCTATAATGGGTCATAATCTAAGAATAAAATCTAATTGTAAAACTTATATAACAATACCGCATCTATTTATAATTTATTGTTATTTATATTAAAAAATAACCGATGTGATTTCGTTGTAGTTGAGACGACGTAGTGAGATAATATACGTTTTAAAGAGATGATATATATTCCAAATGAGCTTTTAGCTTCCATAAAATTCTCTCGTTGATAGATAAATCATTGAGCGGTAAAACCATCTATTGTCTTTTAGTTACTGCTGAATAATGCTACTATGCTAGAGGTAAGTCTTATAATGTTTTATGTGAAAAAGAATTGAATCCACTAGACTTGCCACTAGTCCCTTTTGATCGTCTCGAAAAACTATTCTTGGCATTTTCATATTACATTATTCCATTACAAAGGAAAGCCTTGCAGAAGGTCGATAAATCCATCATCTTTTAGGGCATTGTCATCGTATTATTGCCTAGTATTGAAATGCAGCTATTAATGTCATTTATAGGATACATATCTGTACATAATGAATAACACGATGGCATTACGTCACAATAAGTGGTTTGTGAAATGTTACGCCTCAGTCATATTTGTTAGGGCGGCCTTGCACGTTAAAATTCTACGGCCAATAGCAATTACAAGGCCGCTGTAGCATTTCCGATCCACGGTCACTCACTTTAGCAGTCACATATGCTATTGTAACCTTAGTAATGGTACATGGGGGGGGGGGGGTTCTGGTCGTTTTCATTCTATATGACTTTTACTGATGTTGATAAACAAAAAGGATTGTATTAGGAGTTACTGAGCTAGGATTGCGTCAATTATTAACGAATAAGAAGACTGAAAAGGAAGCATTATTTTATTTGAAAGGATGCACATTCCCTGAACACTAAATGCTATCGTGTCCCCTTTCCTAATTCACTTATCTCCCTATATATGTCACATTGGATTTTCAAAAATAAAATGCGGTGGTGAAAAGGGCTATTAAGAAATAAGTAAAACGCGTCCTCGTCTGAATTATCACTACTTTAGCTTAGATCTACACTTGAATTTAGTGCCAGAATGATAAATGTTATATTTCCTTAGTTCTGGTTTAAAACCAAAACAACTTTATAAGAGCAATCGATAGAATCGAGTTCAAGAATTGTTGAATGCATGCTCGCAAAATACACCGGGCAGTTAGTACATCTTCTGCGAAAATAATATTGAAATACATGCATTATAAAAGAATTATAGAAAATTCACACATAGCTAGGCAAGGTCTGTCCGAATCCAGCCAATCAGAGCAGAGTATTCACATAATGAACAGTGTGTGAAATATCAATAACACATGAAAGGTCACTAGTTAAACAGTTGTCATGGTAATTAAAGGACTTTTCACCGTTTGACCCATGCAAAAAAATCCATTGAAAATGTTTTCTTTTAGTGATTTCGTTCCTTTTGGATAATTTTGTAGAAAATATTGCAATGTGTGAAAATAACGTGAAGCCCAATTTAAGCCCAAGACCCAATGCATTGTAGCTACTTCATTCCACTTAGGCGTTGTTTCCTAAACTTTGCATTCCCGCTGCGCGATCATGCAAAAGTTTGGAAACAACACCTTTATGGTATGATTCAGCCCCGGGGATTCAGCAAACAATGCACTGAGTCCATTAAATCCTTAAATAAAAGTGTTGACGTTTCTTTGTGCACACTGTAGATCAGAATCTATTAAATTTGATATGAACACAAATTAGTAGTTTAAGCATCTTCATTTTATCCATACCGGTGTAAAAGGGAAGGAGGTCCTATCCAATTATGGTCCTACTCGCTATTGATTTATATGGTGACCTTATTACAATTATTTTCCTTATTATTTATACACAGTCAGGGCCAGTAAGGGTCGTAAGGAAAGGGGACCATAATCCCTGGGGGACCATCATTTCTTTCACACCGGCACTTTCATTAACCACAGCTAATTAGTAGGTTAAACATTAAACAAGGAAGAAAAACAAGGGCACCAGGTTACGTCAGTCAATGAACCTTTCATCAGTAGTAGATAGTAGAATATCATCAAAACATTGTTTAATCAGGTTTTATAAAATCAAGCTTAAAGTACATCAAAACATCCGTTTAGTAATTTGACCTAGTAATTCAAAATCATATAAAATGAAAACATGATAATTTTTTGCAATATTGTCGATTGGATAATTTACGATATATTGTCAATTGGATAATTGACGACATAGTGATTTCAGTTAGCTATGCATTCAGAAATCACATACAATTTAGAAATCACATGCAATTTAGAAATCACATAATTAAGAACAATGACATCAATTTGCACTGATCGCGATACATGTAATTGAATCACTGACTCGGATCAATAAATCGTGACAAGAAATTATTTGTACTTCTATTCTATTCATCTTGTTTTTAATTGATATTGAAAGCTTTACCGGTTTTAAACAAGTGCCAAATCAAACAATTATATCGATTTTGTTGTTTTTTCCATTATTGTGAACCATGTGCGGTCAATTATGACTTTCAACATATCGTTCACTTAACCGGTAATTGATGTAAACGTCATTATGATTTTACTGTCTAATGAATAGCCCGCGCACCAATGACAATGACGTTCGGCTTCTTTGTTGTATCGATATGTTGTGTTCGCGGATGTAATGAATGGCACAGAAGCCGTTATTATAAAACATTAAAATAATGTTTACAATATTCCCTTTCCTTAATTGTTTTCAGGAATTTCAGTTTTTACAAAAAATATCATACCAAACAAAGTCTATACATCATTTGGATTATATGGGAGGGAGGGGTTTGCTTTTGACGGACACATTAATATTATGCATTCCCATAATACTTATGGTCAATTCATATCTGTAGTTCTAATTATTTGGTTTGGAAAAAGTTTCCGATGTCATTGTTCCGCACAATCAAAATGAAACGTTTAGCATCTCTGAGACAATCTACGAGTTGACTTTGAATTAACATGGAGGGGGTTGGCGGGTTGTATTGAAAATAAACCAACTAAGAAAAATACCTACCAACTACAATAAATACAGTCTTCAACGTTTTCAAGTTCTTGGTTACTGCATTCATCTTTTTAGCAGTAACGTTTGTCTCTTTTTTCCTCCCGTTCTTTGATTTAAAAAATTGAAATCTCCTGGTTTTATTTGTATTAGTCTCAGTTTCCATATCATTTTGCCCTGCACTAGTGGATTCACCTGTATCACAGTCTTGGGTTATTTGAGCTTGGATGGCAGCAATCCGACGGGCCTGCCGCCGGGCCACCTGAATAATTCGAAAATAGGAGAACAACATCGCACCGAGGGGGATGAGTATTGCCCATATGATGAGGAAAGCGGAATAACTAATGCTGTGCCTCCAATTTGGGTTACATATGGGTATGGTCTGTGGACGGAAGGAATATTTACCCCAACCATAGAGAGGCGTACTAGCGAGGATGATACTTTGGATCCATATATAGAGAACGCAGTATATAACACGATGATGTGTCATCTCCATGGGGTACCGCAAGGGATGACAAATACTAAGGTATCTGTCCAGTGAGATTCCAGCTAGTGTTGCTATAGAAACCAGTAATAACATCTCAGTAACAAAAACTGCAATCTGACAGAGCCAGTGGGGGTACTCCCAGTTGCAGACGTAGGCGGACATCACTGTGGAATAAATCCATAGAGGAAGGACAAATGTTCCGACGGAAAAGTCCGTCACTGCAAGATTGATTGTGAAAATGTTCGTAACTGTCCGGAGTTTCGGCGTTCTGTATACCGCCGCGCACATCAGTGCGTTCCCTACAATCGCTAATAGCATGATGGTGCTGATCGCGAATAGCTCTAGCCATAATGTCTCCACGTTCGTATATAGAACACACGGAGGTTCCTGGGAAGTATTCAACATGGCAATCTACTTTCACCATTACTTTGCGTGACTATCTTCATTATAACCTAGGCTGCTTCAAACACATTCATCCTTACACCTTATAAGTTTTTACTGATCCGGGCGACGATCCCTTTATTACTGTAATCTCCCGTTTCCTCTTTCGGTCTCGACAGGCTTCCACAATTTACGATTAATGAGAACTATCGTGAAAGCATATCCGCTGAATCCGTGATGAAAGCTAATCCATTGCTAGGACATTAAACGGAGTAAATTCATATAATTAAGGCAGAATTCGTAACGTTTATCCTTTTCTCTGTTGTATTGGCCTGTTATGTCCGCGGATGGATATAACAAATAACATCAGTTGCGTTGTATGCGGATGATGGATGGACTTAATTGAAGATCCACAATTCTAAATAATGACTTCGTGCGTCCGTTAGCTGGTTTTGTATGACTATAAAATACTGGTGCTACAACTTGCGTTGGACTTCCGATCAAATTCATTGATTATCTTTTCCTTCATTTCCTAGTTTTTATATCTACAATTTCGATGGTAGAAAAACGATACTTTGGGTCGCAGATTTAAGTCCAGTACAAATACGTTCCACTTGCTAACTGTTAAGTGTATAGAACAAATAAAGAAGCAATTTATAATGTTAACGATTTTTGATAGCTATATATTAAAGTTAGCATTCTACGCCTGCTAAATCAATGCGTTCCCTTAAAGAAACGATTGCTATTTGATGCCGTTGGGAGATTGATGCAATCTACCTTTAAAGCCTTTAATAGACGCATTAAAGCAATAAAAAACCTTTTCAGATTACAATGTTATGTTCCGCAGCAGAAAAATACGAGAAAGCAAATTGCATACACTTTCCATTGACATTCTCCTTTCTCAACTGACTTTTTTTACTAATGCTTATTTATGTGTCAGAAGGTTGGGTGCCAATTGCCATCCCGGGGGTTATTGCGGAAATTGACGCAAATATTGCGCCAATCGGCACGTTTTAGTATTTCTAATGATAAGGAATCCATGCTTTTTGGTGTAACGATACCATATAAGAAATTGCTAAAGGTGGCTCTGTTAAATAAAGAGTCGTATCGACCCTGAAGACTATAACCTGAGTCTTTATATGCCTAATGTGATTTCTTCATTTATTTCATTGTGTATATAATGGCACAGAGTAAAGATGAAAGAATTCAATAAAACATCGATTTATCTAATCCCCGATGGTTTGGTTTGATAAATAAAAATGGCGACCACTACAGGCAGACGAAGGCAAAATATACTTAGCCTCAAAAAGCAATCATTAATGATAGAATTAAACAATTAATTATTTTCAGTCTACTATAAAAGAAAATCCATCTGTCTCCTGACGACCTTCTATTGTGTTCCAATAACTGATTATTTAGCGTAAACGGAACATCGATGTCTTGGAAAGTAACAATACGTCTATTGTGCAAGTGTTTTCTACATGACCGCACGTTTATTGCTTCTCATGACATTTCCAATTGCTTTGCTTCAAGTGACAATATTGTCTGTAAAATTTAGACATTTTAAAGCATTCACTTAACTTAAAGTGACAATGTGATAATGATACGTAAAAGAAACAGTTTTAATATCTACAACTTTCATTTTCGAATCGGACTTTGATTTTGAGAGCTTCCCATCTATAGATTTATTTCAGATTTTGGAGAATTTGGAATACACATTTCTAGTACATGTGTAAAATCAATAGTACCACTTTTATAGGATATGTGTAATATGTATCCTTTACATTCGTTCGACTTTGCTTCTCAAAAGAGAGCTTCGTCTTAGTTTATAACTAAGCTCTGCGCGCAGGGTATGTAATATACGTATGTGACTCGTGTTGTAACCGTTCGAGATTGATTTGAAAAATGATCGCGAATGCTTAGAGAAGAATGCGAGAATGATATTGCGATTATTGTTTTCACACATCGATTTTTTATTCTGATCACATCATTAATCTCTAAAAGTGACATATTTGATATGGTATTAAGCGTTAAATCTCATCCTACCCTACATATCTTAATGGAAATTCATACATAGGATAAACACTTGTCTATTAACACAGCTCGTACAATATCTGAGACGTTAGTCTCAGGTTTTATTGATGAAGTTTTTCTACTTTTCGCAAAATGTCCGCGAAAATTGACAGAACGAGCCAACTACACAGATTTAGATCCAAGAATCTATCATGGTCATATATGTAGACTAATACACACAAACGTGGGATTAAGCAGGCCCGTAGCCAGGATTTGCCAAGGGGGGGTTCAGTTTTCAAAAATTTCCAGGGGGAGTTCACATTTGACAATTTTGGCCCAAATATGGCCAAAATCACTTGAAAAGTGCTCAAAATGGTGAAAAACTGCATGATTTTGAAAGAATTTTTGGCCAGGGGGGGGGGGGGTCGCCCGAACCCTGCGAACCCCCCCCCCCTGGCTACGGGCCTGGATTAAGATACATACTATACCAACTAATGAACTTTTTTCGGATAAAGAAATTCAATGAACTATGATGCGCATCTAGAAACATAATCCCATTTCCACAAAACTATGCCGTTTGTGAGACTCAGTCTTCAGTCAGTTTTCTAGTTTGAAAAAAAAATAAAAATGATGTGTCGAGAGCAAGTACTCGCTTGATCGAAAATTGCTTGAGACGTCTTGAACAATTGTAGCTATAATCCCAGATTTTTATAGAGTTACATCTGCTTGACCAATGATGGTGAATCAGGTACATCGCTGAACTTTTTAAATTATTGATGAGGGTGTGTCAGGCGAGATGGACAGTGACCATTTTGTCTACTTGACGCGCCATCATCAAAATCAATCATGGTTGAACTTAACATGATAAATTATTGGGAAGAGCTAGTTTAATGTTTTGATGTTACACGAGCCCAACAAATACGCATAGTCTTAGCTTGTGTACAATATCAATTAATGAGACTACACTAAATAAACATCGATCAAGAAAAAATCCTTACAAAACAAAGATAATGACGGGGAATGTATTGTGTGTGTATTTAGCAACGTTTATAAAGCATAAATTATTCCATTACTTGAAGGTCCATTGTATCAGGGGAGTTAGAAAAAAACGTTTTTACTTGTTTCATTACTTATTATCCAAGCGATATATCATCCAACATCATCATTTTTCACCAATAAATTGATTAATCATCGATGGAATCGATACACTCCGATTGTTTCATCCTACTTTCTTAGAATATAAAGCCATTCGTTCAATGATGTTTCATAATTTACAACCTATGTGACTTGCACCACCTCCATTTATTCATTTTACTCATTTTTACTCACATGGTGTGGTAAGTGCATCCACCGCCTTTTAAAAAGTATAAGAGGTGTACGCGTTTTAAAAAAAATTAAATTCAGCATTTACAGAAGTATCGATGGCAATCGGTGCAAATGAAAATATATATCATTGATTTGTGGCATGTGGGGTGAGAGTTTACCGTTTATGACATTACTGTACTAAAGTAGAGGAGTCCAGTCAAGTTCTTGAAAATGATACCTGTATCAAGATAACATTTCACTATCTGTTAGTTTGCTAATTTCCGGTCATGATATCTCTCACCTCGAACACCTTCTATCTGGCATCATACTTTTAGAAATGTGATTGAGTAGCCTATATGTAACACTGATCATGAGTGTTTGCTATTTATCATAGACACGAATTTCACAGGTAAACACCATGGCTTTACATGTTTCAATGCAATTTATTGCCACTTGTTGGATTGCAGTAGGTACCGCCGTACCATTGGCAGGAAGTGCCATTTCTTCGACTGTTGCTAATGAAGAGGTTCTCCCACTTGCCGATGATGGGCTGATGATAGGTGCGTTTAACATCCAGGTGTTTGGGAAAACTAAACTAGCTAAACCTGGCATTGTGGACATTCTTGTGAAGGTTTGTGGTTCATATTTCCTTTCTTTTATTTTGCCAGTTTCCAATGATACTCTGTACGTAGTGTGGGTACAAAAGGGGGTTTTACCTTGCATATAAAATCGAAACGCCAACCTATACGTATGACCAATCGCCCATACAAATAGTTGCGAAAAACATTGCAAGCTTAAACTCCCTATTACTACCGTTTATCAATTTGTTTAAGCAGACAGGCACATGATATCAGAATGATTCTTCAGTATAGTAATTTAATACATTTTTAGATCAAAGCACTAAATCAATCCGCACAATAACATTTTATTCCGATTTAGATCATCGAGCGTTATAGGGCATGTTCAAGTAATTCCAATTTTCTGAATTGCAACGCTTTTCTTAACCAAGGGCAAGTTATGACCACAAAAGAGGGACGAGTATTGCGGGACTATGGCATCTGCTGCACAACTTCTTGATTTTCCTATGTCTTGACACTTTTATCAGGTTTTTGTAGATCGTCCAACGATATGACATCTTATTGATCCAAGAAATAAGAGATTCAAAAAATGAGGCCATCTACGAGCTCTTGGAGAAAGTAAACAAGTAAGATCTATAATGCATATTGAGCATATCATAATATCAGTGTCATTTTATTATATTCATTTAATTTTCAAATATTACAATTATTTTGAATAATACTCCTTGTAGCTCCCCTTATTTGTAACACAAAAAGCTACCACAAATAAAATGGAATAGTAATAAGATGAATGATATGTCCATCATTCTGTTACACACCATGTCGCTTTTCTGGCAACAAAAAAGAAGTCTTCGGTCCTTTATGCCTTCGTGTCTGTGATTAAGTTTGTTTTTGTTTTTGTTTTTGACAATCAGTGCAACAGTGAGAGAGAAGGGGGGCAATGCTGCTAATGTTGAGGCAGAAGATGATGTTAAAGGTGTTTATGATGTGATTGTCAGTCAAAGACTTGGGCGAACTAGTTCGAAGGAACAGTATGCATATATGTTCAGGTAATATAACCAATAAGTCTATGAGATTTGAGGTGACACCAGTGACACTTTGAATAAATCTTTCTGACTGTCTATCTGACCTGTCTATAATTTCACTGATTCAGGAAAGACAAGGTTAACGTCTCCGATGTTTACCAATTTGACTTCCCCTGCATTAATGCTACAATGCTTAATACAAAACTGTCTCCTAAAGTGGCGAAAGAAGAACAAACAGAATGTACAGATTTATTCGAAAGACCACCATTTGCCGTCAAATTTAGCGCACCAGGAGCAGGTAATATATTCCTTGGAAAACTATTTCAAATTCCATTTTTCACTGCAGAGTTCAATACCATGGTATTCCTTCAGTCATATGCAATACCTTGATATATCAAGGTGTGCGGATTCGAGATATTATAAATTACTTTTCATGGAAAACTCACTCTATTTGGTTTCGAGGCAAAAACAATACAATACAATTTTATAATACAGTACAATGTGATACCTGGGTGTGATACTTTTTATCTCTTTAGGTATACCTGTATTTGGTATGATTGGCATCCATACATCCCCTTACAAAGCAAAAGGGGAGGTGGATGCACTAGTTCAGACATATGATGAAATCAGCGCAGCTTGGGACTTGAAGGTAACCCACATTATTTTAGAATTATTGGTCTTAAATAGTTCGATTGTTTCCTGTCGTGCTTATCAACTATTTGCTTTAAAATATCTTGTATGTATGTGTAGACTTCAGTTAGTGATTTTCGAGTATATTCATTCTCAAGTAGAAGTTTTACGACTTTGGTATCTATTGGGTAATTCGTCAACGTGCAATCCTTCATGTAAATTGTTTTGTTAACTTAAGGTAGTTTTGTATGTTCATAAACGTTAATGGCTTCCTATTTTCATGGACACATAACCACGGGCTACTAGAGTTTCCACGTATATGGAGTATGACCGGTTCTTAGGCTACGAATATGACCTGTTTTAGAAAGTCATGAGAGGCACAGCTGCTTAAAAATTAAAAATAAAGGTTAACTTCTATATTATCCTTTTTGAAATTGTGTTTGTTGAATATAGTTTATGCTGTATTTAATAGTAATGTAACAAAAAAATGTTAAACATGAGCTATTTCAGCAATGTAACTGTTCATAATGGAATATCAATCAGAAAGTACAGATTTCTCGCCTTAGAGCCAAATCATTAATACCACAGTAGAAAAAAAACAAATCCCAAACCTTTTTATGGCTTACCTGAACAAGATCTCCAAGTCTCAGTTTATATGATCCCCGTAGAGTGAGCAAGAGAAGGATTTATCTTTTCCCGGAGGATACGCTTGTGAAATGTCATGGAAACGAGTTAAACACGGCCCACTGATTGTTTCACAATCGTATTCTCCAATAATGGGGCACCAGTAACATTCGTATTCTCAAAAATTCAAAGATGTATCATATTTGGACAGAGCAGGCTAAATTATTTAAAATATTCATGACTAATTCGTAGATCTAGCTATATATTATACATAAGATGTGTCATCCTCTTCGGAGTTGCGTTGTGTTACACAAAAACTGATCAAAGATGCTGGAAACTAGGATTTTACGGCTTCAATCTAATATTAATACGTTTTCTTTTGATTAAGGCCCCTTGTGATATGCCTGGCATTATAAGTATAACAAGTATCATTCATTGACCAAGTAGGATAAAAAGAAAACTTTCGAAAGTGTTCATAAAAAGCAAGTACTCACCTCGTCTGTTTATAGGAACAGAAATACGGTCACACTCGTAAGCTTAGAACCGGTCATACTCAATATACGCGGATACTCTAGTAACCCGTGCATAACTCATTCCATATGTGGTCTACAACCAATTTCTAGCCGGGGACAAAGCGTGCGTAAAGAAACCTAGATTATTTGTTTCACATACCAATATAAAAGGAGAAAATTCAATGATTTACATTTTTCCTTTTAAAAAGTAGGTCAGTGAATTTTCTGAATTTTCATACAATACATTAACCCTCAACTAATAATCTAGGCACACGTATATACTCTTCTAATTGAAAGATCTAGACCATGTATGCAATTATTTATCGATTCCTGAAATTAACACGGGACTCCACAGGAAAACATTAAAGTTATTCTGGACTTAAAAAAACATAAAATAGTCAGAATAGCACATTCGAACTTTAACTCTGTTTTAAACAATTTGATAAAACAAAGCCTTTTATAATGCTTACAGTATTATATGATTGTGGTAAGAGGACCTTTAATTATCGACTGCACTGTCTCGTTGATGTATAATTTGGTCCATCTAGGATATAATAGTAGCAGGAGACTTCAATATGGGATGTAGATATGTGAGGTCATACCAAGATGGAAACATCTCCCTCTACACAGATGACAGGTTTACATGGCTAATTGACAGGTGTGCAATCACAACAGCATTTGGGGCGGATTGCCCGTATGATAGGTAGGTAAAAACAAAATCATAATCCTCTTGGCCCGACTTTTTATGGTTGTACCATTTGTCTCTCCATACGATTGTTGGTGAAATTTCACGAATGACATATATACATGTAAGATTAGATAGTATATACAACCTAGAAAAGATAAACCTCTTCAAAAACGTGACATTCTGCATTGCACGTTATCCGAGTACATGTGATTTTGTTCTTAGGTTTGTTGTTGCTGGTGACAAGTTGAAGCAGCGTGTAAATGAGAAGAGGATAGGTGTCTACAGATATGATAAAGAAATGGGTCTGGATCCTGTAATGGTAACTAATGAACCTATCTTAACAGCAGATATAATACCAGGTTTACTAGCCATTTGGTGGATTGAACCTGGACATATCCTTCAGAATGTTGTCACTTGATTTTGTATGAAAAGATTCATATATGAGCCTGGCCATTGGAAAATTGGTCTTATCACAAAAATTAAAAATTGTGCTACAGAGCCAAAAATGTGCCCACGATTAAGAGGAAAGTGTGCTAAATTCAAATCCGACTTTTTGGTCTATATATGCAAGAAAAAGTGTTAAGACAAAAGCAATGGCTCATTTGAAAGGTCTCTTTGTGGTTTTCAAGATAAACAAAAAATCGGAATATTGAAAAAATCTGTGATAAGACTCCTTTTCCCGTGGCCTGGCTCATATCTTAAAGTCAGAATATAAAGAGTGATAAACCTGCAAGCAACATGTTGCATTGTATTCCTTATGACCTCAAATATAATATCTCCCAATAGATCCGGGATATGCTATACATTGGTGAAGTTATTTAAAATTCAAAGTGCAAACATGGAGGGGGTTCAAAATAAAGTATGCACTTTGGAGATAGAAAATAGATATGACATAGAATGATACGATATGAGCCAGAAATGTCCTGAAATTCAAACGATTTTTTATTGTTGAGGTTGCTCGCAGATCTGATACAACCTTTAAGTCCCTAGACCAGTAGACACTGGTTTGGTGCATTGAATCTCAGGCAAAATGGAAATCATCTCATTTTTTATATTTATGATCAACATGTGCAAACAAATATTTATTTAACGTATAGACGGATGTAAAACAAGATAAACAATATTATAACTGATTGCTCAAACGAGAATAAACATAAAATCATAAAATTAACCATAACATAAACCATAAAATTGACTTATGCTGAGATGCAGAGTGGTAAATTAATATGGTTCAATAAATGTCTTTCTCAACTTTGCCCTCCACAAGGCTACATAACAAAATGAACTTTATTTATTCACATCTAGGCTAAAGAACTCAGAAATCATAAGTAAAATACCTCGATTTGCACATGAGAAATCGTCCAAGAATTCCCGCCAATTCAAAATTTCTTTTATGTATGATCTGGGATACTAAATTCCAAGGTATGATAAAGATATAGATGTCCTAAACGTAACGAGAATTCGCATTTTCTCATGAAAATGTTAAGACTCATTCATCTGTTCATAATACTTTATTTTCATTTCAGACTCGAAAAGTCAGTGATCATTTTCCAGTTGAAATGGCAATTGAAGGAAGACGTAAGTCATCTGTTTTTATCTTCCCATAGAAACTCTTGAATATCATAGGCCATACGAGTGTACACTGTGCAGATATTACGAAAACGACTGACTTCTCTGGCTGTTTATTAATATTCGTGGTGGTTTCTCCATTGGTTCCTTATGCCACATCACATGTCTATATTTCTCCAAATTAATTTTCAGGCAATTACAAGAATTCGAGAGTGACTTCATCATTTGCATACAGCCTTGAGTTCACCCCTATTGATGTAAGCAATCTGGACAAGGTGAAATACATGGCATCTGCAGTACGTCGGAGTAGGGCATATTATGACATCAGTATCCTTGGGGATGGAGAAAACGATGTGATGTTCACAGCAACAAAGCAAAAATATAGAGGCTCTGTCTACAGGACAGTGAAACTGTTCTCATCTAAATTTCCCGGCATTTTGAGCAATGAAGTTCTGGCAACACTGAAGTCCGTTTTGGACAGTAATGTGTTAAATGAAGAGCGCTATATATATGGTTCATCTGAGAAACCAGCAAAAGATCATAACATTGATATTTCTTGCCAATTCATCTCACCATTTAAATGTACAATTCAAGTGGCAAAGCGTTTAGTCTAGCTGGTTAAACAAATTCATAGAACACATATTATACCTCCTAACCACAACCATGTGCGATTTTATCAAACCATCTAGAAGATGGACGAACATGAATAGACAATGAATACTGCAGGACGACATCTATTTCACACAATGGAAATTAATGCAAAAAGTTTTTTGTTGATCTAGACTTGGATGCAAAGATTTATTTCTTCACAATTTCAAGTTAGTTACAAATTGTACAATGTACAAATGAATGGCACAACTAAGTATCTATTATTACTTTCTGTCATATCCACATGATCATTTTATTTTAATTCTTATGTAGTTTACACAATATCTTTTGATAATGCATGGATTCTTCCCTAAACGTACACTTATTTCCATCAAATACACATGAACATGATACTTTTTAAAAATAACAATTTTCGTTTGTCAGATTTTTCTTAAACAATACCCTGTCTCTACACTCCGATCTTATATAAGATGACACAGATATCAGAAGAGAAAAATCCACTTTTTTCAGAAAAGGTCCAAGTCCATGTTCCTGTTTTCAATTTGTTTCGTAACTAGTATTGATTTTTAGTATTTCTAGAAACATGTTGACAACCAGGAACATGACTCGGCCCTTTTCACATTTTTGGCTGATATTTTTTGAGTATTTACAATTTATACAAACTCTTATTTACACTTATTTATTTTCAGTGTCTGTACAGTCTAATACATCGCACAAATTAATCCAATGTAAATGAATTGAAATCATTTCAATTTGGGACATTTTTGAAGCTGCACATTAGACTGTGTGAATGCATTAATAAATGCGATCTATTAGACAGACACTGAATTACACTGTTTTTAAATAAACTAAGCATTTATGTTAATAACATTTACAATATGGCTTCTGTACAGTACAAACATAACATAAGCAGTCTATGAAATGTTAATTACGTATACAACTGCAGTTCATTGCATAAGAAAGTATTTGATGCATTTCTCCAAATTTGAAAATTGTCAGCTAGTACATGTCCATGATACTTCAAAGCCTATTTGAATACAATGAGAGTATAAGAATACTGTAATGGACATAACATTTTCAGCGATCCATTTGGGAGAAGGATGCACATTTTGTAATGACAATTGAATTTCGAATGCTCCTTTGCACCTACTCCTTGCTAATCCAGTGTACACTCAAAATTGTGCATAACTTTCTTAATCAAATTATGTATTCCAAAATGAACCCTTCATCAGTCATATCCAGTTTGGCACTTCATACAAACGACCTTCTTACTAAAAAATATTTCTAGAACCAAAAATAAATCTCTTATAATATGAACAAAAATGTGTTTAACACAAATCTCTTTTTCATTTGAATTATTTAAACCTTGCTCAAGTGACGAATCATCAAAAAGATTTCACAGGGAATTCATATGCTGCTTACTTGCCATTCTTGATCTATGGCTTTCAATTATCTACTGCATTTAATCAACAATTCATACATGCCAAGTGTGTCTCAGCCAATCAGCTTAAAGCATTCCAGTGTGTTAATTTATTGATATATGCATGAAAATGATTTTTCTGTGCATTTAATCTTTGATAAATGCACGGACTGAACAGTACTATTCTTTAATAAAAAGGGGTGACACTATGGCCCTTAATTAGGTGTCTATCGAAAGAAGCTATTGAACTGATCTGTTTGCCTTAATTACATAATCGTGCCTTTGCTGTAAGCGCACCATGCTCATAAGCATTTTGCTTTGTTTACTTAAGCAATGAAATTATACACTAGATATATCGAGGTGAAGTTGGAGTAACTTAAACCTTGACAATCAAGATGTATAATACTAACAAGTTCAATTTATAATGAATCTTATTTATATGAAGCCAGTAGACATGTATGTTCACAATGGTCAATACAACTCTGAGGCATAAACATTACAAGGGGCAAACCCTTATATGAGTAAAAGCATTCTTTCAAATATTGATACACATGCTCCATAAAGTACAAAACTCTGTTTAATGAAATAAACATTTGGGTGTTTTACAGACATAATACACAGATGTTACATTGTCCAACATGCATGAGGACTGTAATGCTCCCTTGGATGATTAATGTGTGCATCTGTTGGCTATAAGAACTTTAAATACACTGATACATCCATATGTACAGTATATGTTCTTTCTGAAGCATATGTTTTTTTAAACGTGTCTCCGTACTTGCACGGCTCTTTTGGATAAGACACTGCACTTCATATTGCTTCAGTGATGATGCACCTCATACATACATACATATATATATATATATTTTTTCCATGACTAGATATGCTGTGAAAGATCTATTTCTTCTTACGGTCATTCTGACACTTTGGGCAGAACCATTTGCCTTTAGGTTTAGCCTGCAGTCCAACACAAGCAAAGTGGAACCATTCTATTGGACACTGGAAATGAGAATATTATAAATAAAATCAAACTATTGGAACTAAAGAAATTGACATTAGAAAAGAGTATGTTCAATTTTAGTACCACTGATTTGATAGTGTAGCTTATGTGGGACAATATGGTCATGGAAATCATTGCTTTTCAACTACAGGTGGAGCTTCATCAAGTTTTAGCTGAATTTGGTATTCAAGTAGGGCAGAGATTTCAGGACCCACTATCACAAAAATAGATATATATCGATGTACTTTTTTAAAGTCGTTCTCACTTGGAGACGTCTTTGTCCATGATATGAGCATACTAGTATAACAAATATTGAGAAAAATTGTACTTACATCAGGGTTATCACATCCAATCATCTCTCCATATGAGACCTGGTGACAGAGGCAATATGTTGGCTCATTGGGGTCCACAGGCATGTCAAGTACATCTGAAGGGTGGGTGATAGACAATGGTAGTGCTGGTAATGTGTTCGTCACTGGGATATCAGGCCTAAAATGCAAACTTCAGCATTATTTTGTACTTGGACACTTCTATTGGTCGTTGACATATAAGGGCATACTGACTGATGTAAAGAGTTGGGTCTTAAAAATATACAACGGTCGGTTCCAATCAAATGCGAAATTACAATACTAAATGCAAGAATCAAGTATAGTCTACACATGTGTAACAAGGCATGAGAAATGGCCTCGCAGAAATACAGATATTTTATAAATCAAAACTGAAGATGAAATCTAACAATTGTGTTAGACAAAGCATGGTGTTATATTGCTCAATTTTTGTCTTGCCTATTAAAAGGACAAGGTGCAATTATTGGCAAATATCCCTATGGTCAAAATGAATCATTCGTAGGTGTTACATGAAGAATAAAATGTCATATAATACTTTGGAAAATATTAAAGTGCTCGGACACACATAAGCTGAGATAGGGATCATTTCGTTCAGTAAGGTTGTATTGACTTACATGGGGCTGTGCACCATTGACATAACATGAGAATATCAGCAGATCCCAATAGAGGCCATTGGTTTCAATTGATTATCACAGAAATACCAAAAATACACTATGACCTGAATCGATTGCAAACTTAATAATTTCACAATACGACACAAATGGTTTATCTCATCAAATGTGCAAATATGAAGTTTGCAATCGATTCAGGTCATACTTAAAATTAAAAGATTGTACATTTTTTCATCATTTTTTTCCCTACAAAATGGCTTTAGAAAAATGCTCCAAAAACAACTTTTACACTTATCAAATATCATACAAGTTTGTAAAACCAAAGATTATACTTAATTATATTTCATTATGTCGTAACATATTTGGATAAGATGCAGGGATGCGTAGGATGTAAATGGATTTTGACAGACACAAAAATACTTCCTGGTTTGGAATCTATGCCTCTACACTTCATGATTGAATTATGACCCTAATAAGTGGCCTATACATCAATACAGTGCTGAATATAGGTCAACAAGATACTAGTGTGCATATAAATGTAATAATTGAAGCAGAATACTCATTTTGAAAAATCAGATGAATTATTTTTTTCCCATGGGGAGATCCCAATGGCGGGTGTATAAGGTCCTTTGACCAGTCTATTTTTTGTATCTAGCTATATCCCTAATTTGTATTACAAATCAAATATAGAGTATTTTACTTTCACATAAGATTAGGTTTTGGTAAGTATCTGTTGAAACTTACTGAATTTCTTGAGATTTCTTTTGCTTTTTCTTTTTCGGAATTTCATCTGAAAAATCTTCTTTTTGTCCCTTCTTCTTTTTCTTCTCTACAGTTTTTTGACCTTCTGAAATGCAAAAATAAATATTCAAAAAAACAATGATATTTGAACTTTGGTACATTGCATTACACAGGTGTTGGCAGATATCTTGGCAGAAAGAAACTCACTACTTGATTTATACGATGAAACAAATAACTCAAGTAACTCCGTCCCAAGGGAATTTTTTTGCTAGAATGAATAAGCTGAACTCCATCATTCTGATACACATAGCATCTAAAAACCTGTCCAGTGTGGGTCATATCCACTCGACAGTAGCCCAAGGTGGATGTAAATATTTAGAGTCGAGTGTAAAATTGAAGTGACTTGCCACATTGTCGAACATGAAATTCACCATTGTCGAATATTATAGAACTAAGTCAATTTATAGTACTTTCATAAACATATTACTTTCTCTTTAAAGATTTTTATTCACAAGAAAACTGTTGTATATGTATCATCAGTGGCAACACTGTGGCGAGTATAAATTTTCATTGGCGAGTGTGAAAACACAAGTCGATTGCCAATTGGCGAGTGACAGAAAAATCCAAAGACACACACTCCTGTCTGTGTTTAGTTGCTCTGATTTTCCGTACCGATCCTGCTGATTGAAGGAGCGAGGCTTCCTATACAATCTTAAAATTCCTGGGAAGTTTACTCATGTAAAAAATTGACGTACTTTAAAAAAAATTAATTCATTTGTGCTTCCTACCGATTAAATACTCCATATTTTATAAGATGTTTATTTCTACTGTTATAAGAATTCATTACATCTGTAGTATGAAAAATATATAATAATTCGTAGGAACTGTTAGAAATAAGTGAATACTTGGGACTTTGCAAGGAATTGACCGTTTGCTATCAGAAATTGTTTATTACACCGTTGCTATGCAGTTCGTTGAGAAATCATTTTTTAATAAGTGACATTTAAATCATGTGTTTGTTATTACGAATTTGATTAGTCCATCGATTCCACCAATTCTGAATCGAAAGTGCCCTATACTAAATTCCATGGCAATCTACGTATAATGCAAGAAGAGAGGGCCATGGTATTCCATGATGGAACTTCATATACTTCACACATTGGCTTTTTAAGTAAATATTGGAAATAATTCTAAAGTAAAGATCTTGGCTTATTTCTTACATAATCAGATATAGCAAGCAGTTTTTCAAAAATGTTATCACTATTTCAGATTTTATTCCTTTGCATAATAAAAAATCTCGCCTGGTGCCGAACAAAATTTGGAGGTTGTTTCCCTCTGATACCGTAGCAGTTACATGAAGTTATATCTGAATTTTTATTTTTATTGGAAAGTATGCTTGCAAAATCTCACAACCTGCGTATGCTACATATTTGTTGTACACAAGTATTGGATTTTGGTGCTGACTTACTTCTATGTACATCTGTATCTTTCTCTTTGGATAGTGTTTTTTCTTTTAATTCTGCTTCAAATCTGGCTAAATCTGAGTCCAACCTTCGTATGTGCTTATCTACCTGAAATAAAGAAAACTGTATTTCAGCTTTTCACCACAAGAGCAAAATGATTCTTGCCAATTTTTACACATTTGGAAATAGATACTGATCTAAATGCTACAATAACACAGAATACTGATATGACTGGGCATTTCGAGGGAGTGGAAAAACACAATAATAAGGATCCACAGTTTCTGTGCTCTAGCAGTGAATTGTTAACAAAATATGACCAAAATTGTCAATTTCTCAAAAGAAATGTGAGGACTTGGGAAATAGCAATGACAAGTGAACCTGGTGAAATACGAGTAGATACTGTGGATAGACATAAAATAATTGGAGATATGACCAATCATAATACGAAAAGCAGTTTTAATATGTACCATCTCTCTTGACAGATGGATCGAAACACGGTCAACTAGCTTTAGGTAGACAAACTTTTAAGGACGGACCAACAGACGGACAGACACCTGGTCGATTCCATAGGCCAAAAATTGCTCACTTATAGTCAGTCCATTTGTACCAAGTTCATTTGTTATGGTAGACAAGAATCTACTAACTTACCATTTCATAAGTTTGATTTGCTAAATTAACTTTGTCATCTCCATATTCTTTACTTTTGACATATAGTTTTTCTATGCTGTCGTGTGATGAAGTACGTTTATCAGGTGGAAGATTCCGGACATTTTCTAAGTATTCATCTGAGAGTGTTTTGATCTCTCTCAATACATCTGAAATAACATACAAAGTACAGTGATAAATATGTCCCTTGAGCAAAACACCCCACATGTCCTATTACAAATCAGGAACATACAATAATTACATTCCTAGAAGTCATCATACAAGATGCTCTCGTAATAACATATTTAAATGAAAAAAAGTCCTGAGCATTAATTTAATAAATGATGACATTGATCTTCCAGTGAAGTCTGTTGGCATCAGTTGGGGGTCATTAAATTAGATGTTTCAGCAACCATACAACAAAATTAACATTGTCCATTTAACAATTCAACAAGAATCATTTCAAAATGAAATTTCACTCTCGGGTAATTATCATTTATTTCTTATGAAAAAAGGCAAGTTGAGTGATTTGAACACGTACCCTGATTTCGTTGGTCCAAGTCCCTCATTAATGTGAAGTTTCTCTGTAGATCAGCTGGCAGACTTTCAAGACCTGAAATATTGAAAATTAAAAACAAAGTCAGTTATCGAGAGGGTATGATTCATATTGTAGTCAGCACTGCTACATACAAGAAGAGGTCACCTGGGGATTGTCTACAATAACCTTGCAATTCCAACATTATGAAGCCCTTGAAATATGACTGTCTTTTCTGAGTACTGCAGTCTAGTTTTTACACCCATGCAGACAGATTGCTTGACATTCACCAGGAAAGTAGAAACATTTTGTCACCCATGAAGCAAATTAATTTCTTACTGTCACAAATGGCGGACATAACCGTCGCTTCAATAAGATTTTCATGACCTGTATATGTTTAATAGAGCACCTATACTAAATTCCTTTGGAACAACAATCAATCAAAGTGTCTTAATACTCATTGTACAGTTGATGATGTTCTACCATCGAAATAAAGTCTTTAACTTAACAGATCAAAATGAGATATGGGACAACGGACACTGTTATTACCATAGATTTTAGATTTAGATTTATGAACTTTATTACACATTCATACCCATAAAAAAGGTTATAGTTAGTGAGGTAGCACCGAAAAATGTACCCGCTTCTGAACAACTTGAAATTACTTGTTTCTTATGTATTTTTATGTGATACTTCAGAAAATTTTTGTCTGATGCGCCGTATCCGGGGCGAAAGTTGTCAAAATTGGGTTTTTGACCCTAAAAAGGAAAATTACAGGGGGTACATTATCATAATTGAATAATTCATTCAGTTGGTCTTCAATCATCATAATAATTTTATCGATAGTTGATGAGATCATTTTAAGGTAGTATGCAAACTTTCAATGGTCTGTCACTCGTGGTTGCCATGGAAACCACAATTTTTGCTGAGAAAATCCTTAATTTTGGTAAAACCTGTACCTGTACATAATATAGAATGTGGATTATTTTTTAAATCAACAGATATCAGAACATTTTAGCATTTTCAAAATTATCAGGGCAGTTCAAACATTTATTTAAATATAAAGGATATTGCAATTAACATAACTGGGGAGTGTCAAAGACCATACAATTACATAAGTGATCAAAAGTGGGCGTCGCCCTTATCATAGTAGATGATTGCCATTCTCTAAAAATACAGAGTCTTACTTGACTTTTGAGATACATTTATAATGATGTTCTTTGGTTATACTAAATATGAAGCATTTTTGGTAAATAATGTACATGTAAGTGTTATACTTATTGCATTGGGGAGGGGGTAGATGGGGGGGGGGTAACAGAATTGGAAGAGGGCAAAGCTAATCACCCTTAAGTATAAATCTCATCTACATAGTTCTGGATTTCATGGGGTACATCTTCTGGGTCTTCTTCACATTCATATAGGATATTATAATTCTGCATGATTGGTAAGTATAAAGACCATAGAATTACTCAAGTGATCAAAAGTGGGCGTCGCCCTTATCATAGATTCATTCTCTATAAATTAGGGGTGGGACGGATAACCGAAATACCGAAAAACCGCGGTTCATAGCCTTCGGATCGGTTTTCGGATCACGGCCCTACTTTCGGATCAGCTTTTCGGATCGTTTTCGGATTAATATTTCATTGGTCAAGTATCAATAAAACAGTTAAAAACACTGTTTTACAGCAACATTTTTGATATTCCTAGTCCCTACCTTGCTAGCTCACTCGTTTACTAGATTCGTTTCGTATCCGCGTATTCGTATCCCTCGGTAATCAATCATGTGGTCCCTGGTACTATATTCTTTAGTCGTGTATTCTAAATAATATGTATTGTTCATGAAATACTATAACATAAAATTCCATCTATAAAATATTGTTATAACGTGGCATAATTGATACAAAGCAGCTAATCATGTCAATCAATACAAATCCTTAAAATGAATGAACCGAACCGAAAAAACCGAACCGACGGCTGATGATCCGAAAAACCGAACCGAACCGAACCGAAACGAACCGTCCCATCCCTACTATAAATACAGAGTCTAAGTTGACTTTTGAGATACATTTACATTACAACTTCTTTGATTATACTTAATTTCAAGCATTTCTGGTTAGTAATGCACATCTAATTGTAATAGTTCTTGCCTGGGGGAGGATGGGGGAGAGTAGTAACAGAATTGGGAGGGGGCAGAGGTAATCAGCCTTAAGTATGAATCTCATCTGCATAGTTCTGGATTTCATGGGGCACATCGTCTGGGTCTTCTTCATATTCATCTCAATATATGGGATATTACAAGTTACAGGATTTGTCAAACACCATACAATTACATATTTATAAATGATCAAAAGGAGTGTCACCCTAACAATAGTAGATGATTGGTTCTTTGTATAAATACAAAATTGAACTTGACTTTTGAGATACATTCATAGTTATACTGAACTGCTGTTATTATAATTTATGTCAAGCATTTCTGGTAAATACACCTTTGTAAGTATGTATTATAGTTTTTACATTTGGGCAGGGGTGAGTAGTAACAGAATTAGAATGTGTAGATCTAATCTGGCTTAAGTATCAATCTCATCTTTTTAATTCTGGATTTCATAGGGTACATCTTCTGGAGTTTTCTGATTCATCTCCTGGTGTTGCTATACCACCAATCTCTTGTATGAGAATATCAGTCAATACCCATTATAACGATGGAGTCATTTAGTTTCCATTCAAGTCCATCTGGTGGTTCACTACGAGGATTTGCAATATGGGCCATACAGACAATAAGTGCTTTATATGGATGAGATGGTTACAACAATCTATTATCTAGAGATGAGATGAGTGTGACACCCATAATGACCTTGGAAAGGCACAAATAGCAAGTATAGAAAAAGACATAAAGATGACAAAAACCGCAATCAAAGACTTCCTTGATCCATTTACCATTGAGGATGAAGGTCATCTCTACGGTGTATCATAAGGAAAATCTGTGCCAAATGATGTCGCTGCAGATCTCATCTAATTTTAGTCAAAAGGGGAAATTGCATGAAGAGATACCATCTGAGATTAGTTGAAAAAAAGATTTCATGATCTAATAAAACATATGAAATTGAAAACTATAGCAGCAAACTACAGCAGCAACAGTGACAGTGACAGTAAAAAAGTACTCAGAACAAGCTTATACAAATACATTCTGAATGAAACATCTTTGAACAGCTTTGATCTTGCTTAAGAACATAAAATTAGCCTAGAATGTCTCCTGCAGTTCCTATTGAGCCCTGTGCCTTGGGCTCTAGGAACACTGACTGGACTTCTTGCAAGAACAGAGAAACGCATTCCTATGCATGAACATGTACCCACAAGTGCCAAAGGGAAAGGACCAAAATTTGTAATAAAACCCAGCAAGAAAAAGAAAACTTCTAAATGTATACAAGTCATAAGGAAAACAAACCCCAACTATCCCAAACCATAATTCAACATGAAAGGTAGTTTTGTTTCTGGATCTGGCGGAGACTGTTTCAAGATTCTACAATTGCAGATTGATTAGTTTTTGTATGTGATTATTACATCAAAAATTCTATAAAGGAACCTGAAAGAGGGGAGGGAACCTTGCCCTATTTAAGGTAGAAAACACGAGTCCCTAAAGATTGGAATTAGTTCTTGTATGATGATGAAAACAAAAAGCAAATACAGCAAAGTGTGCTGCTGGATACTTGAGTTGGAAACAAATGAAGACTGATGTCAGTGGTATTTCCTCCAATATAGACCCTGACATATATGCAGCCTTCCTAGCACTTCACACATTCACAGATGAAGTGCCATGCAGAAGGGGCAATAGCAATAGCACCTTTTTAAAAGGCAAAGGTGGAGCGCCATATAGATACACTCAACTGGATGACTCTCAAATCTGCAAGTGTAGTGGTATATTCTCCCACATGATATTGTTAATATATTAACATCGGGAGGTGAATGAAAATGATCAGACTATGATATTAATACTTAAGACGGACTGGCCATTGGCTCTGCCCCCTCCCATTTCTACTACTACCCCCTTGCCCCCCCCCACAGGGAATAACTATTACAATACTAAATGTAATCAAAGAAGTTTTAATTTAAAAAATAAATCTTAAAGTCAAGTTAAACTCCATATTCATAGAGAATGAATTATCTACTATTGTGAGGGCTGCATCCAATTGAATGGTCTTTGAAACTTACCAATCATGTAAATTGGAATATCCCATATATTGAGATGAATGTGAAGAAGACCCAGAAGATGTACCCCATGAAATCCAGAACTAAGTGTATTAGATTTATATTTAAGGCTTATTAGCTCTGCCAATTTCCAATTCTGTTACTCTCCCCCCCCCTCCTCCACCCTTAGGCAATAACTATTACAATAAGATGTATATAACTTACCAGAAATGCTTGACATTAAGTATAAATCAAAGATGTTTTTAAGTAAATATACTTCAAAAGTCAAGTTAAACTCTGTATTTATAGAGAATGAACCATATACTATGATTAGGGCGACGCCCACTTTTGATCACATGTTTTATAATGTGGTCTTTGACACTTTGACACACCAACCATGTAAATTCTAATATCTTCTATATTGAGATGAATATAATAAGACCAAAAAGATGTACCCTATGAAATCTAGAACCATGTAGATGCGATTTACACTTAAGGCTGATAAGCTCTGCCCCCTCCCAATTCTGTGACTACCCCCCCCCCCCCACTTTTGATCACTTATGTAATTGTATGGTCTTTGACACTTACCAATCATGTAAATTGGAATATCCCATATATTGACATGAATGTGACCCAGAGACCCAGAAGATGCACCCCTTGAAATCCAGAACTAAATAAATGAGATTTACATTTAAGACTTATTAGCTCTGCCCATTTCCAATTCTGTTACTCTCCCCCCCCCCCCCCTCCTCCACCCCCAGACAATAACTATTACATTCAATTAGATGTACATATATAACTTACCAGAAATGCTTGACATTAAGTATAAATCAAAGATGTTTTTAAGTAAATGTACTTCAAAAGTCAAGTTAAACTCTGTATTTATAGAGAATGAACCATATACTATGATTAGGGCGACGCCCACTTTTGATCACATGTGTAATTCTATGGTCTTTGACACTTACCAACCATGTAAATTCTTATACCTTATATATTGAGATGAATATAATAAGACCCAGAAGCTGTACCCTATGAAATCTAGAACCATGTAGATGAGATTAACACTTAAGGCTGATAAGCTCTGCCCCTCCCAATTCTGTTACTACCCCCCCTCCCCCCTCCCCCTTGTATCCCCATGCAATAACTATAACACTTATATGTAAAAATGCTTGATATTAAGTATAACCAAAGAAATTCAATATAAATGTATCTCAAAAGTCAAGTAAAACTCTGTATTTATAGAGAATGGCAATCAACTACTATTATGGGGGCGACGCCCACTTTTGACCACTTATGTAATTGTATGGTCTTTGACACTTACCAGTCATATAAATTGCAATATTCTTTCTCTTTAAACAAATGTTTGGACAGCCCTGGTGATTTTTAGAGTGCTAAAATGTTCTGATATCTGTTGATTTGAAAAATAATCCACATTCTATATTATGTACAGGTACAGGTTTTACCAAAATTAAGGATTTTCTCAGCAAAAATTGTGGTTTCCATGGCAACCACGAGTGACAGACCATTGAAAGTTTGCGCACTACCTTAAAATGATCTCATCAACTCTCGATAAAATCATTATGATGATCGAAGACTAACTGAATGAATTATTCAATGATGTTAATGTACCCCCTGTAATTTTCCTTTTTAGGGTCAAAAACCCAATTTTGACAACTTTCGCCCCGGATATGGCGCGTCAGACAAAAATTTTCTGAAGTATCACATAAAAATACATAAGAAACAAGTAATTTCAATTTGTTCAGAAGCGGGTACATTTTTCGGTGCTACCTCACTACCTATTAAGTGTACACTAATTTTACAATATATCAATACAACAGAAAACAGTATATATAACAACACACAAAATTAACACTTCATAATAAATAAATAAGTAAATAAATGAACAAATAAATATGCATCATGGATAAGCACATGAATGGTGATTGTGATACGCGTCCATTGTTTATGTCATATATCACACCCTTCTATGTTATATTACATTTATGAATAAATTCTGCTACAATTTCAATTTCTTTATTTTCACAAGACATACAATATTGGAAAAAAAGTGAATCGTCCTCCATGTTGAAAAGGTGTTTAATTGGGTTGCCGTGTGATACAAGTTTATCGAGCATATGAAGTTGTCTTTCTAAATTTCTCAAATTCAGATTGCGTTGTCATTGACGATATCGAAGACACTATATTGTGGCGATTCAAGATCCAATTTGATCGAAATTGGGATTTTCATATGAAACATTATCACAAGAGCTCAATACATGCGCAGAATTAGCAATGATAAAATCCCATGAAATGAGGACCAAGTGATTAAACAGTTGAAGCGAAGGTTATGTCAGCCATTTGTGACAACGGTCTCTGACTTCATTGTCAGGCTATTCCGGTGTGATAAGTGTGAGAATAGCATGACCAGGGGTTTCAATAAATATTTTTTGAACAGGCCTTTGGCAATTTCATTTATGACATATGTGACAGAATGTCTTTTTCATAGACATGTAGAGCTCTATTCTACATGTAGGTGCATTCATGCGCCTCTGGGCCTTTATATATATATCTGAGATTTGTCATGGCCCCAGAGGCGCATCACCAAGCATTAAAAACCCTAGGCAAGTTGAGATTCTGAAAAACAACGGATCGGTTGTTTTTGCTTTTTCTCGGAGCTCCTTACCTTAATCTTTAAATTTTTTTGACCACTATGTAGCGACGTTGTTTGTCTTCAAATTGACCCTAGTTGTAATCATGTTTCTCGTGGAAATTATATCAAGAAGTGTCTTTGTATTTTTCAGGTTAGAGAAATTCGAACGAATTCCCAAAATTGAGTTGACCTACATAATTTATGCGCATGCGTGATGTCACAAGTCACGTGACTAAATGAATCTGCATATGGTCTAAAAACAATTAGAGTCACTATCTCTGTTTGGTATTCCTTATTAAAACTAGAAACTATAATAAAAGTCACTGTCTATAATGAGAATTCCTTAATTAAACTTCAACATGTGTGATTCACTCCCGGGGATTCACTGTTGAATATTGCATACTATGCAGTCTGATTGATATGAACTTTATGTAGTAAAATAGATGGCATCGTATACATTAGGGAATAACCTATCTCTTCTCGCGAAGTCTCGTGCCGCCATAGAAAATTTTGAAATAATTTAAAAAGTGATGATTTTCCTATAGTATCAGCGCAATTACATCGTGCATAACAACTTATGTATGGTAAGTTTAACAATTTATCATATAACATTACATTGGGACAAATATATTAAAAAAAACAAATGGGAATCAAAAGAAATCAACTCCAAAGTAGCGCTGGGTTCAAAAAAATTTATTTTTCTGAAGTTTGAGGATTTTAATACAGGTGCATCCACGGCTCTAGTGACCCTATCAAAACTCCGATAGTCAAATAAGTCACTAGAGCCGTGGATCCACGTCTATTCTACATGAAGACATGAAGTTCTACTCTTAGATCATTTTCTTATTTTTTTGTAAATCAAACTTCTAAATATTGACTTTATATGTGTTGTAAATAATGAAGAGCGTGGAATACGTCAAAAAGACCCTGTGATTTCTTTTAAAATGTTTTCATTTAGGAAAAATTATTCAAATTTTCCAGAAAAAGGCGGACTTCTGAAAAGTAGGTCAAGGAATTCCTTGCTTTCACGAAGCATTTTTTCCAAAAAAGAAAGCAATACATCAAACCTGATAAGCTCATCTGCTGATATGTATTGTCATGATTGATTCTATCAATCTTTAGAAATGTCAATTCAAAGGAATTAGACAAAATATGCTACTTACTGTCCAAATAGTGTTCCAAATACATCGCAGTCGCCATTTTGGATGTATGATATGCGCGCGCAGGGTAAGTGATTTACATTTTTGCGCAAATATATAATTCTTCCATTTGGGTTTAATATATCCATCTTATGTTTTACTGAAATGGCGGCTGATTAATTTCGGACTCAATGGACGCAACAAAAAGAAACTCATATGAGTCATATTTCTAATCTTGTTGAGAATTTTAAAAATTCGAATTTCCCCGGGGAAATCAAAATTTCACAACAAAAGTGGAGAGACTTGGTTTCAACAACTTCTATAATCGAGGTTTGAATGAATCTCCTGAGTTTCCTACCAAAATTGGAATTTCCCCGTTTCAGCCTATGGAACCTAGATCAAGTGTGACATATTTAAAATTGGATGGAGGGGGGGATTGGATGGAGGGTAGGATCACGTGTATGTAAGACATGATAAGACATGCTACTTGAATTTATTCTTATGACTCCAAATTTTCCCATTTTTCATTCTCCAGAGACATAATAATAAATATCCAGTTTCTTACTGGGGTACTGAGTTAGTTTTTTCAAATATACGAGTTCTTGTGAATTTGTTCCATCGTAAGACATATAAATCCCCCCCTCCATCCAATATTAATTTATTTTGATTATTTTTTGTATAACGCATGGAAACTAACTAAAAAGTGAGCAATGTCATTAGTATTGTGATAATTATGTCCCGTATACCTATTTATTACAGGTCGTGTAGACCATTGTTGCCCGATTTATAGCAAAAACATTGACTTTTGCACGTTGGTGATGATGCGACTTTTTTAATAGATCTCATATCTTTGAAGGGTATCAGTTCCAAAAAATACTAGATGACCCAACATATATTTCCATGCACTGCACCTATTCATTTGGCAATTCAGTTGTAAATTTTCTCTTGAAAAAATAAATCTTCCAAATTTGTTGAGTTTTCTTGCTTTGTACAATCACCGGGCGTGTATTTATGGCACGAGAAAAGTGTCTGGCTGGTGGCCTACATGTACCAGTGGCGGATGGGGGTCATGCCCCCCCCCCCCCCCCCCCCCTAAGTTGGGCCCAGAAAAAAAATTGGGCCCAAAAAATGTTGGGCCAAAAAAGGCCTTAGAGCCCCAAAAAGAACACTTTGGTAGCCCAGAACAGTTGGGCTTCCACATTCGTACACTGTGCTGCTACCAATTATTTTTGTATTCCATTTAACTGGTCACATGACTTGTTCAAAATGGCGACTAAAACATTTAAAAGGTTCGTATTTATTGCGATTATCATTGTTGTTGTCACCTTCTCTTTGCTTAGTATGGATTTGTTTTCCACAAATATAGGAGTAATAAGTAATACTTACCAGTTTGCTTGCACAATGAGCAGATTTTTCATTATTTGACTGAAGAACCTGTGTATTGAAATCCCCGGGTTGAAATCTTGGAGTTTTAAAACGTTGTCAGCTGTTGACACTAAGTAACCACTAATCTTTAACTAATCTAGGTTATTTTCAAACCCAAGATTGTGGGGTGATTTGAAAAAATCAACCCCACATTTATGGGGGTAGCATGGGGGGTAACATGCCATGCCCAGCAGTCTTTGAAAGAAGTAAGGCAGACTTAATTGTGTCACAATAGTCAATAGCACCATGGGCTTTCAACTATCTAGTTGAAAGCCCATGATAGCACACAAAAAGGTCATGAACTGGGAGGTTTTGGATACAGGGTTTATCCTTGTCTGAATATTAGTTCAGGGATTTAATAGCATTATCTCCTGAGGGATCGAGGGAGATGCACATATTTCCGAGGGATGAACTCTGCTTCCAAAACAGACTGTACATAACAGATGTATTCCATACTAATTGAGGTTCTAGGTATATTATACCATAAAGTTCCCCCGGGAAAGTTCCTTAATTCAAAAACACATTTTCTTAGTCATAAAGAGTAGTTTTTAAGTTTGTTCAAAACAGATATATGCTTGGAATGATATTTGAATTGATTTGGTTGGACCTTATAACAAGCTGACAATGACTTTTTTTTATTTTAACCATAGGTGATGGGTGATACAGCAACAGTCAGCACAATAGCAAAAACAGCACAAACATGGACAAATGTATTTTCTGTAAGATTGCACAAGGAAAAGAGGAGAAAACAACTCTTTTATATCAGGTAATGGAAATATCCATTACAATCTGGTGAAGATGCCAAATATTACCAAGTTTTTTACATGACTAAAACCAATACCTCTGTGTTTGATGAATTGAGAGAAGGCTCAAAAATAAGAGGTGCAAGGTTATTGATATACATGCGATCTATAATATTATATGCTTAGAGCTTTAATGCATAATCTAAAAAATATTTCACATACATGTGCATGTGTAAATTGTAAAAAATTAGGCGCCAAAAATTACACATTTGAACACAGAATAAAAGTTATAATGTTATCCATTGTTATAGGATGATGAATTAGTTGTATTTAAAGATCACAGGCCAGCTGCCTCACATCATTACCTCATCACATCAGTGGAACACATCAAAGATGTAAGAGAACTAACTGGCAAACATGTAGAACTAGGTATGTCTGATATTAAATTCATCAATAATGCTGTGGAGATCTTCATATCATCCTCCATCGCGCTTTTTGCCCAGTTTTTTCCTTTTTAAAATAATTAAACCTTTGAAAAAATGGACCATCAGTTTTCAAAGGAGTCTGATTCATTTGAGCTTCAGTAAAAATGATTTTTCTGATTCTTGTTTGGAAGACTGAATTGATTTCCATTTCTGATTCTCATTTACCCCAATGATTTACAAAGGGCTTTGATCACTTCCTTTATTATCCCAACGAACGGAGTTCGGTAGGGATATAGTGAAGCCCTCAGTCTGTGTGTCAGTCCATCCGTCCATCTGTCCGTCCGGAAGATAACTCGAATACTAGTAGACGGATTTTCTTCAAATTTGGAAGAAAGATGTATATTGGTGAATACATGTAGTTGTGTGCAACAAAAAAATTCCAAGATGGCCACTGCTTAAAAAATGGCGGGAATTTTTAGAGCCAAGCATTTCACAATAATTTTCTGATCTCTTCAAAGTATGGCTATATTATTCTCAAATTGAAGGTTTAGGGCAGATCACTATTTTGGTATTGTTTTCCTGACTTGAACATCAGAAAATTCAAATTGTCTTTATTATTTGTGATTTTAAAAGGTCACACATGCTTTTAAAATTGGTAGAAATTCTGATATATCTCTAATGTTTCCAATGTTTACATTTTTGTGACAAATACAGATTCATCTATGTTATAGTGTTTGTTGGGATTTGCTACTTCTTTGAGTTGCCGTTTTCTAGTTTTGAAATGGTCAGCCAGCAAAGCAACATGCAGTTGTTGTTTAAATTGTTGCATGATCTATTATTGATAATTTTTTCTGATTTTCAGTCGAACGATTAATAGCAGTTGGTAAACAAGTTTTGGAAGAACAAGGAGGCAACACAGCTGATGCCAGGTGCGTTTAAAGGTGCACATTTTATACATTCAAAGTTACTTTACCAAATTGTACTGCTAGTGCCATAGGAAATATTTTAAAACCTGACATTGGTATTTAATATGGCCTTGATCTTAGTTAGTTCTGACCTTAGTTAGTCTGACCTGATCTGAGGTGGAAAACTGTCAGCCTCTGACCTGAGGTATGTAGTATGATCTCTGTTAACCTCTTGACTAGATGTATAACACTGTGACCTTGTTGACCTCTCACTAAAACTCAATATGCAAAAAAGACCTGATGTTTAACACTGTTAACCTCTGATATGAGGTAAATCACTGTTGACTTCTTTTATCCTCTGACTAGAGGTATAACACAGTGACTCAGTTCTGACCTGACCTTAATTCTGACCTGAGATTTAAGTTCAATTAACACTGTTGACATTTTATACCTCTCACCTAAGGAATATCACCAGGAATGTGAAAACATCTCTATACAACAATAAAAAAATTTATGAATTTGTTGCTTTGGTCCATTTCAGAATTGGATTCCATTGGCCCCCAGTGACCACTATACAGCACTTGCATCTACATGTCATAGCACCAGAGGCTGAGATGAACTGGTTCTGGCGCCTTGTTTTCAAACTAAACAGTTATTGGTTCGTATCAGTAAGTATATTCATTCCATAATAACATGTTTTCCCTAGGAAATTAACAGGGAATTGATATTCAAAAAACCTGTATCAGATCTTGTATCAGCCAAAATACATCGCAATGTATATCGCCAAAACTGATTCTGGTGATGCATCGATGTACATGGCGATGTGTATCGATGTTTAACTGAAAATTGCAGATGCAACAATGCACTATTATGGCACATTGCGACAACACTAAATTATCAGATCCTGTATTGGATCCCGTATCAGCCAAAATCCTGTATCAGAAGTATTTCCGGGGATTTAGAAGTGTTTATTAATAATTTCTATTGTAAAACTTTTTTATAAAGGTTGAAAATGTTATATGATAAATTGAATTATATCATTTTATATTTTAAATGAGTTTCTTAAAAAAATATTATGGAACAATAAGTTATTGATGGTTGTCATGGAATATAATTTTTTTCCTCGAGAAAATATGATATTAGCCTCCTTGGTTAATATCATATTTTTCCCCTGAATAAAAATCATTTTCCATCCCTCCCATTAAATAACCTCTATTCATTGTCCTGCAAACTCCTGAAAAGTTAATCTGAGTGTTCACCTGAAAGTTAATATTATAGATTTTTATAGACCTGGGAGGCCTGGGTCATGCTCCCACCATTACAATCCTGATGTAATGCAACAACTGACCAATTTTCAAATACAAAAAGGGAGACTCCCTCCAAATGGTATATGCATTCAACTCTATTGAAATGTTCAGGGTTGTGTTCTTGAGGATGAGAAAAGGTGGCACCCAAATGTGCGGGGTGTGATGAGAGTAGGTCCTCAGCTCAATCTTTTCAAGAGCACCAAACAGTCAACTCAGAGGCCATTGAAAAGCTGAAGAACAATTCACATGCATGTCAAGGATGGATTAAGAGGCAAAAAATTAAAAACGTTATTCAAGAAAAAGTGACCCAATTCTGTCGGGGCTACTATGATGTATTTATGCATATTACTCCCCCGGGATTACTCCCAGGATTTGGCTAAACCATGCTATAAAATCCTGTTAATCTACAGGTTTTTTTATTCCAGGGAGAATATATGATCAAGAGATTAACAGCAATGAGAGAGAATGGAGAACTTTGATGAATATGAGAAAATCAACAGCAATGCCAAAAGAGGATGAACTGTCCAACAGTTTTTGCCAATGGCATACGTGTTACATTACATTTTTTGGTACTGTATGTGATTTACAACAACTGTGAACACAGGCATACAACACAAGAATGGACAAAATAAAATGGACATTATCTTTTCATAATTTACAATGTATGTTAGCATTTTTACAATAAAACAGTTAATATAATATTTACTTTTTCCAATATTTAATTGAGAGATTGATAGTACTGTATATAAGGAAAATATACCTGTGAAAGATGGCAGTCGCGAATCCATCATCTTCATTAAAACTCTGCATTGTATTTCACTGCCCTCTATAAATGATACTAGACGTTTTTAAATAGTTGTCAGCTACTGATAACCAGATGAAGCCAAGCTGAGTGAGATGCTCTGCTAGATTTAGAATACTAGGGTTAGGTGTAGATTATTTGACAGCAATCAGCTCACAGATCGTTCTAAGGTATCATATTTCACGACACTGGTGGCTGTTTTGTTAGTTGGAGTCATACTAAACAAGCCTGCAACCCAAGCTTGGTGATCAGCAGAGGCACATCTTGAGTTGGATTTAGTATGGGATTATAAAGTGTGGACACGCTTGATACTTGGAGTGTAGGAACTGGATCTGTATTTTAAGTAAAAATCAGAAACTTCAAATCGGTGAGTAGATCAATGAATTTTTTCAAATGATTTCAATAATATTTGTTTCAATGTAGGAATAGATGGTTGATCTGTAAATGTTCATGACTATGTATTCAAGTGTCTTAACAGGGTGTCTGATGCCATCCATCCGGGCATATAGTGTTCAATATATTCACCAGAGAAATGGATGTGATATTTTGGTGTGGTGGGGCTCGGGTTGTTCAGAAAAGTACTCAACCTTTCTCTAGTTTAGCAACATGTTAAATTCTAAAAAAGGAATATTGATAGAAGGTGGTGACTTTTTGGGAAGTGAAATGGTAGAGAAGTGACTGACATAGGAGCCCCAGACTGACTTATGAGCCCCAGAATACATGTAGGCCTAAGGACTTCCAATAGTTTGATTTTAAATCTCTCTGGGAGTTTGCCTTTCACATTGAGCCCACGAAAATGTTGGAACAATCAACTCTATGTTTGAGAGAGAAACGTGCTATTTTTGTAATCGAATATATTTTGGTTTGGGGTGTTCTTTCAAGTTTCAAGGATCGGTGTGAATGCACTGCTAATAGCAAGCAGAAATGTTAAGCACTTACAAAAAGGATAAGATCTGAATGCGAAACGTTATTTTACCAGGGAGAATATAATCGAATGAAGGATTGGGTTGTGGTCAGTTGAGCAATGACAGGATAACCATCGATCAGGCAAATGGTCTCATTTCAGCACCAACACTGATTTTCTTCATCCTAGCATCAGCTCAATGCGATTTTTTTATTCACGTTTTTCGTTACGTTCATTTAACAAGATGGATTTTCTAAACCGTACAAAGGCTGCAATACAATTTGTACTACAATGAGAATATGTTTAACAAATGTTCTACATATGCTGTTACTCATGTATAGAGCTTCATGTAGTAATACCATTTTCTCACCGAACAGAGTAAATTGGAAATTGTAGGAGGAAGCAGATGGTTAAATCACCTTATCCTTTGAAAGCTTCAGTTTATGCTTCACACTTACTCTCGATTCGAAGTGCAAGTACATCCTCCTTTGGTCTTACCACTGGGGTTTTACAATGGGTTACATTGGTCTTGCATTCATGCTTGTTGTTGAAGTTGATGAGGAGGGTCAAGGGTCTTGAAGCAAGACTATATAATATTATATCATGGACTCGGAGAAATCAAAGTCCAATAGTCCATGAAGTCTAGTTACCGGCGCATCACATCCCTGGGGGTGCCACCCTGAGGTATAGCGCCTGGCTATTTTGAAAGGTATGAGGGTCTTACTTTATTGATATCAAAAAGGTTGAAACCCATCACAGTACCCCAAAGCACAGAGGCTAGAAACAGTTGAAGATTTAGATCTTTTTAAAGACGCTAAATCAAACTATTGTAAATAGGGGACATACGCTAATACATACATGTATCATGGTATACCATGGTGATGATTTGTTCTTCCCAGAGATTGCCGAACCTGGGCGAGAGACCCTTGTACAATATACAATTATTGACCTCTCCAGCCGTAGGTCGAGGTTTACAGTCGAGGGATATAATTTTGACAGTAAACCGAATTGAGAGGTCTATAATTGTTTTGTTCAGTAGTCCGAAGAATATCTTAGATTTTTCTGACCCTTGAAGTTGACTTGAAGTTGGATTCAGACCCTCGAGACGTTCATGTTGTATTTCAGTATATCGGCAGTAAGTTCACTCAATGGAGTCAAATTACTCTCCTGGGCGAAGTCCACTAAAGCTTTGTACAAAGTTTTAGATTTTTCTTCGTATTTTGACTGTCTTTACTCTCTAAGAGACTAATAATATCCTCATCTTCAACATTTTTAAAACGGCTAGTGCTAGCGGCGGCCATTTTATCGTCTGCTGATAATGACGTCATTTTAGTGGAATGCTGGGAATATTATTCACCGGCAATGCATTGCGCGGTGTACAGTTAAAATTATTCACCGCTCGTTGACCAATCAAAATCGAGTATTTCAACTGAGGTACTAACAATATACATTGTATATCAAATTCTCTTTTAAAGAAGCTAAATGAAACTATTTGAAAAGGTTTGAAACTGCCAGGCGTACACACGTTGTGTAATCTCCTCCTGGGAATATACTCTCGATATATTCGTTACAAACATCATGAACATGGCCAAGAGAGATGTACCTTGCGCGCAGAGTATAGTTGTAAACTATCAAAACTGAATGCAAAGGGTAAGAGAGATGAGGGCCTGGGTAACATTTAGATTTACCTAGGATTTACGTAATAATTTCATGGTGTTAATGAGCTATCATGTGGATGGATGCTTTTAATTAAACAACCTATCTGATATCCTGCTTCATTTCAACATACATTTCGGGGTTACGTAGCTGTTCGTTGGCGTTGCCAGGGGTGCGATGTGTGCATAAAAATTGGGTGTAAAATTAAAAATTAAACTATAACTATATAAAGTTTTTTAAATATCATGGAAAATGATTTAAATAGTAATAACTGCGTGAATCAAAGCTATCTTAGAAGACCCATCTATGCTCAGGAGATGCAAGATTCCACAATCAGTATTTTTTTCTAAAATTAGATTTAGGATAACGTAATGCTCAGGTTCATGGGGAATATACCAAAACAAACAAACAAATTCGAGACAGATGTTTTTACTATCCGTTAACTTAGAATTAACCTAGACTAGTATTCTCAAAATGTAACGAGAATCTTGGAAATGAGAAATATGTATTGAAATAAGTGGATGGCATTCTGATTTATCAGAGTCCCTCTTTACCTAACGCTTTTGAGAGAACTATTCCAAAAGGATAGTAAAGGCTGTGGATCCCACAATGAGTGGATGGATATTTCCCAAATTTATCATCACAAGGCATTGTTTGTCGCAACATTCTCTAAATTCGAACAATATTGCAATCAAGTGATTGTAATGAAAAGGCAGTCATAAGAAGTCGACTAGTTGAGCATAAAAGGTCAATCATACAAACAATTCTATTTTCTCATTTTCATGATTTTAGAAGGTACAACTTTGAAAATATTAAGTATAAAGACATGAAAGACACCTGCTCATCACTAAAGTACAACCTCTACTATTACGTTTATGCCAATTACTAACGCTCGTACAAGTCCCTACCAGATGGCTAGGTTGACGACACACATTGCCATTACAAAATCATATTCACAGTGAAATTATATATAACGAAATTCTGACTCTTTGATAAAGAAAACCCATTAATAGTATAGAAATTATAATTAGGATTTATTGAACAAACACAATGGCTGGAATGGGATTCAATGGAATCAATGGGATTTGAATATATCCAGTCCAGCTGAAAGTCAAGATACTCGAATACGAAATTTTACTGTGACACTGACGTGATTGAAGTCACATTTGATGAAGTCACAAAACTAAAAGATTTGAGAACATTTTGAAGAGAGTTGATGGATATGCATAGCTAGAGATCAAAGGTAGGTTAAGACATGGACCATGGTTCAGATTATGAGGTTATATGCAAGAGGGATGGAGTTTTTATGCTGATTTTCGGTTCTTGGTTCTTGTTTTCGAGAAGGTGTTCCGACCTAATAATGATATCAAATTGAACAACGGATTAGGTTCTCCCGAAGGAGAACCTTTGGTTTTGACTATTTTATATATATTTATACATTGTGTTGCCCAATAAAGAGCTTTAAAAGATATGGTAGATAAGAATACACGAATGACACATATAATTGTAATGAGAATTTGAAATAAAGCGATCGAATCGTTTCCTCATGATAGGCAAGTATAGTTTGGATTGCCAAAATCATGTAGACCACAGCATAAGACACGGGCAAGAAATTGGATATAAGCAATGAGCCCCGATAAATTACTTTTCATTAACTACTATATTTAATGATTGATAAACAAAAGAAGCAAAAAAGTGATGGTCCCTGACATTGAAATAAGCACTCGGCAAATGTTTCTTCAACAAGTACGATGAAGTGTGAAGAAGAGTTTGATTCATGGGAAACACCTCGTGTGCTTCTTGAGATATAGCATTTAGATGTGATAAATTGAAATATATTTCTGGAAATGTTCTCATGCATGGTATTTATCATTTCTACAGATATTCCCGGTGAAGGAGACGGATTGGTTTTAGATTGTAGTCATATTTCATCTCAGTTTGCTTGTAAATATGCGCAAAATGCAGGCACAAATGAACAAGTGATGAATGTTCGGAACCGTCGATGTATTTAGAATAAAAAGGCTGATATCGTGATATCAATTGACTGAGTATGTTTAGTTTTGAATTTTATATTGAATGCCACTTTTGATACGCCGTTTTGATAATTGAATTAAAAACGAACGTTCTACTTAAAGTAATAATTACCTTTCGAAAGGAGGTTAATATTTATCCTCATTTTATGGTTATTTTAACAGGGTAATAAATACCGATAAGTATTTAGGGCACAAAGAACTTCTCTTGCATTGCTAAATAAATAGTTTTGGGCTTTTTAGCACAGTGTCGGTCTTGTTTCTATTTTGAAAGTATAGTTCATACATCTTCGGTATTTCAAAGAAAGGATATGATGACAGTCCGGAAATAATTTGAATGTGTGTTACCTCAATATCAATGCAAGGTTCTGCATGTGAAACTGAAATGAACAATCCGACTGATAACCAGTTTTGCCAAAAAAGAACATAAATAACAATCCGAATCTAAACTACCCAGTATTAAACCTCATCTAAAATAAATAACGCGCTGGTTCAAGTGCCCAAAATAAAATATGTGAACAATATTTGTGTAGAGGTTTTTACATCTGGATAATATCTCAGGACTACACACAGTTGAAACATGAAATATCAGATACAAAAATAGAATAATGTAGACTTGGATGATCTGAATTCAAAACTTTTAACAGCTTTATCGTCTGGAAAACATCTTTAAAATATTTTGAAGGAGGTACGTAGAAATTGATACAAATAAAAAAAGTTGTTAACCGCTATGGTTTAGCAAATACATTTGCATTTTTACATTAGAAACTTATTAACATGTCATGATAAATGGTACTTTCATATCCTTCGGATGTTTCTCTCATTTTAATTCAACTTTAACTGTTATCAGAGGGATATGCTAACTCATCACTAGCATGAATACTGAATAGTTGTTAAAACTTTAATTAACTTTTTTATTATCCTATTCATATAATTAGATTAAAAGGAACATTGTACGAGGCCTTTTTGATTCTATGACAAGGTTTCAGTTGCTCAAACTTTTTGTTATAATAACACCTTGGAAGTCGAAGATGGTACCATTAGTCGATACATGCACATTAGTTAATATAAATTCATATGAAATCTACTTTGATGTGGGAAAAGATACATATATATTAACTTTCAATTTAATTTGATCATTTCGATCCTTATATTTTGAATCATAGACAATGTTATCTTTTAACTTTATGGCTCCGGCATCCTAATTGTTCATTCTTTTTATATCTTGTCCCAGATATGAGACAATGATCTTCACAATTACTTAAAGATACTCTTGGGTCTCGTACATAACTTCCTACTGATAAAGATAACTTTTAAGCTTACTTCATCATGAATCATCCTATCTCTTTCATATGTAAATCATAAATAAAGATAAAAAACCATAATAAACCAAAGGGTATTGACGTACATTTATTGGTCACCCTGACCTCCACCGATAAATAATGAGTACCATTCACCATAAGTCAAATAAAAACAATTTTTGTCTAACCACTCCTGATGAATGGACCAGCATATGGACGTTCAAGTTATATTATTCTTTCTTCTATATATCCGAATGTAACGTATGTTTCTTTAGTTCATTTAAGACTCATCAAATTCATAGATAAGTCGAATCTAAATCCATGTGTGTTTGTAATTAAACCTGGATTTAGATAATCCAAAAACGTTACTCCAGACGCCTATGTACGAGGGTTGTCCCATAAGTCTTGAAATTTTTATTCTAATTCATAGAATATTTGAGATACAGTGATAAAAATTTCACATTTTGTAACTTAGATATATTTCTACTATCTCTGTAAGTTTCATAGCATAATAAGATCATTTGTTAATGTTACAGATGATTTAAAATGGAATGTTGGGGGTACCCGGGGCAGAAAACAGCATAATAATATAAATATGAAGTAAAAATTAAGGATTTTGGGAACCCCTGGCTCAGCTCAACACGTTTCCTTTTCTGCTCCTCTGTCAGAATATGTGGAACGAATCTAGGGGCTACCTTTGACATCCCAAGGTCTTTCTTCATTACTGAGCAGTGGGCCTACTCTTACTAATATCAAAGTCTAGGGTGATCTTCCTACACTGGCTAGTTCTCCTTTCAGCCCTTATACACTCCGCAATATGTGACATGAGATCGTCACTGAATTTTGGCCTTCCACTTCTAGGAGCATCCTCCAGGCTGGTATCTCCAGTTTTTAACTTCTTCTGTCACCTCCATATTGTAGGTGCACTCGGAGTTTACTGTCTATATACTTTTTCCATGGCTGTTCTTGTTTGTGTAGGTGTATGCCCTAAGGAGGCGTGGTATTGCACAACTGCACGCAAACATTTAACATCTGGTGACAAAATCCCTGCCATTTTGATTATTAAAATGCTGTGGCTCTGTACCAAAATTGAGCAATTGTGCTAGTTTGTGACATCACTGAGGTATTTCTTAAGATTTTACCAAGAATACAGTGTTTTTGTCAATCTTGAAGGGTGATTTACAATTTAAGATGCATACCATCCTTTAAAATCCTTAATACTCCCACGACTCCATTTTACATTTTTACTATATTTCATTACTGCCCCACCCCCCGACTCCCCCGGTCACCATAGCAATCATTATAGTAACTCAAGTTCATAATTTTGTTATGAAACTATCACATGTTGAAGATAATTGATTGATCTTGTTATATACCAATTTTCAGCCAAATTCATTAAAATATTTTTGAATTAGAATAAAAATTTCAAGACTTATGGGACAACCCTCGTACATTGATATACGGCGCGGCGTATTTACAGTTAGTCACCGAACACCACGCAGACATGGGCGACCAGTATGATATGTTTACTGCCTAGCCTATATGTATTTCATTCAAGAGAACTTCCCAAAAGGAAGTGCCTGTAATTCAAAAACCTTGATAAGATTTTATGAATGAAAGTGCAAACTATGAATACTTCAATTCAAAAAGGATATTTGAGTTGTTAACAGGCAGTCACAGGTACAGTTTTTAATATTATTATAACATTTAGAAGATCAATATTCTGTCTGAAGTGTGGTTTCTAAAGAGAAATGTGGTGGATTGGATCTGGATCCGGGATCAGATTATTATAGAATTTAGAATTACTAATATATAGAATCTACTCATTGTTGGCAGCAGTCTTTCTTGACAGGTTGTACTTGTGTAGAAAGGGTGTTTATATTTGTAGTGTACAATATACAGTTCATAATTTATACAGTAAGTTTAGGCAGGTAAGTTAGCTTATATTTTATTTTAGGAATCATTTATTGTATAAGGCACATGCAGTACTGATATGGAGATTACATATAAGACCCTGCAGTAATACTTCTTATAGGAGAATATTGGAGCATTGTTGATGCTTCAAGGCATGGCATTATTAGGCGCAGCTGTTGATAAATTCATCAATTATAAAATTTTGATAGGATATACATAATTCTGGACTTCAAACACATTTTCCCAACTCATCTTTCCAACGGATCAACTCATCTTTCCAAAGGATCAACTCGTCTTTTCAAAAGATCAAAAAAAAATGTTTATATAATATCTGCTGCACATTGGCCATGTAAAATATACAATATGGTTAAGCTGGACTACGCTCCGAAACGCAATCTTGGGTTGTTTCGGGGGTGAACTTTATCATTTTGAGCTTAATGAAAGATTATAGAATGATGAACAAATGGGGCAAATCTTGTGTAGAAATACTTACGATAAATGTGTCATTTCAAAGATTTTTCATTGAATTTGCTTCGATCGGAGCCGGCGATATGATTTTGGAAAGGTTTCTAAATGAAGAACGTGACGTCACTTCCATATCATAGCATTCAAAATAAGTAGCGTTTAATTACTCCCACCATCCATAATAATACGGTGGTGTAGCAGTAGAATCCTCGCTGAGCACTCGGGAGGCCCGGGTTCGAATCCTGCATGCGCCTTTTTATTTTTTTAACTAAATGATTGTTGTTTGATATTACGCAGAAAAAAACAATTTTTATTTACATAAACTTTATATTAGAGCTTGAAAATGTAAAAACAATATATGTCAACATATTGCGTTTTGGAGCGATGTGCAGGTTTAATATATTATATTTTGTAATATGTATTGCCAATATGAAATAATTGCAAATATAAAGGGATTGTATAAACAGTACAAAATATGCTTTATACATGGGATACAGGCCCGTAGCCAGGATTTGCCAAGGGGGGGTTCAGTTTTCAAAAATTTCCAGGGGGGGTTCACATTTGACAATTTTGACCCAAATATGGCTAAAATCACTTGAGAAGTGCTCAAAATGGTGAAAAACTGCATGAATTTGAAAGAATTTTTGGCTAGGGGGGGTTCGCCCGAATCCTGCGAACCCCCCCCCTGGCTACGGGCCTGGGATACTAACAGATTAATCCTGTTTCACATGTTAACACCATGAAAAAACACGACATGGCCAGTTTGAAACCATTGGAAAAAAGAGGAAAACATAGCATATAAAAGGCTATGCTTATTTCCATGAGCATCCTGCCAATGGCATCATTGAAAAACCAGGTGTAATATGACTGAATCTGTCGAATTTGTCACAATGGCATTTCAGTCAATCCAGACTTATCAAAGGACTATAGTGTAACACAATTTTTGATTTGATTTGTTATATGAAATAAATCCTAATATTGATAACTAATGGAACATTGACTTCAAAAAACTCCACACCTGTATATGTCAGCTGATATATGTGTATCTTTTATTTTTATTTTCAGATTTTCAAAGTTACAAAAAGGAAATTTACACCAGATGTAACAGCAAGAGCTTTAACATGGAGTACCCCTCAATTTGTTCCATAATAGGAACCCTCATCCTAGTCTACATCATTTCTCCTATACAGTGCAGTAAGTAAAATATTTGATACTCTTGCTTTAGACCCCTCCACATCCAACCAATCCCCCCTAACCCCTCCACATCCACCCCCCCCCCACTATCCACATCCCTTTTTCAAAAATGTCCCTCCTTAGTCATTTAACCATTTATTCAAAAGACAGGAATTGATTTGGTGAAAAAGTGGTCAAAGTACCATTAGTACCAATAGACAATTTGGACTGAAAGAGTGAAGTTGAGGAAGCGAATTTAGGGGGGAGGGGGTAATGGGGAGATACAGGACTACAGTCAGTGGGTTGATATTTGAACTAGTAAATCTTGTCATTACTTTATACTTTTCAACCAGTCAGCTCTCGTTTTCCTGGCGCATAAATGTAATTTCATGTGGAGTGTGTTAATGTGCTTTTTATTATTTGCTGAACTGCATATGTATTTATAAATGTTGATTTAAAGTTTAACTATGACATCATATGAGTTTATACTTTGGATAAGTGCAGATGTCCTGTCAGTGATTTTACCACATTTCATTTTTATTTTACTTTCTTTTTGAAATGTTGTAGAATAAGCTTTAATCAGGCCCGTAACCAGGATTTGCCAAGGGGGTTCACTTTTTGAAAAATTCCAGGGGGAGGTTCACTTGTTACAATTTTGTATTGAACCTCCCCCTGGCTACGGGCCTGTTTAATATAGATGTTTACAAGTGTGAATAGAGTGATATTTAATGTGAGGGATATGGAGCATTTTCAGCATGGTGACACTTTAATAATCATTGAAATGTGGTAAAAAGGTAGTAGGTGTTATGTCAGTACTTATCTGCTATCTCTGTTGTTTGACCTTATCTATAACAGCAGTAATCATTATTTATAACATTATAGCCTAAAGTGCCTAACTGTGCATAAAGTTGTATTGATAAGAAAGATGTAGAATTATTACTTCATAAATTATGATAATTTAGGTAATGAATGTGCCAAAATAACATGCTTGGTTCAAGGATATTTCACATCTTGCCATGTTGAATTGAAAAAGCAATAAAGCGTTTTAATGAAGGATGCTATAATAACTGATAAAGGCACAAGCGATGACTGGTTTGCTAATTCTTTACTTATAAATCTTTTCTTGCATTCCTTGGCAGTACAGGTCTTACTTGTGTTTTCAAATCAAATGAAATGTTGCCGCAAATGTTATTTCTACTGTTGTTTGACAAAACAAAATGAAAATAAAAAAATGAATGTGATATCTGTACAAATTGAGTGGCCTGTAAATATATGAAATCAATGTAATGTGAGATACTCACCAGATGTTAATTGAATAAGAGTGTATAATAGTCAGAAATAATTCAAGATTATGTGAAGTACTCTGTAGGACACCCACATTTTGGCACCTACTTCATTTAATTTCAAAACAGAGAGGTTTTATGATTTCTATAAACATCTCAATCACCATTCAGTAGAGCAGTTCTTTCCAGTTTAGTTCTGACCATGACATAAACTACCATTACAATATCTAATATTTGTTCAATTGCCCCAAGACTGAAAAGTAAATGACATGACATCATTTATCATGATGTCATTTCATGTGTGATATCTTGTAAAAGTGCATTTAATGCAACTCGTATCAGGCAAAATCAAACACTTACTTTCTAGAGCAACAGAAATTGCTTTTTTACCATAACATTGAGGAACATGGAATTTTAATATTGTAATCACTAGTTTAATAATGGAATTATATAATAACATAATATGCCAATAAAAGTTATACACAATACATTGATAAATTGATATTATATATCTCATATGAGGAGTGTGAGAAATTGGCCATCACTGGCAGATTTAGATTACAGGATTATCTGGCAGCTGGTCTTGTAGAATTAATTAACATTAATTGATACATATATCTATTCTTCTTAGGCTTTTACATCCATTAATATTTCATACTGGTGGACTGTTGATTAATTTGCAATATGGGAATCAGTGGCTTTAAGTCTTGTATAAAGTCTCTTAACCGCTCCCTCCAACAAGGGCTGAATTCAAGACTCACTCAAAGAAACAAGAACTCAAACGTATAGAAAGTAAGAAAAATTGAGAAAAATCAATCAAAGACGAGCTGTTAGTATTTGAAGCAGCTTTGTCAAACATCATGTTGACATTGCAAATATATTTTCCATTAAATTTGCGTTATGTTGAGGTGACCATGCAAATACATGTTCATGAGAATGGCAACACGAGCAACATATTGAGAGAATCCATTTAAAAATGTTAATTTCTTTGAGATGGTTGATGAACCCTAAACTGCTAAACCAGGCAATGACTGTTCATAGTATTTCAGTACAAATTCCACAACTTCAAATAAATCAACATTGTTCAAATTTTCCCTCATATCCTATAGCAGCTGTCTTTATCTTCAGTCAGTCTGATAAGATGAAGAATGATGTTTCAAAAGTGAATCTTTGGGGGCAACTCACATTCTTTCCTCCTTTGACCAAATTTCTTTTTCTAAACAGCTGTGAAAACCCAACCATGTTGGTTCACTTGTTACCAGACATGCCAGCCAGGCATCATATCAGGCATTTTGTTGTATATTCAGGTCAGTAAGATGTTATCTTGAAAAAGGCAATGGACTCCCCAACGTCTAATGATTTGCCCCTTGTACAGGTGAACATATGTTGACAACAGTTGCTGGGGGCCTCCTAGGGTCAATATATGAACTAACTTTCCAAATAAAAACATTTATTTTGCACATTGCACAGAACTTTGCCACAATAGTTAACCTATTCTCATTTTCACAAATTCCACAAATCATTTTCATTTTTACAAATTCTGGAATTGGGCATATCTTTGAAAATGATTTTATAATTATGTTGTAATTCCTTTTGATTCTAAGACCTGTCCATTTAGGGGGCATAAATGTAAATGTCCTTAGGTTTAGAACTAGTTTAACAGTGTCACATTTAGAGAAATCGAAAATGCAATATATTCATTCTGTATGTTCAGAGAATGTGTTCCCTAATAGTAAGTTTTTCTGTATGTTAGATCTCTGCATATATTTGTGAGATGGAAGCAACACTCTCCACTCTACTCACCACTAGGATATGTTTATGTTACAAAGTCCAGCCTGTTGGAAATCTGACACTCTACTCTCCACGTTATGTTGCTGGCTTAGGAATGTTTGATGGGAAACAATAGTATTTTGTATCAGAACATTGAAAAGTTCCTTATACCCCCTTATAAATCATCAGAATGGTTCTATGAAACAATGAAACAAAAAACAAATGATGAATCTTTTCATGGGCTTTCAATGCAGGAAACATGATAAAAATCATAGAACAAATTACTCACTCAGTATTTCAATAATCAATGTAAAATACATCATTCATCAGAAAGCAAAAGAAGCAACATTTAAAGAACACAAATGCATTCAAGTCAATGTAACCATAACGATTTATACATACACATGTTATGTTCAGGCTTTATGTCACCTGCAAGAAGTGGTGACATGACATTGATATCATTCATTTTTTGTGACTAGCATTCAATGTTGGTGTCTGTATCATTTAATGCACCTTCTAAGGTAAATACCTTGTTTTATATTGTTGACCTTATATATATATGGATTAAGAAGGGATTTGGCACTTTGGAGGGTTTGTACATCAGTAAAGGAGCATGCTCCTCACATTCCCAAGGTACAACAGCTATCATGTATCATGACATGAACAAGATCCTCTTAAATCTGACAGTGTTAACTCTCTGTGATTAACAGATGGCCTGTTGGTTCACACTGTGTACAGATGAGTCAGGGTTGGGTTAAGGCCAGATGCACATTCATGACCCTACACTGCTAGGTGTAAAGGTCTCACACTGTTATCTAAACAGAACCAATATCAGAACCCTTTACTAGAAAATGGTTCTTTGGTACTCTTGTATCAAGCCCTTGTGAAGCCAACACTTCTTTCCATATACCCCCTCCTCTCCCTCCTCCCCCATTTGCATTCATCTGACTTCAAGAGAGCTTTGTCTACAGTTAGTGAGAAACTTGACCCTGCATCCAGGGTACAAACAACACATAGTGCCAAATGCATTATAGGACAGGGCCATACTTGGAAATGTGAGATGTTATCACTTATCAGTTATAGGGCACGCCCTCTCTAGTATGTTGCCTTGGCAAAGGGTACCATTTATTTAAATGACTAGTAGACATTACACAAACTAGAAATTTATGTTTTCAAGACATTCTTGTGGTTGACTCTGTGAATTTTCAGGATTGTTGTGTGTGAATATTAAATTTGGAATCCAACCGTTGCATTTGAATTGCAGATTCAAAACTCTCTCCATATGGTTCCATCCACTAGTCATCTGTATCTTATTAGGTACTTATACAAACTGATAAATAGTAAATTAGTCAAAGATTTTATGCAGTATAGTTCATCAGATGTGAGCCCTGATTTCCATTGCCAGTCAGTCCTTCCACTGACTATAACAGATGATCTTACTGATCCTGATCTTAATGATCTCAATATGTAGCAACTTAGTTAGAGTAAGAAAGGTGTTTTCACTACTTTCATGGTCAGAAAATACAGTATAATATTTCTTGATTGGATATAGGGTAGAATAAAGGATTATCTCAGAGTTTAAGTGTGTAGACGAACTCTTGAAAAGGGTAAGTCAGATCCACAGAAATCACTCTGACATCTGGTTAGCAGTTCAGTTTATGCTTCACAAGAGGGATGGGTTATCTGGCCCTTTCACCAAAGTTACATCCTCAGGGTTCTATCTCCCCTTCAATAGAATGTGAATGATTTTCACACTTTTCACACTTGGGATCTGCTGTGATCTGAGAGGATTATGCAAGGATTAAAATAAGCAGTGGTAAAGTTAAGACTTTTAACCTCATCAAGATACCAAAATAGCTACAACTTCATTCCGATTATCTCAAGAAAATTGTGAAATGTAATGCCTAGTGTTTATCTTTCAAAGGGATATTGCTAGTGTATATCAGAAGTGAATCTACTTGGAATCAT